AGAAATAAGATACAAGTTAGGGCCCTGAGTGTTGGCCAGATAATGAGAATGTGAATGTCAAGCTGAAGCTATAGACTACAAGGAATAAAAAAAATTGGGGGCAAGAGGACAAAGATAATTATTTAGAAACACATTGCTCGCGTTGAACTTGTAGATCAGAACATCATAAAAGTTTGCATTTGATTCCTTCTGGTAAAGCTTGGATTGAAATGAGTTTGAACATCGATTTGAAATGAATCGTTTGATCTCAACTGATTGAAGTATTTAATTATTAGATCCAAGACATGATAATATCAATGGTTATGATTTTGTTCGATGACAATGTTTTAATCTGATTTTGGCTTGAGCTGTTGTAAGTCTATGAGTCAGCTTCTCTCAAATGATATATTTTATAGGTGTACCAAAGAAACAAGGTGGGGTTTGTTCTGTTTAATGTATATGCTAATTTTAATGCATGTTCTAATGCTATATCTTGATGATGGAAACCTGAATGTGGTAAATAAGTTAAATATCGAGTTGTTTTTAAGATTGCTCAAGGTCTTGGAAATGGAGATGGATCGAATTTGATATGAAGTAAGAGTGTTGACCATGGGGTAGAGTTTGCAAAAAGTGGTTCAAGTATTTGCAAAAGTGATTTATTGACCTATAGTTTGGACAAACAAAGAGAGAGAAACTCTGACAGAGCACAAAGAGTGAAGTGGGGAAATGATCAGGAATCCAAAACAGTGAGAATAGGTGGAGAAAAAGATGAAAATTGGATGACAATTACCAAAATACGTGTGAATCGATACCAGAGAAGTGGTTAATCCGAACAACTGACCAACTGTTCAATGGCTAATTAAAGTCAGTTATGAAGAGAATGATGATAATTGTAAAAATTGACTTGAAGTTTTAAGTGATTTGACTCAACATGAATTGGAAAGTCGTTCAATTTAATAAAAACTTGAGCCGGGTCTGTTACCACTTTTGCTGGATTGATGTTGTTAAGTAAGTTTTTGATTGATGGATTGATAGGATTTGGTGGTGAAACGATTAGTGTTGAGTGAGTGATTGGTTCCAAATGAAAATGGTGAGGACATCAAACTTGATATAAGAGACCAGATTGTCTGAGGATGATTTGCTGTTTTAGATGACCAAGGGTGAACAAGTGTTGGACAAATTTTGGACTGTTAAGCTTTCACTTAACTTAGTCCAAGCCTTGAGGTACTTAAAGTTAACTCTGAGCTATTGTTTTAGCTCCACTGTAGAACCACTTCTCATCCGCTCATAAATGAACCAGCGGGGAGGTTGACCAGCACCATGGTTGTGCAATGGTTTGGATGGAATACCGTTGATCAACCGCAGACCAGGTGGTTGATCAACTGTGTTTTATCAAACCATTGCAAAACCAGGGCCCAGGTAGTGGGCCCACCAAGTATGAACCGGATCTCACTGGTTCAACTTCAAACGCCGTACCGCCGGTTGGTCAACAAAAAATGACCTGGTGGTGTACCCCCATTGTACCACTTGTACTTTCATCATAACCAGCAATGCTACTTTGACGCAAATCTCCAAAGTACATCATTCTACTGTCTCAGCAAAATGTTTCACCACAGCCAAGATTGATCACAACAGCAACCCAGTTTTTCAATACTTGCAAAGCGTGCCAAAATTAAGCAATTGATGGCTTGTTTTAGTCAAATTACAGATATGGTGGGAAACCTCAGCAGAAAAAGTCTGTTGTGCACCTTCTTCATGGAGGCACAGTCACTGTGCCCGTGGAGGGCGGCCTAGACGTCAGGGGCCCTCAAGAGTACAAAGGGAAGCCTTTGTACTTGTTGAGGCCCCCGACGTCTGGGGCGCTCTCCACAGGCACAGTGAGTCCTGCTATTGGCAGGGACAGGCTTTGGCAAAAGCCAAGTCCCTGAAGTCTTCTATCTTACTCACAGGCACAAAGAGTATACTTTCATAATCCTGTGTATTGATCCCTTAGACTCCCTTGGTAATGATCAGGTAAGTGTGCCCAATCAAGTAAATTGAAACTTCAGGACCTGAAATCTGACTCTATATGTTGCAGTTCAGCAAGAAGGACTGCTTTTCTTTAGATCTTTTAAATCACTTCTGGAAGTGGTGGTATCAAGAGGATCATGCTTATTTCAATCCCAATCTATGACTCCTATTCAACACATGCAGCTTACCATGTGTGGCACAGCCCAGTACAGTCAAACCCGCGCACATGCATACCCGCGCACATGCATAACCAGCCAAAATGCATATGTTTTGGTTTCCACCCAGCTGGTGTGGGCCAATTTTGTCATTAATTGCATAATTATGTCAAAGACCATAATGCATACTTCTTTTCAAGTCCGCAAAGTCATAATGCATGCCTATAAAGCGCCCCAGGACAATACCGCAAGAGCACCGCACTATGTTGCAGTTGCGGTGCGGTTGCGTAGCGCTTTTGGGCGCCGCAATAGCAACGCAATATAGTGCGGTGCCAGTGCTCCGCAATCCGGGTTCAAAAAACCCCTTGCTCAGAAACCCGCACCGCAATTGCGGTCAGTTTTTGACGGTTATTTAGGGCAAATATTGCGGAAATAGGGCAATATTGCACATTTTCCGCAATATTTGCCCAACCGCTCCGCAACAGCAAGTTAGAAAAAAAACACCCCATTGCGGAGTGGTTGCGTAGAGTAATAATGCGCCGACTGCGCAACGCAATGGAAATAGGTCAAAATCCATTGCGTTGCGTAGCGCTTGCGGTGTTGCCCAGGATGTGTTTTTTTCCATTGAACTCTGATTGGATCCTTTGCAAGTAGGATTTTGGCAACATCAGGCAGCAATGAGCCCTCTATGGGGTCAAACCGACCCCTAGTGGTGTTTTTTTCTGTGTCAAAAAAATATCTTGTCCTTGTACCTGCGCAAAATACAAATGTACTATTGCATAAACTTATACAATTTCAACAAAAACCGGTCATAATGCATATTTCAATGCATTTAGGCCTAAATGCATACAAATATGCATTATGGGGGTTTATGCCTATTTGCATAACCCACAATAATGCATAGCAAAAATTGTCTCCCCAATTTATGCATTAGCGCGGGTTTGACTGTACCTGTGTTTGGCTGTAAATATTACTTTGTGGTGTGTGGTGAAACCCAAGGCCTGGTGCATTATTATCTCTGCTACAGGAGGATTTGCCTTCAGTTTTTTGGTGTACAGGCTCTAAGATATACTGTGGAGGCCACTGCAATACTGCCCCACAGCCATAATTGAAAGCACAGTGGTTCTTGTATTGTGAGAGAAACTCAAAAAATCAAAGAGAATTGAAAAAACATTGAGACTAAAGATTTGAAACTGGTCCAAAGTCATCCAAAATCATCAATAAAAAGAATGGATTAGTAATGGTATACAACATATGAGCTTTCATTGGAATTAGAATTTTTTTAATTAAGGCGATTGATAAACCACGCCGACTTCAAAGCTGGTTTGACGCCGGTTTTTCCAAAACGGATTCCTTCAGAAGATGTACAGCTGCTATACTGAGGTACAGAGCTGCACCACTTCTACAGCCTTCAGAGTTTTTCTGCAGCCGGGGTTTTGGTTCGCTTCTGACGCCGTCTTTTGATTCAGATAAAGATGTTTGAAGTTTGGACAAAAATAACCGAAGCCGCTGCCTGCCTTTAAGAATTTGGAGCCGCGAGTAAATAGAAACAACCATTAGGTTTGCAATTGGTTTGCTTCTTCACAATGGAAACCTCAAAACAGAGCATGCTATCACAATAATTGGCGCTTTCTAGTAGTGTCAAAGAAGTCGATGAACAATGAGTCAAAGACAGAGATATGCCGCATTTTGACGCAGTATATGTAACCCACTGCACTTCTGTTGAAGTGTTTTGCAGAGTAGTTCAGGAGGGGAATGACAGAGCCAGTACTCTACTCGGCGTCTCTGCGGGTTTATCAAGTCATTAAGTATGTAGAACATATGTTTCTCTAGTCACCTTCTCAGGAACAAGAATTAGGATTGATCAGCAGTGAAAACAATCCAAAAACTACCAAAAGCAATAGCACCGGGTCTGTCAAAACCCGGCGTCAGAAATAGTTTGAAGAGGTTTAAGGCTGTAGAAGTGGTACAGCTCTGTACCTCAGTATAACAGCTGTATATCTTCTGAAGGAATCCGTTTTGGAAAAACCGGCGTCAAACCAGCCTTGAAGTCGGCGTGGTTTATCAATTGCCTTAATTAAGTATGTACAAAGAATTGTCCTACAATCAACCAAGTGACAAGACAAACTCCTATAAGAAGAGAATCTGAAAAAAACAATTTTTTGTAGCATTGAGTTTAAGTCCAATCTTCTTCCTCATCCATTTTGAGTTTGCAGGCCTGAGGAACAACAACAGACTTGCACCTAATGTCTGTTTACCCAATAAGGAGCGGATTGGCCTTTTGGTGTGAGAATTCATTATGACTTTTTTGTATGTGATTACAATTTTTTTGCAATCTGACTATGTATGTTATACCTCAGAATCCTGTGGCTTTTGTATTCTCTTTTGGAAATCTGAGTAAGAACATTTTGAGATTTTCCAAAAGCAACTGAGGTTAAATGTGTTACACAAGTGTTTCTTTATGGTCAATCTGTCCTACCAAATCTCAGAAGTTCAATTTCTGAGTCATCACAAAACTTTTCCTCAGAGGGAAATTGGAGATGTTTAAAGTATGGTCAGCAGCTCATAATGCTGAAGTTTGACATACTTTGATTTTAAGAAATTTTGTAATCACACAAAAAAATTTATAGGGGACAAAATTCTCCAACCAAAAGGCCAATCTTCTCCTTGCCAGGGAAGCCAACACTAGGGGGTTTCAAGTTCAAGGCTTTTACACATTTTTATGCTGCAACAACTTGCCCATTGTGTCAAGATATGGGTAATTTTTTTAAATCAGGACACCTTTTTAGGTGTCCCAAATTAAAGATATGTTGCTTTTACAGAGATTTTTTTATGAACATCAATAAGTCTTAAAATGAGGTAAAGGTTCAGATCAACATCAGATACTTTCATATAGAGTCAAAAGACAATCAAAAATAATCTATATCAAATTTAGAATGAAATAGTTTTAAGTTTATATAACTGAGATGTGATGGGAGATTGTTAAATCAAGAAAGATAACAGTAGTAATAACAGATATGATTTTTTTTTGTAGTTTTGATACAGTGAAAGAAGAACAGAGAAAAAAATGTGCATGATATAAAAAACTCGGGATTCTGAAGTCTAATTTTTGAGTGGTTTAGGTAAATAAAGATTTTGGGTTGAAGGTTCAGTTCATTTGATTAATGACAAGCCATTCCTTTTCCACCATCTTCGTAACTTAATTCACGATGAAAAAGAAAATGTCCAACAAATGCACCACTATGATCAATATTGAAAATAAAAAATTGTGATTAGTAAAAAGATTGTTTTAGTAAATGAACAAGGTGGGTTTTTTACTTACGCTAGTACAGCAGCTATGATTTGAGCATTATAAGTCATCACCACTATGAAATTCAAAGATAAGCAATAATCGTCAATTAAAAAGTAAGAAAAGAATTCAAAATTCATCTCCAGGCAGTTTTTTTACTTACCTAACATTAAAAAGAAAGAAACCGCAATGTTTGCAACATAAAACAAACTACGAGTAAGTTGAAGATGTTTAGGAACCACGAATTTTCCCCAAGCTTTTATAGAATCCAAATTTTCATTCGAACTTGAAGAAGCAGAAGAAAGGTTTCGATTAGGTGAATCACTTCCTCCCATCCGTTTTCCATTCCGTTTGGAGCTAGATTCCATCCCTAATTTGATTCGAGTCATACAATCATATCGTGTGGCTGCTAATCTCATATACTCATAACCGATTGATAAAAGGAAGAGTAGGATCATGTACATTATTAAAGAAGTTGTTCCTGAGACATAGAATCGTCGGAAACTGTTACATAGTCAAAGGAAAGATTCAAGGTGCTTTAGCTTGATAGGTCAACTGAGAATCGGCATTCAGGAATCTAGAAGTGACGAGACGTGTAGAACTAGTCGGTTGGAAATCTAGTTTTGAAAAGATGCATACACGATACAGGTACCGGTGGCGTCCCAATTGAAGATCTGATCCGAAAAACAATCAATTAATGCTGTCATCCAAAATTGTCTACGAATGAAAAAACGTTACTAACCATATTCATTGAACATCTTCTCATCGCATCAGCACCCATATCATGATGCATAGAGTGATCCATGGTAGAGTGATCCATCGTAGAATGATCGTGATGATCCATATTGGTGAATTGTTTGACGATCGAGTTAGTTAAACTATCAAAAGATAGAGTAGATTGAAGTATAGGAGTCTTGGTTGTAGGTTGATGATGATTGATGAAGATACTATTGGATTTAGATTGTGAATAGGAAAGAAGTGGTTGAGCAAGTGAAGGTTTTAATCGATCCGGTATGGTTTTGGGGTTAAGTTCGAGCTGAGCACTTAAGAGTTTCATGTCAATTTCTTCTAAAATTTCAATTGAACGGTTTATTTATTCAGAATCGGATCGTTGTTTCATCGAAAGATGAGAAGTTGATGTGAACAAACTTTTCTTTACCATCCAACTTGAACCAGCAGGGATGCCAATGGTAAAGGGTTCTTGATTCTGATTCTCCAAATATGGTAAATGATAATGTTCATACTTTATGATTTACAAATTTACTGAAACCTCATATTGGATCATTAGAGTTAGATTGGATTTGTCTCCACAGAAAGTCATCTTTGTTTGTCTATCAATTCTTTGTGAATGCCAATTCAATGGATTCACATCTTCAAAATCCGAAGTATAGCCGTTTCATCAAGAGAGATCCACTTTCTTTTGAAGCAAGTTGTTGCCGCAGCGAGCAAAACCAGGCAAAGGTCTTCTTTACAGGGGACCCCAACCCAACAAAGACCCTCTCGGCGAGCGAGCCTGAAGGGGACCGGGGTTATGTTTTCTATATTCTCCAAATGAGTAGAGAGACAGAAAGTGAGAGAAGTAAACTCGGCTTTCGCACCGTGACGAGATTTTCAAAAAAAAGACAATCTTCGTTGAAAGTTAAACGGCTGTAAATACCTATTGATGCAGATGATAATCTTCAATAAGTGTTGCTAATTTTATCAATCAAAAAACATGGGATTGCAGTCAAATCAAGTGACTGTGATGAATGGGACTCCATGTGTAGAGTGAAGGTTTATTTTCTTCTGTCAATGCTGCGGACCAAGTTATTAGAAAGTTGATCCACTCTGATATATGTATATATCCTAGACAGATTGCAGCATTCTTCATGATTGTATAAGATAGGTTTGACAAACGTAACAAAGTTCCTCACTGCTGTTGAGCCAGATGGCTGTCCAAGGACTTACATAGTCTTGTTGTAACACACCTCCAAAGTACAGAAAATGAGAAAGTAAAAAAAATCAAAAGAGAATTGTTATCATCAACCAACCTATTGATTGAGCTCAACGAAGTCCCTCACAGGTGGTGAAACCCAAAGCCTGCATAGGGACTTACACCAAATGTGGCCTTCCTGGTGTGAGAGGGAGATTTGGTAGGAAAACTCACACAAAAGAAATACCTCCACAACAGAAGAGGTAATTGAATGCTGCTTGGGGACATAAAAGTCCCGCTTGTTTCAAGCAGCACACTTGTCTCAGATCCCACCTTCCACCATTCTTGAAAGATTATTGATGTCCAAAAAGCTTATATTTGGTTTTCAAAAATCTAAAGAGGAAGACAATGTTAAACTTACACAAAGGCACAATCTGGATGGCAATGGAAACTGGAATATGGATATGGAGGATCTGAATGATGTAGAGTTTTTTCATGCACCGTGGCCTATATGAGTTCAACGCTTGCAGAATCTCATAGGCTACGTGATTGACCTAGGAGCTCCACAAATATAAGAACTCGTGGTATTACTTCTTATTACTTTTGACCCTTGTGAGACTAGGTGGCAATCTTAATTTTGATAAGTCTTTTTAGACAGTCAGTTCTTGAGGGTTCCATATATCAGAGAAGCTAGCACTGGCAGGTGGTACACCATTAAGGTTTCAAGGTGAGAATTCCTGGATAGTACAAAACTGTCTCTGGTTGATGATCCTTTTCATCCTACGCAGTGCATACTTGATTAGTAGGCGTATCCCACAAAATGTCCCTCATGGATCAAATGTGGAGATATTTTGGAGTTGATTGTAGACTAAAAAAAGTATTCTCTATTTTGGACTGTTTGAATAGTACCTTCCATTGTTTGCAATGGCATGAAGCAAGCTGGATTATGATTTAAAAGCTCAACGCAAACCTTTGGTAGTGGGTTTTAAGGAGGCAATAGCCATTCAACCTGGCGATGCGGGGCTTATATATTCATCTTCTTGTCAATGAATTTCTTATTCTGTTCAAAGGATGTTTGGGCTTTACATGATTGGGGGATTATGTTCGGAACCTCAAAAGAGGCTCATGATATTAGGCAAACCAGTTATTTCCACTGCCTAAAAGTCAGGACCTTTACTATGATGTCAATTTGGACAAATCCTGATTTGTTCACCTTGACGTAATATCCCCGACACGGTGCCGAAGTCTCATCTCCTCCAGCCTCAGATTCGATTTATCTCCTCTACATTCCTGATAAATGCTTTGTCCTATATAATTGAAGCACTGTGTAATTATTTTGTGGGTGTTTGTCTTGTTAGTTTAAGGCTTTTTTCGAGAATAGCAAGGCTTTTAAGTTCAGGTAGAAAAGTTTTACTCACCTTGTACTAGGCTGGCCAAATAGCAAGCGTGGGTTTGCCTATTTCGCTCTCTACACGGTGATATTTTCATCTACTTCTTCCTCCATCTCACAATATTTTACAATAATCCCCCCAACACTGACCAAATACCAAAGGGGATTAAGCGGGCCCAACTCTAGCTTGAAGCTAGAAAGATTGTCAGTATGAGCGGAAAATATACACCTTCTGAATATCTCATTAGTTTGTGAAATACCATGTGAATGAATTTCTTCCAAGCATGACAAACAACTGACTATGGGACATCAATTGGTGTCAAAACAAAATCAAATTGCGGTATACTATCGTATAATGAGGGAATTCGGACCATGGATATATCATTCGAACCGAATGGTCGACACGGTAGATGATGATGACAAACATAAGTTACGTTTCAAAGGGTTGTATTACAATAACGAGTCTTGACCTCAAAAACATCAAGTTGTTGTACATATCGATTTGGTTTTTAAATCAAAAGCTTCATTTCTAATCGGATTTTCTACCACATAGAATGGATCTTTCAATAGTTCACCATAAGCTTCATAAACCTTTTTTAACAATTTGTTAGGAGATGGGTGTGACGGAGATGTGAAGATGACGAATTTAGTACCTAAGCAAACGTCCAAAAACAGTCATCAACAAAACAAATCAAAAAGATGCAGGGACGATGAAAAACAAAATTGTTATACCGGTCAGAGTTTGAAGACATGAAACTTTGAACGTTTCAGCTTCAAGGAATTGTAGACCAGATCCAGCTGGATGGACAGGTGATAATTTTGAGGTGATCGCGTGTATTCCATGAAAAGTTCCAGCTAAGATCAAGTAATCATTTGAACTCAGGTTTGGTAAAAGACCTTCACTGTAGGTCTTCTGACTTTGTGAGTAGTTTGTTTGCGGTTTGATCGAAGATAAATCGGATATGAATACTTGATCTAGAGTAGAAGTAGAGGAATGTTGACTGAACTAGATCAATCCGCCTGCTTTGTTAATGATCCATAGCGAGAATGTTGTGTTCGACATGGTTTGAGCAATTTCCGGAGTGCTGGTATCGGTCGTTGGTGTGGTGTCCACTGTCAAATTCACTTGAAACACTCAGATCAGAAGCACATACATATTACACATGTGAAAGACGTAAAAGCTCGTGTGTCAGGGCTGTATGAGATGTATGGGTACATGCTACCGTGTCCAAACCTCGCCACGATCATGCTGAAACTTGTTTCCACAAGTAAACATTCTTCCCTCGTCTTCAATATTTGACACTATGAAGCACAAGCAAAGCATTCGAGACCTACACTATGACACACTTTGGGGATCGGGATGTCAGCGAACTTTGCTGGGTAGATATCCAGTGTGGTTAAATGTTTTAAGACACATCGTACAAATCGAAGTTTCCAATTTTCAATTAAGTCGGAATAGAACTCTAGTCCAAAGTTTGAGCAATTCCCTCACAATGCCGAGACGCCGTAGAGGATTAATTGTCGCGTTTCTCATATTTCGGTAACCGGTCAATCTGGGATTCAGCGGCGTGGCGACTGAAGTACATTTGATCTAACTCCTTGTATCACCACCACCTCTGTTTGAAAGGTTGAGAATTTGAATTTTCTGTGAGGCTAATCACTCATCTACGGCGTCCCTTGGAACATCGTACCTGCTACATCAAGCCTACGATCACCTATAAAAGTGTCCATATTATTGATCGATCACGATTAGTCACATAATCCCACATCGCCCATTTCCCATCTAATATAATTCCTCACTTAATATAACACATACAAGTACAGTTGTCTCTGAAATAACCCATACCTTTTTATGGACCCCAAAAGGTATGGGTTTTCATAGAGTATGTGTTATCACAATGGGCTTTTGGGCTAAAAAGTGAAAATTATGGACCAAAAAAAGTATGGGTTAGGCAAGAGTATGTGTTATAAGTGGTATGGGTTATTTCAGAGTTGACTGTAATTAGTATAACAATAATTATTACTATAACATGTCTCTAATCAAATTCATCGCTGCTGTCTTGACTCTTGTCATCATCGAGGCTGTTGTAATGGTTGAAGTCAACGCAGCCGTCGCTCAAGATTTTTCACCCATCAATCACGCCTTGGCTCGACGAGACCTTCCTCCTTGCAAGCAGATTTGGCCCACAGAACAGGCTCCTACCGAAGACCAGCGAGTTTACGACTTGAATGTAGACATCAAAGCAGTCAAAGGACCAGGATGGCGTCCGTCAGTCTGCGACAAAGCGTTTTGGAACTGTGTATAGTAAGCAAAGAATCTTATGCAAGCTATCACTATCATCTACTAATCCCAACATCTTATTTTCAGTGTCCAGGCAGGGGTTAACCCAGCCAGAGGAGGGTTTTCTTTGGCCGCTAGATTTCCCCTTGATGATGGTAGTGAGTAATGATTCATTGAAACCAATCGTAAGCAAGAATCAGTAGCTAATCAACTACCAAACAGCTCATGTTGAGGTTTATAGGTACTGGCAATCGACCATTCAGGTTAGTTCTTATCTTCTTCTGTCACCAATTGAGCAGTAGTATCAACGCTGATAAATTTTTCAAATCTAGTGGACTGCAAACGGTGGTACCGTGAACTCTTATATGGCACACGGTGTTGATTATGTTTGCGTTAAAGGTACACTGGCAGTTCAATTTGTGTCGAGCGGAAGAAAACTTGTTGGAAACCCCAAAACTCCCAACGAATTTACCTGCGAGTGTCACTATCCACTTGATGAAGATAAAGTTATATTCTTCGATTGATCCATAGTAAATTCTTATTGAATGGTATGTTTTTTTGAAGGTGTATCATCCTTTTGAAACTTTGAATCAATCTGAAACTTGTTCTTTTTGTCACCTAGAGACCTTGGTCCTTTTACCAAACATCAAGAATTCAAAAGCCTTACTGATCAAGATCAACTTATCCTTAAAGTCGCTATCATTTTCAGATTTAATTGGACTCTTGGCATTTTTATCTCAACCGGACTAAATATATATAATCACTCAAAGAGAGCGTCTTCATTATTGTCCAACACATTACTTTAAACTTCCTTGGCTCAACCTCACGCTGTAATCGGTCGCATCCGGAATTTTCTTGGGTTATTCAAATCTTCTGTTCTAAATTTTATATCATAATGTCTGTTTTAGTACAAACGTAGATCTGTAAGATTTGAGAGGATTACACAGATGGACTTTCACGTGTTATGAGGTCATCCAACACCTTTAGCTACTATAGGGCCATATAAATAGTGTAGTTACCTCGTCCTTCTGTATCTTTTTAAGTTATTATCTTGTTCCTTTATTTTTGTCAATATCAACCTCATAAACAACTTGAAGAGTTATGCACCTTTTTTTATCCCAAAGCCTTCATTTGGCAGGCATAGCGAACGGGTCAATGTTTGCCCTCAGGTGTTCTTTTTTGCATCACGTTTTCTTTGGAGTCACGTACTTACAGATGACAATTGCACAACGCAGTGAGACCAAAAAAAAGAGTTGGACCCAAAGACTCTGACTTGCTCATCTGCATGTTCTTGCAAAAAGAAATGAGAATTTCAGAAAGTGAAGGAAACATCTTTGCAAGATTTTGTATCAGAATTAAAACTTGATTGAACAAGTTGTAGATCACACTTTGTTTTTTGTTTGAAAATTTGATGTAAGAATCAACATCCTCTTGGAAGAAATGGAAAGGTAAATCCACCTTTTATCTAGATGCATGATCAATACCTTTCACAAAGGAACGGAGGGGAAAGATTGCCTTCATTGCCTCAGAACTTGGGACACAGGCTAAGGCTCAACACTTGACTGAGGTTCATCAATAATCTCTATTAACTGGGCAAAAAAATCCTCATGGAATTTGAGATTTTTTTGTGAGAGGACCTAGGTTCAGCTTGATGAAGTATCTTTCACTTTAACAGCCACCTAAGTCTGCCAATGCTACACTTTTTTGGGTATTTTATGCCTTGATACCTACTGGTGTCCAAAATAAAGTATGCCGCAAGGTGCTATATGAAAATGTCCAACTTGATTAGAACACAATCCTGATACCTATAACAATAACTGATAGTTTGGTACGCAGCAGAAGATAACAATAACACTCTCCTACTTGAATAAGTGAGCTGACCTACAACATCAACATACCAAATAAAAAACTTGAAAAGAATAAGTCTATGAAGGCAAGTAAGTGATAAGTTTATCAACAAATACCTTTGATGAGGTTTAGAGAATGGGTAAAATAGGATATTATAATAATGAGATATATGCTGATCTATGCAAGAGAATGATAATGCTACAGAAAACAATACCTCAGATCATCATATATTCAATCAGAAACAAAAAGTAAAAGTTAATGGTATGTATGTTCTGTTTCCAAACATGGGGAAATAGAATTCATAGTACAACAGACAACTAGCTATCTATAATTAAATCATTTGGTTGGGATAACTACTGATGTCATGTTATGCTTGCCAATATCTCCTTTATAATCACAGTTTTTCTCTCATCTCTTTAATCTTTTTTCTTTTGCTGACTATAAATTCTACTTTCAATTTTAATTATTAGCAATACACAAAAATCTCAACTGGACCCAAACATCCACCAAAAAAAACCATGAGAACCCATGAGAACCCCTGCCAAAACCCAAAATTTGTCTTGGGTTATTTGGATGGGGTTTTCAGGTTGGGTCAAGATGTTTGTGTACTGCTATTTTTTTTGTTGATGGAATATTAACATTAAAAAGTAAAGGCATAATTTGACCCTGACCAAGCTTGTCCAGGAAAACATGTATGCAAGTTGGCAGGTTGAGGGTATTTCATGCAAAAGGTTTGACTGTACATCAAACCTGATGCTCAAAATGTGTGATGGATCACTTTGAAATAAGCATAAAATCATATCTGGGGAGAATATTATGCTAATTCTCATTTTGGGAATTGAGAACCACATTCAAGATGATTATTTTAAGAAACTATAGTTTTTAGACATTTCTGACAGTATTTGTAAGCATATTGGGCTGATGTCAGCATAGTTTATATGCCTATAGAACCTGCCAAATACACCCCTTGTAAGCATATTTTCAGGAAAATATGCTTTCAGTCTTTATGCTGAAGTGTCCAACTTAAGCCCCCAACAGTTTTTATTCATCAAAACTTGATCACTATAGCAAAACATCCTTACTCAATGTGTACCTATATTGAGCAGCAACTGTGATACATGGAGACATTTCATGACTATGACATGACACAGGGTGTAAAGATTTTTTTTGCACATGACCATGCAACCTGTACACTCCATGACCCCAATTTGCCTGGAGTGAATCAGACTTTTTGACTTGGATAGTTCATTTTTACACTCACTGTGGGTGCACAAATCAAAATTTGATCCAGGGCCAAATGCATATATTTGCAAGCAGTGAGAGGAAGCAAAATGAAAAAATGACAATCCTTGATTTTGTATATTTTTACACTTGACAATTGCACCTCTTCAGGCCAGCTGCCGCATTGTCTCTTGTCAACAACATTATCTCATAATATCAATATGTGCTGTGCTACTTAGTATGCACCACCACAATTATGCATCAGCTACAACAATATTATGCTTAGATACCCCAGGGAGGAGTGTTATTTTGCTTAGGCTAAAATTTGGCTGTGTTACTCACAGAATGTTCTTTGCAGTGTAGTTCTCTAGATTCAAATAAATACTTGATGGTTGATGATCACGGTAGATTTTCCTGGGTAGTGACTAATTTGTAGTATGCAAATTTGGAAATTTAGTTAGTTTGATATGAGTCTCTGTAGTTATGTTCTCAGTCTCTACATTTTCACTCTTGTGCTTTGTTCATGTATCTTAGTCAATCTCAATCTCAAGTTTCCTTGAAGACAGAGCCTATCTTGTTTAGCAGCCACCCTCGCATTTAAAGAGAGAGCTAGAGCAGCTGACGAGTTTGTGATGATCCCCGTCTCATCACGTTCTTTTTTGAACATGGATATTGAAGGATGATACTGGAACACAGTGAGCACAAAAGAAAGAGTCAAAGAGAATACTACTTGATAATTTTAATTTCAAATTCTCTTACAGAGAATTATGGTTCTCAAACCTGTGCAAGAACTGTGCAAGACCGACGTGCAAGATCCGTGCAAGATTTCTTGCACCAATCTTGCGCATTAAATTTTTTGACGACCCCAGCTATTTTGTTCCAACTGGTACGAAAACCGTGCGAGACCGACGTGCAAGTTCCGTGCAAGTTCCGTGCAAGTTCTATTCATGTCTTGCACAGAAGTTGCTCGAAAATTGCACAAATTTTTGCATAGGTTTGAGAACCATAAATGTAATCATAAATTAAGAAATCGAATGTAGCTCTTCTGAAATATTTTGTATGACAAGTAAAATTCTAGTATATATGTTGAATGAGATCAAGAATTATCTAAGGTTGGATGACATGATTATCCCAATGTCAACTTTTCATACTCGTGTTACAAGTTTTGATAGAAGATCTTGGTACCTAGCATAGAAGTTGACCCAGTTCAAAGTTGACTGTTTTAATGATAGAAAAGATCCGGTATCCGTCAGACTCCCTCTCAAGTGAATAGGATAGATTGTGGATTGATATGAAGACACAGATATTTTGGATTACAACTTACCTAAGTGCGCGAGTCAACTATGTCTCCGGAATTACGTCTATTTCTTCTTTTCAATCCAGACAATTTTATCGTCATCGAGGGGATAGTGACAATCGCAGGTGTACCCATCACTATTGACATTTTTGGGGTCGTGAACAAGGGTTGATTTGTTGCCTAACCATGTTACTCCCATGGTTCCTGTCACGCAAGAGTAATCAACACCGTGTGCCATGTATGAGAGGACAGTACCACCATCACCCTTCCACTATTGTCACAAATCAGTCAGTATGAATGCTACTTTTTTATACATTACTTGCGGATCAGTACAGCATAATGAGCTCGCTGACGATAATTGTAGGACCCTGGAATACACCCATGGAGGGTACTTACGAAAAAACCGACCTTTTGTTGACGTAGTTTTTCGATACTAAACTGCACTTTATCAATACCTACAGGAGCACAAAAGATGCACCAGAATAAAGGCTTTCAAATGCACTAGCTCGCAGCCTGGTAGCACCAATATTACCTAAGATATATCAATGTAACGCCCAAAAAAGGGCCAAAAATCGAGGGTCGGTTTTTGGCCTTGGAGGTCGAAAAAAAAATTGCGCCATCGCGATTTGGGCCGCCGTGAGACACGATGCCGGGCTCTGTCTGGTCTCATCTGATAGCCCTACTCCATGCGCATCTTTTGAAGTGCTCTGCAGCTTCATAGAGGCACTGATGCGTAGTGTAGAGGCAAAAAACTGAAAATCATGCTCCGTCAGTACCCTCCATGGGTGTATTCCAGGGTCCTATAATTGTAGACTGCCAGTATTGGTAAATCTCGACGCGTGCGGCTGTTCAGACGCCAATCAGCTACTACATAGAGTTCTTCTCAAAATTAGAATGGTACGTACTATTATCGTCAATCGGATAACTTGCGGACTGAGAAAACCCACCTATAGGATCGCTTATACTCGGCTGGACACTGAAACAGAACCATGTCATTAGTATATAATGCAAACCCCATAGGTTTGCCAACCTACTAGACGCAGTTCCACAGCTTGTCGATGCAAAGATCCGGACGCCAGCCAAAGTCCTTCTTTTGAGCTTTGACTATGTTCAGAGCGTGTTGTCGTTCTTTGTCAGTAGGATACGGTTGAGGGGGCCACCTCTGCTCGCAAGGAGGAAGATCTCGAGGTAGCAAAGAGTGGGTCAGGGGGTATGTTGTTTCAATGTCTGATGGGTGCACTTTAATCATCACAAAAGCCTTGATGATAAAGATAGTGAAGAGTGTATTGCGAAACTTTGAGAAAGCCATATTTGATCGTTGAGCTCGTAAATGAAGATGAGGGAATGATGAGGTCAAGATTTTTTTTGAGATTCACGAATTTTATATCGAATTGGGAAGGCATCATTTGGCGCGTGGGTGGAATGTGAGATTTTTAAATCTTTCAGCGGTGTAAAGCCAGCGTAGGGTTGAGTTCTAGACAGTCACCATAAGGACACAGCCCAGAATCCCAGATGCATCAGAAAAAAGTATCTTGAAGAAAGCGCAATAGGTCACATGGCAATATGAGGATAAATTTGTCCAAATTTACTTTCGAGAATTCGAGCCAGACTTCAATGATTGATCGGATGTCAGCACAGGTCACCAAATCGTCAAGCTCTGCAACGAGGCTGTTCGACTTGGCTCTACTTGGCTACATACATACTCATTGGCGGTGCGCGGATGCAAACTTGCAGACAAAAATAACAAATTTGGCCAAATGTCTGTCCGCGAGGCGCGTGGACGTGGCCGCGCAGAGAGGGCGTGTGATTGTTCTACTTGAGACAACACGCGAAGTATCCAGCACAGTCTTACTGATATATGCTGCGTGACTTTAGTGTGCACCGCTACAAATATACACCAGCTACGACCATACGATAGATGATTCGGAGAGGCATACCTGTCTATCAAGCCAGAATCCGGCATGTGGTAATATTCTTCGCAGTGCAATCCGAAACCATTCTTTCGTATCACGAATTATGAACAAAAAATAAGTCGACGGAGAAGAGCACAATTGATAGATAAGACGATCTACTCTCAGTTGTTGGTATTACCCTGATCACGTGCCCTCAAAGGTTCTCTCACATACCACCAAAGAGAAAAAAATTATGATACATGGCTGGCATTCATTTTGTAATGTTTCCCTACATCACTTCATAACTTCTTTGGCAAATGAAAATTTGGTGTGCAACTTGATGTCAATGATCATCGAGTATACATCTATGATCTTACCTTATCTTACCAGCCCGGATCTCAACATATTCAAGTTAAGCTGTAAACCGTTCCAGTCATTCCAATATGAAGAAGGAACAGATCAAGATTCAAGTCTGCGCTTTCATTTTCAAACAAGGCAAGGCGCGCGCGTGAAAAAATTGAAAGAATGAGTCAAAGTCAAAGTGGTGGCTCTGATCTATCCTGATGCTCAATACATCGCAAGGTAATTGATCATGTCCACTATTCCTAATTTTACCAAAGAGAACTCCACTCAACTTCATAGGAAGGGTGTACAAAGGTAGCGCTGAAAGAAGCTTTGTCGTCTTTTTGAGAAAGTGGAAGTCAGAAATGTGAGGTCCTGATAATATTTATCAAAGCTGAAGGAATTATGGCTTATGGAGAAAGATATGTACAGGTCAGAACTGGGCAAAAACTGTTGACTTGTTTGTGGGGAGGAAGACTTTTCCACCCGTTTTTTTCCACCCGTTTTGTGGTGTAAAAAAAGGCAGGTGGAAAATTGCATAAGGTGGGGGGTCTTATGGAATTTTCCACTTTTTTTCATTTTTTCTCGCAAGTGGAAAACAAAAGGAGGAAAACCTAGGGTGGAAATTTGCATGCTGAGCCCAGCAATATCTAATTTTCCACCTCATTTCTTGCCACCTAAAAAGCGCGTGCAAAAGTCCGTGTGTAAAACTACATCCAAGGTACCTGAGATCGACTTTTCCACCCATATGTTTGCACTGAGGTAGGGATTTGCACCCTTGCTTTACACCCAAAGCGAATAGCTTGGTGTAAAAATGGGCTTTCGTGGTCAATACTCCATTTGAAAGGACGGGTTGCTTTCAACTCGTCCTTTTATGCTTTTTCGAAAGCACAAGGTGCTGTTCCTCAAACAAATATAAATACTCCCAGACTTTCGAAGCAGATCAATTCCCATCTGAGCATCGCAACATACAATCAACGGGCCATTTCACTTGATCATATTCAATCGCCTTTTGTTGGAAGGCAGTGTGCCAAATCAATAAATCGATTGATCCTTTTCAAATCACATCATACCAAAAGACCAAATCAATAAACCTCATTTCACTCGATCAATCATACTCAATCGCCTTTTGTTGGAAGGCAGTGTGCCAAATCAATAAATCGATTGATCTTTCTCAAATCACATCATACCAAAAGACCAAATCAATAAACCTCATTTCTCGTGATTTTATTCAATTGCCTTTTGTTGGAAGGCAGTGTGCCAAATCAATAAACCAGTTGATCATCATCATACCTGGAGAACAACCATACAAAATATAGAGTCTCCACCCTCATTGCTAGATATTTTACGTATCCATTCCAAAGGTATAATCCAAAACCACCAAACAGTTTCCATCACTATATTTGATCGATAAATGGACTGAGGCAGATTGATATAGATATTATGGAGGAGATGGATAGTTGAAACATGGCTTGATGGAGAGGGACAGGACGGATTGGGAATAGAAATATGGCAGCGAAAATTTTTAACAATCACCCTGTTACCAATTTTCTTTTCCTTACAATCAGATATCTTCCGAATCAAATAGCTTTTTCTTGTTTGTCTCACTCTCTCGACTATCCTTTAGAAGACCTCAACTTCAACTTTCAAAAAAGGCTCATCTCGATCTCTCTCAAAAATGTCCTCATCCAACAAGTTTACGCAAGATAGTCCAAACACCAAGGCAGGCATTCAAGCATCCCAGGCCTTAATCAACTCAAAAAACCTTGACAAGATAGTGGATATTCCACTAGATTGCTTTATCGGGGAGGATTCGAAACTTGACTCGCAAGGTTACCCACTGTATCCCAATGGAAACACTGTCTGGATCAAGCACCCAGATGTTGAAGCTCCCCTCAATTTCGGAAAAGTTGGTTTTAGTTACTCATCAAGAGTCTCATGGTCAAAGAATAAACGTATCAAGTCAACCAAGTTCAAGTGCCTCGGAGTACTGATGTGCAGTAATGATTTATGTGATTATCGTGGGCCACCCCCAACTGGAAAGGGGAAGATCCCGGAGCTCATGGCACAGTGAATACCCCTTCACTCTATCATACAATTTGGATCCTCATGCTGATAAACTGTTCCAGACACCCTACCTGCCTTGCACCACGCTGCAGCAAAAAGCTAGCTCACATAGATTGTGAAGGCACACACACCCGAGTTGACGTGGATATGGTCACAGGCTGGTCGAAACTTACTCATTCAGGCATCCATGGACACCCTTGGCCAGATTCAAAGAAGCCTGATCTGTTGTCAAAAGCAAAACTTGCTCAAGTGATTGTGAATAACCCGGATACAGCTCCTTTTCTACTCCGGGTATGTGTTTTCTTTGCGATCAAATTTGCAGCGACTATATTGAGATGTGATTGACTTGATGTGTGATTATGGATGCACAGGTTGGTCGATCAAACGCAGGGCAGGCTCCTATCAAGAGTGTAAACCAAATACATCCATCTCTGGGTCATAAAGACCGTCTGTCTTATCTTCGGCGTGACATATTGGTCAAGGCGGGCCTGATGCCCGCAAAAGCTAGTGATGGAGGCGGAGACAAGCTACTTCTAGATATGTTTCACTGGAATCAGTAAGCCACCTTGATCAGCTTCTACCTGTTTCTTCCGCTTGTCTGAGCATTACCTTCTCTGGTGTTTCAATTTTATTAATCCAGCCAGGGGTTGAAGATAATCTCATCATCATTTATGGACAACGAGGAGCACTTCACCTTCCAGACCCAGTGGATGGCTGAACGGCTGATGGATCGTGACGAAAAGAATGACGTATATCGAGGTGGACTTTTATCGGATGTTACATACAAGTTTTTTGAAAATGGTTATCTCCTTACGACATCTATGTACTGTGAAGATTTAATGAGATGGATCCCAGTTCAACTTACTTGGTTGCGAGGTCTCAAAGTCAGCCATTATAAATGTCATTTTGTCACTCTTCTGAAACAATTCTTTAAGGCCTCCATGACAAAGCATGAATGCGAGATCCTTTCTCGCCAAGTTGTAGACTTCTCGATGTCCCAAAAGGAGGGATTTGTACAAGCTTATATGGAGGTTTTTGGTGAAAGTGACCGTGCCCGGGTCATGCGATTGCTGAAAGGTTGTCAGGAGCACTTTCGTCAGCAGGTCACCCGAGTCAAGCGCAACCATAAAATCATTCCACCACGCTTAGAGGCAACGTTGGACCGGTTACGTTTTTTTCAACATGTAACGTGTCGCCCCGTAACTGGTTTACGCTATCGGTCGGGGCCGTTTTTTGTAACGTACTTACAGGTACGTTAGCCAGGTATGTCACAGTAATTTTTTTTGTGAAAATACGTTAGCATCCTTGTGACAGCCCTGGTTTTGAATTTTGGTGCGTTACATGTGGATCCACCAAGAACCTCCGTTATCGGCGATTGTCCTCCATCATCATGCTGAATCAACCATTAGGACACCTCACCATCATGTACGATGATGATGTGACCAACTGGTTGCATCATCAACTCATTCGACGAACCCCCACCCGGACGAAGATGACCGAGTCAGATGTTTTCAGTCCTACCCCTGATGTAAGTGTCGCTTTCATCAGAATCCTCCTCATTTTTGTTATGATTCGATTCCCATACTTCGATTGATTTTCTTTTGATTCCTGATATCCCTCCAATAACCAGATCGCAAGTGACCTCTTCTCTTCTATCATTTCCATCTTTTCTATCATTTCCTCTGTATCTTTGCTGAGAATCAATCCTAATATCACTTTCAATTTGATTTATCCCCTGATTTCAATATCTAGATATCTCGATTGGTTTCTACAAGTCTCAACTCTATTTCTAATCTCATCTTTGTCAACATGTGTGGAGACTCTGGATGTGAGACCGAATCCTCCCAACCCCGTCGCACATCTCGCATTACTACTCCTGTTCGATTGGAACTCGGTATGATTCAACCATCACAGGATGGTCGCTGTGCTCTTTTTCTTCCATCTCCTCAACTACCTCCTTCGAATGGAAGCTCAGCTCCCAATCCAACTGGCCGCAAACGAGCCCGATCCACCTCTAGATCCGACTGCGAGACTGTTGTGAGTCACATCGCCCCCAAACAGGCTGATCGATCCAACCGAAGTGGTATCGAAAGAATGAAGACTGTCAGGCAGAAAAATACCTCATTTCCCCAAACAAAAGGAAAGAAAGTAAGTCTGTTACCCCACGACAATTTCCCAGTCTCAAATTTAACATTTAGATTTGTTTATGTTTTTGGTAGGCTATTCCCACCGCTTCTACAGCCACCTCAGGAACTTCCAACCGAGCCGAAGTGAGTCCTTGATCTTGATGATCATCTCAATCTATGTATCGGTCTTCCTCAAAGACTGTTTTGTATTTTTTTTAGAGCGTCGCTCCTTTGGTACCAAGCCAAGGCCCTTCCGCTAACCTGCGCCAAGACTCTGACGATGAGAACGCTAGGATTCGTAAAAAATCTAAGACTTCTCAATCAAAGACTTCTCAACCCACTGGCGACAAGCAGGACGTCTATGATGATGTTGAATTATACTATGGTGAACCAACTTGTGGTCCAGATGATGTAAGAATTGTCTTTTTTGTTTTACATCATCTCACAGCTCTCCTCCCAGATCTTTTTTTTCACTCTCTATTTTCAAATGATTTTCTTTCTGAAGTTTAGCTGAACCAATACTTGAATCGATGTAGGAGCCGGATTGCCCGTGTGACTATCTATGTCTTTGGTGTGGAAAGTTATGCCGAGGTCATGGAACAACTCGATCGAACCTGAAGATTCACCGCGATGGGTCCAATCAACCTGGAAGATCCAAGCTCGGTTGCCCTAAACGCAAGGAAGCCATAGCGCGCGGCTGCAAGCTACCTCCGAGTGTCGCCGAGGTGCAAGCCAAGAAATTAGCAAACACCCATCAAGTTTCGACCATGAACAACTTCGTCACCGTCACTCCTAAGTTCGATATGTTGGTATTCAATCGTCTCTTGACGCTATGGCAGGTACGGCAAGCCTTGCCATGGACTCGAATAGAAGACCCGCTTCTTCAAGCGGCTTTCTATTACGCTCGACCTGATGCCCGCCTTTACAACCGTAAGTGGACCGCAAACGAGGCGAAAAACCTCCATCTTAATTTAAGAGACTCGGTTTATAGTGAGCTGGAAGTGAGTAGATAACCCAATATATTTAGATTTGACAAATATACTAATAACTTTGTTCATTCTTTGTCTCACATATTCATGTAGTCGATTCCAGGTAAGTTCACATTGACCCACGATGTTTGGACGGTGAAAGGGAACTTGTGGGCTTTCATAGGCGGTGTTGCTAGCTATATCAACAAGGACTGGAATTATGTGTCACGTCATCTCACCTTAAAACGAGTTGCTCATCATCATAAGGGTGCTTGGCTCGCCGAGCCGCTGGTTACTGTACTGAAGAAACGAGGTATCTATAAAAAGATAAGTATTTTATTCATTTGTTTTCTATATTTTCTATCTTTCTCCTTTCCTCTGGCCTGACTTCACTCTTTTTGATGTAGTACATGCTAGCTCATACTACTGATTCAGCATCAAACAATGTGACATTGGCCACTGAGATGCATCATCAACTTCAAGAACACGACGGGTATTCCTCAGATTACTCGTGGGATCCTGAGACCATGCACATCAAGTGCATGTGTCACAAGATCGGTCTCATTGTCAACGCAGGAATAGCTGCCCTCGGTCTTCCAACTAACAATCAACGACACGAAGTGCTCGGTTTCTTTCCTTCACCAGAAGACTTACCGACCATTGATGAAAACGATGATCAAGAAGAGATTGAACCAGCTATTCTAGTTGGTTCTTCACCCTCAGAAGAAAACAAGTCTGATGTTGAACATGATGAAGATGAATTGCACGATTTAGAAAAAAAAGAATTTCAAGATCTTGAGGACGATTATTGGGATATGGAGGCCATTGATATTGTACCTAAGCCAACCAAAACAAAATCGAATGGTTTGAAAGTATTGACTCAAGATGTTTGTAATTTTATTCCTTCTCATATGTTTTAAATCAAAGTTGACACCTTTTCCTATTTTAGCTTGACTTTGTTGTCAAGAAGATCACACGATCCTCTGCCTGGCGCGAGGACTTTAACGCCCGTCGATTGGATCCGAGGCGAAAGCAACCAGATGGTGAAGGTCCAGGACGCTCTTTGATTTCCGGTCACGGTATCCGTTGGAACATCTGTCTGGACAGATGGGAGCGAATGTATGAGAATCGAGATGTATGTTATCCCGCTTAGTTTCAGAAGCTTTTTTCCGGTACTGAACAGTTGGTCATGCAGGTCATCGATGAGATGCTCAAAGAAGATGCGGCTAAGTCTCAAGCGAAGAAGTCCAGAAATTATAAGAGACCTTCCAAAAAAGCCTCTGGATATTTTCAAGAGACCTTCTTCTCCATCTCAGACTGGAGGAATGTAAGAGACTTACTTGATGAAATGCGAGTAAGTACCTTTGTCTTTCACACTACATTGAGCACCTGATTGATTACTGACTTGAGTTTTTTTGAACAGCCATTCAAGACTCTGACGAAGTGTATGGAGGCCAATGCACCAACTGGTTGCATGGTCCTTGCTGAATATCAGAATCTACTTACTTCTTTGACAGCACGATCTGCTGCGATTCCATATGACGATCGCATGCAACCATTCTTGAAAGCTTGTATTGAACGAACCAAAGTTTACTATGACGAAGCCCTCCATTGCAATACACTTCTCATGGCCGCTGTTTTCCATCCGTCCCTTCGATTACGGTTTTTCGAACATACCCTTGGAAACGATCATGCGATAACCACCCACACAAGTGATTACCTTAACAATCAGTTTACTCATCGCCAGTCTGAACTACAACTAGATCATCCATCTAAATCACCTCAAAGTCCTCAACTCGAAACCCCGGAAACTCATGTTCCCGATATATATCGACTGTATCAGACTCAATCTAACTCATCAGTGGCTAATGAGTTGGAGCGTTACTTGAAGGGCGACGACCCATTGGTTTTGTCGGGTTTCGATAATGGTCCTGAGTCCGTTCTTAAATGGTGGAAGGTAAGTGAAATTCAACAAATCAACTGATTTTCATTTAATTTCACTGATGCTCTTTGCCCGTCTCATCTTCAGGAACATCAAGATAAGTATCCTGTCCTGGCTTCCTTAGCACGGGACTACCTATCGGCCACAGGTTCTTCAGCTGCAGCTGAGCGAACTTTTTCAGCTGCAGCTGATGTCGCTACTGCCGTGCGAGGTCGTTTGGCGCCTCGCACCATTGAGATGTGCGTGGGTAGTCGCCTGTGGCTACGCAAAGGGGTTGGCATTACCGATGATTATGAAGAAGTTGGTTTGGTCATCCAAGCTTGGGAGGAATTGGTCAAGAAGAGAAAAGGGAAACAAAAGGCTCCCCCTTAGCTTATGCCTTCAATTGAATCGATTGCACAAATCTCACATAAAATTTTCTCCTTTCTCAACGTTTCATGTATTTTCTCAGCTTCACAGATAAAACTTAATTATTTCAAATAAGAACTCTTTTTTTTCAATCTTGTGATCAAAAAAAATTGTTATATTTCTTTGCTTCTTTTGGTTGAACCACTTTTCTGACCGAAGATCTTTTTTTTAATGTTTTTTTTCTTTTTCTGCCTGCTTTTGCTTGTTTGGCCGTTGCGTTCCGACTTTTTTGCGATCACCTCCGTTGCGTTTTTGTTTGTCCTGGTTCTCCAAAAATTTGTATCGTTGCACTCAAAATGAAATCTGACAGCCTTGTGTTACGTTATCACATCGTGATAACGCCCTTTAAAATTTGACCGATACGTTGGCCAATAACGTGTGAGTAACGTAATTTAGCGTAACGGTCCAACGTTGTTAGAGGTTATTATGAGCTTTTTCACTGAAATTCATAAGGGGGTGATGTTTGCTTATTTATGTATTTCTCATTGTGGAAATATCAACAGTCTGACTTCGCCGCACTTGCAATGGGTTTGCTACAAGAAAAGGAAGACGGGGGAAAAACTCACAAAGAAAAGCTAGAATACATTCGTCAAAAGTTTCCTAAAGTAAAGCGATGGTTAGACTGGTGGCAAATGTCAGATGTTCAAGCAATGGTATTTCCAAGTCGTCGGCCCCTCCCGGAAGACTTGCCCGATGCAGACCATGGATTACCTGACACGACAAACGCACAAGAGTCAATGCATTGAATATATTACATGTTGTGGTGAAATATAATTTTGTCTCTAGAATCAATCTGATTTGTATATAGCTGACTCATAGTTACATCCACCTGTGGGTTCTACCAGTGACGGTAAGACATCCTTGCAAGTTGGGATGGTTCAGCTCTTTGCATTAGTTCGCTGCCATGAGCATGATCATCAGCAGATTCTCCGTGGTATCTCGGTCGAATACGGATCTCAGAGCAAGACCTACACCTACATTGCTCAGTCGCTTGGTCAGAAGAAGCCTGCAAAGCGGAAACATGAGAAGACTGACGGAAGAGCTCCAGATACTACTGAGGCTTTGATTGGCAAGGGTGCAAAGCTTGGGCGGCCTAAAGGAAGTCTCAATGTTGACCGCAATCCGGTGACTACCTACCAGAGTTATTCAGCCTCAGATGTAGCAACTTCTAGAAATCGATGTTGGATGGCTTCAGTGTTAGAATAAATGTATTGCTTGTTCAGCCCTCATTGGATTCAAGGATCTCGTGGACGGGAAACCGACATCTTTACGATTATCACCTATCATTTTGACTCACGTGCAACCTACGAGCTCAATCAGTCCGGTGGGATCAAATCCATACTCACTAAAGCACAGAATAAGATTGCTCGTGCTCTAGATAAGAAATATCAAGGTTCATTTCGGCCTGGATGTTTTGCCTCTGCTGACTATTTCATCGAAGTCATTCTTGATACATCAAAAAATAAAGCTGTAATCCTCAAGACCCTCTTCAATTTCACCAACACTTTACAATATCATTGTGCACATTTCCCAGAGAAGCATCACTCTGAAGATACCCGCACTGAGAACACTATCAAAATCACTCGTAATGCATTTGATGGTGCCGAAATCGATCATCACAACATTTCAGCTCTCCTTGAACAGTGGACAACAACCGGAATCACTATCAAATGTGGTAGAGTCTGTACTACATGCAAAGAACACCAAAAAGCACATTATGAGGAAGAATCAACATCGACTCCTACCACACCATCATCAGAATCTTCAACTGTGGAAGTGGTAAAACAAATACCAAATTCGTCCTTTAATCCTCCAGATTTAATCAAGCACTCGACACTCAAACTCGAATCCAAGCCGCTTCACCTTTACTTTCATCTTGAAGTCACATCAATACTAGACTTGGATGAACGTGCTAGGTTTATGAGCAAGATGGATTGGCCGGCTACTTTGACACTTAATGGACATAGATACTTATTAATGTCTCGTGGCTACTGGAATGCAGCTCACTTCTGGACAAAGGTCGTACGGAATCATGATGGATTACCTGCAGTTTGGCTTTTTGATGATAGCAAAAATGCAGGCTTTGCACGCCTAATAGATCGTAAAATCTCAAATATTGGCGGGCCGTCTCCAAACACCAGTTGGCTTTTCTACTCGCGCGAATCCACCATAGAAGAGGATTCTTCCCTGCGTAAATCAGTCGAGCTTATCAAGCGTAGTAATCCAAACTATCCTGGATTCATTACCTCTCAAGGTGTAGCTGAATTACTTGCACCTCATCGACCTCAGATACTTGAATCAACTAAGGAAGATTTATGTGCCTCAGATGGAAACACAGATGAACTTTTCTTGGAAACTCGAACTGGTGTGCAATCATTTTTTCTATGTGATCCCTTCCACAAGCTCTGATCTATAAAATGTGATTACAGTAAACAACCATGCAAATAATGTTAAGGTAGATAAAAAGGTCAAGGTGAATCAAAAGGTTTCAGTTTTAGAAGCTGAAGTTGATCCTTCAACGGCGGAAATTGATGGGACAGCACCATCCAAGAGGCGTAAGGTCAACAAAAGGGCAGTTTTGACAGATTCAAAAGATGTTCTTGCAGCAGGTGACACTTCAACGTTGAAACCAAAATCTCCAAAAGGTCAGTAATTACATATTTACCCTCACTTAAGGCACAGCTCACATGTTGCATGTTGTTTGTGCAAAAGCAGTAAACAAAAAAACTAAAGGTTGGAAAGGGTGGGCTATTGTTGAGGTTGAGAATAAAGCTCTTGACAACACTGATGTAGGAGTATTCAATTTCCAAGAGTCAATGGAAGAAGGTAGTGTGCGGAAGTCAAAGCGTAAGAGATGAGGAGGATGGTATTGTTCTTGTCTCTCCTAAACTTGTTTGCTCATTTATTCAACTAGTGAATCAAATTGTTGCTTCTTTGTTTTCTCCTTTAATATTTCTATACCTTCTTTTTTTGTGATCATTTCTTTCTCTTCTGGTATCAGTTCTGCTCCATCTAATTTGTTTGAACCTGTCAAATCATGTTTACCAGAAACCAAAGCAACACAAATTTTGAAGAGGAGAAAAAATTCTTTAAAAGATAGTTATATTTTTTATCTATAAAGGTTTACAATTGCCGCTTGAAGTGCATTTAACGGTCAATCATCAGGTATGATGATGTAATTAAAGGTATTTGATGAGTGGTTCAAAAAGTTAACTTGTATTTTTTGGCCCGGTCAATCATTTGGTACAATGATATAATTGAAGGTGTTCAAGTCATAGGATGCATCTCAATAATGAAAGTTCAATATCACATTGAACTTTTCCCTTTGAGCGTAAAAGGAAGGTGTAATTTTCTACATTGGTGGAAACAACTGGATGGAAAATTCTATCTGAGGTGGCTTATATAGAATTTTACACACAAATATTTTTACACTCATTTTCTTGTGGAAAGAATTTGGGTGGAAAATTGCATATTGCCGGGCCCAGGATGTAATTTTCCACCCTAGTTTTTCCACCTTTTGTTTTCCACTTGGGAGAAAAAATTGAAAAAATGCGGAAAATTGCATATGATCCCCCAGGTTATGGAATTTTCCACCCGCCTTTTTTTACACCACAAAACGGGTGGAAAAAAACGGGTGGAAAAATATAGGTCCCCCTTATTTGTCACGTTGGACCCCGGAGGGATGTCCGGTATCAAGGGAGCATAGACCATCGGGCAAAATAAAGTATATAACAATCACCTAAAGATATAAAACCAGTACAGAATTGCTCCACAAGTGCATCTTTCGGTGTGCATTTCGAATGCCGTGCAATCATATCACTGTCTCTCATCACTCATGATATCAGTCATGATGAATGTTTGAACAACATTAAAATCGGAGGTATTCGCCAGGCTCGTTTTTTGCAACACATGGTACGCTACGGCGACGAATACTAGCCAATACAAGCTCAGCGTACGTCATTGACGCCTAGTCGGTACCTGCAATTAAATCACAACAGCTCGTGTCTGAAAAGTTCTTAGACTCTCCTGATAGCAAGGGTCGGCATCTGATGGCATCTGTCGTTCGGGAGAGTTCTTTTCATTATCGAAAAGGTTTTTCTTGATCACAATCAAGCTTCACTTTCACGTAGATGATATAAGATCAAGCCCGTTCCGATAGCCTATTATTCCTCATTGGTGGCCTAAACGCATCATTTACTACATATTGGAGTCATTATCAAAATACTCATGTCGCCGCTCTTCTTAAGCGTTCCTGTCCCGACCCTAAAATCAAGTACTAGGTACATAAGATGAGCCACTACCACGTTACTTGTTATTTCAGAGATGAGGCCTGGTTGCCTAGAGCCTAGCTTGTTTGTGGGTCTGAAGACTTTGTGCAAGTCAAATCACGACTTTGGCCACATGTGACATAGAAAGAGTCCTCCATTTGCACCCTTGATCTCACCATCCCTTCTCAGTTTCCTTCAAAAACTTAAGATCCCAAATGTCCTTCATCAAATTTTGCACTACTCTCTTGACTCTCCTTGTCATTGAGGCTTTTATGGTGACCAAAGTTCACCCAGCCGCGTCTCCGCATATGTCACCTCTCAACCCCGCCTTGGCACCACGAGCTCTTCCTCCTTGCCCGCAAATATGGCCCGATAAGCCATACCCCACTGCCCGGGAACGTCTTCACGACTTGACTTTGGACGTCAAAGCAATCAAAGGCCCAGGATGGCGTCCATCGGTTTGCGACAAGCCGCTGTGGAACTGCGTATTGTGGGTACTTCCGTTGTGATTTTTGCCTTCCTGTACTGATTATATCTTCGTACTGTCAGCGTTCAGCGCGGGGTTGAGCCGAGAAGGGGTGGATTCAATGAGTCGGCACGTTTTCCGATTGAGAATGGTAGTACGTGCCATCACAGGCCAAGCACTTTGAGAACAACATGAGCAGCTGACTGGACTTTAAAATAGATCACGTTGAGGTCTATGAATACTGGCAGTCTACCATGCAGGTAAGAGAGCGCATTGTGTTGTACAATCTTACGAGTGTTTGTGAAGCAAAGCATGAAAGCTGACTGATTTTCGAATGTAGTGGTCAGCTCCAGGTGGAGGTGGAGCCGTGAACTCATACATGGCACATGGTGTTGATTATGTCTGCGTGACAGGCACCATGGCAGTAAAGTTTTTAGGCAACGCATCAATGCTGTTTGGCGACCCCAAAAACCCCAACCTCCATGTCTGTGAATGCCATTATCCACTCGATGATGATAAATTTATATTCAATAGAAAGGTTTAGTCAAGGCAATACATATGTATGCTGTAAAAGCTTAGCATACCTTGGACGGTCTCTGGCTTGCAATAAAACTTTCTTTGCATCATTTGCTCCTTGGACATGAACTCAACCTCAACCTTTTCGACTTGAAATTTTGGCCTTTTCGATCCTCATTCCGTCATATACATCCTCTCTGATACATACACCGAACTACGATTTCTGGATCAACCCTCCGGTTGAAATGGTGTTCATCAAAAAGAAAGGGACTTTCTGATGTTTTTTTTTGAAGTTTATAGTTTATATCATGATATCTGTTTGAATAGTATGCGCTCATGTACACAGCGCTCAGCAATCCATCTTCCCGATCCAAATGTATCCGTAATTGAGTTCTCCATCTGTATCTTTTCCAATCTAACGTCGCGCTTCATTCGAATTTCATGTACTTATATTTTTTGATCTCAATCTCAATTTTCTCGAAGACTCGTCCACAAGTTTAATGTCAAAGCTCTCATCTGAAAGAGAGTAAGAGCAGCTCAAGAGTTTTCCCATATGCGGTCCCTGTTCATAACGGTTATAATGAAACTTGCATCCTTACAGACGACAACTATATAAAGCGCAGTGAAAAATAAATGGAAAAAATACTTGAACCAAAAACACTACTGGTTCATCTTCTCGATTGATAAATAAAAATTAATGATGATTAATTTTCTACTATCATAACACTTGAGAAAATAATGGCTCTTCTTCAGAGCCCCTGGTTTTATAAACTCTGCGAGACCTGTTTCCAACCCAGTCAAGTTCGTCAGCAAAGAACATGTACTTATGACTCGTAGCATAAATTAAGATCTAAAAGGTCTTGGAAATCCAACTTGGGTTGTCATCCGCTTCAATCCATCCAAGATGAAGACAGAAAAGATCAAGATGTAATTTCAGCTCATTCATCTTCAAAAACGCAAGTGGCACGTGTGAAGAATCAGATAAGATCATGATCACTGTTCTTACTTTGTCCGATGAGATCTCTATTCACCTGCATAGTATCAGAAAGAATGTTCATACAAGAATAGTGCGAAAGGAAGCTTCGGGAGGTTCTTGATCAACGTCTTTTCAAAGAGTCGAACTCGAAACCGCCTTCAGCTTGAAGTCGTCAAATCAAAGAGGAAGCCAACAAGACTGTATCAATACTAAAGGTGTTAATGCTTGCCAAAGAAAAAGTGTGTTATAAGGGACTACACAAGACTGGTAAAGTTGTTCAGAGGATTTACTGACAAACTTGGCGTAAGTCTGTCCAGTTGGATAATTATTTGTAGATATTTATCGTAAACAAATCTTGTGTGTCACATTTGAGGCTGTTTGAGGTTGGGGAACACGAAGGGCACAGACCATGATTAGGTGGAAGAAAGATGAAGAGCGAAATCTGTTTCCTGCAATCACTGTTTCGCCCTCACACGAAAACTTCTCACCGTATCATCGACATCATCTCCTCCGTCATCTTGGAAGTCTAGACCAACGTGAAAATCGGAGGTTTTCTATCGGGCTTCTGTTCTGCATCGCAGGGTATGCTACGGTCAGTGTTGAAGATCCAAGACTTTATTATGTACGTCATCTTAATGCCTGGTCGATACATATGCACTTGTTGTTAAACAATCACAACTTTTATATAAACAGGTCTCGAGTCTACCAAATAGTTAAGGGTGGGCATTTAATGACGGAATCCTGATTCATTATCGAAATCCTTTTTCATGATCACAATTAAGCTTCATTGTACGTAGATGGTTTTAAAGACTCAATAACCCCGGTTCCAAGTTCCAACAATTTATGAAGACCATCATAATCATCATCAAAAATCCCCACGTCTCACTTCTTCTTAAACATTCTTGCCCCAACCCTAGAACTAAGGGCTAGATTAATAACGTGGGCTATTACATAGTGTATCACCACCTCGTTACAAGCTGATTAAGAGATGAGGACGTGCTTCATTGTGAAGAGCTTAGTTTGTTTGATGGTTAGGTGACCTTCGTGACAATCCAATCACGATTTTCAGCCACACAGGAGTGATATATAAAGACTACCTCTCTTTGAACGATTGTTAACCTCATCATCCTTCACTTTCCTTCACGATTTCCAAGAATCCAATATGTCTTTCATCAATTTATTTACTACTCTCTTTACTCTCTTTTTTATCGAATCTTTATTGATCACCAATGTACACTCAGCTGCTGCTTCATCTATGTCGCCTCTCAGGCACGCCTTAATGCCTCGAGATCTTCCACCTTGTCCGCAAATATGGCCCGCTCAACCATACCCTACTGATAAGGAACGTCTTCACGACTTGGCAGTGGATGAAAAAGCAACCAAAGGTCCAGGATGGCGTCCATCGGCTTGCGACAAGAAGCTTTGGAACTGCGTCTTGTGAGTTTCTAACCTATATATTTTTCTACTATCTACTAATCATATGACCTTATGTTAGTGTTGAGCGTGGTGTAAAAACAAAAGCAGGCGGGTTCTATAGGTCGGCAGAGTATCCGGTTGATCATGGTAGTACGTACTATCAAAGCCTCTTCAGTTTCAGAAGAACCTCATTGAGCTAATGTAATCGGAATATAAAACAGACCGTGTTGAGGTTTATCAATATTGGCAGTCTACCATTCAGGTGAGACAGCTTATCATGTTTTATTATCCAACAGTTGCTCGTGAAGGAAAGAAGTCACCTAAACGCTAACGGTGTTTTTCAATTCTAGTGGGTAGCTCCAAATGGAGGAGGTGCCGTGAACTCATACATGGCACACGGGGTTGATTATGTCTGCGTAACAGGTACTATGGGAGTGAAGTTTTTAGGAAACACATCAATGCTTCTGGGTGACCCTAAAAATCCAAACCTTCATGTTTGCGATTGTCACTATCCACTCGATGATGATAAATTCATATTCAATCGAGCCATTTAATTGATAGGATATCTTTAAAGTGATAGTAGGTCATATTTTATATCGTACGTTATTTGAACCTTTTCATCTTCTTGAGTAAAGTCTGGTTTTGATGTTCATTTTTCATTGGCTGTAAATTACTTCTTTAGTCAGTTTGTTCTTTTCGTACAAGAATGGGACATCGTGATCAAAGAAAGACCTCACATCATATTAAAAGTTTGAACTTATCCTCAATTATTTACTAAGTATCTATAAGAAATCATCAACTAGAAAAATATTACAAAAAATAAACGATATCAAACAAGATCAATCTACTTATTTTCTTGATTTAAGGTTTCTTTTTCTTTATTTTCATTTGCTCAAAACTCTCACACTTCGAAAAACTGAAATAGACAATTTTTTAGTGCTCTCTTTTTACCATAAATCCGTTTGAAAAATTCCATGTAACCGTTTTCCGTGCCATGCAAGCTATCTGAATTTCTGTGTTATGTTGATCACACCTGTTCCATATTCTATCTTTTAAGCTTTCAAACAGCGCTTTGCTTGGTGTTGCAATTCTAGCTGCATGAAAGCTAAAAGGGTGGAGATACTCGTGTGAAGGTCATCCTGCATCTTGTGGATCAGTATACGACATATCATTGACTGAGACATCAAGGCCATAAATCAAAACTTGCAGTCCACTCATGTTTTCAATCCAAAGAATCAGCTTAAAAGCTTACCATTGAAGATTATCACTCATCTCTGCCTCGGAGTCATGTTACAATTGATGATTGACCTCATGTTGAAAAATCAGTTAGTTTTCCGTCTCACACAAACTTACTGTCAAACTTACCTACGAAAACTCAAAATGGAAGTATAAAGGCATGTTGACATACATTTTGCAATCTTCAAACTTTTTTGCTGTGCGTCTATGTATGTAGATTAAAGTCTATGATGTAGATTCAGAAGACAGGATTTAAATTTCCAAAGAAAGATAACTTTAAAACTTTGATAGCTAAGTTTGTGATCACTACAAGATCATGATGAAGATCATGTCAGGATGAATGAGAGCAAGATGAATGAGATCAGAAATGAATGAAACCGGGTTAAAGATCTGAATTATCCGACGGAATCTTCGGGAACGGTTAGACTCGGGAGTGGATAGACTGACGGAAATGTATTAAAACAAACTACAGATCATATGATCAAACTATAGTTTCGAGATCTCAATTGCCCGGAGATTCGAGCTCGGAAAGGTTCGGGTGAATTATTTAAAACTGCTTAAAATATAATTCAGTTTGATCTGAGATTGTACCACTTGATCACATTGACACTGCCATCATCCATCATCCATCAGTCATCATCACGATTATAAGTTATCACCTTTTAAGCTCACGAGTAAAATAGAACTATTGAGAATCAACTTGGTCCAAGATGCATAGGATTAATTCAATCCCAATCTCATCAGTACATAGAATCACCTCAAAACCTTCTACAAGTTCTCTTAGAAGTACTACTACTCAACTTCATCATTATCAAACTTATCATCATCAACAAAGATCATTAGCTACTGCTGCTTCTCAAGATGTCTTACGAAAATCACCTTCACCAGTTGATGCATTCATTAACTCAAACAATAGTTATTATATAGAAGAAAGTATGTCAATTCCTTTTTTTGAAAAAAGCCTTTGATTTCCATTCGATCGATCACTCACTATTGGTTTTTTGGGTTGGTCATAGTGTATCGTACTTGGAAAAAAGAACCAGATTCAGTTCATCCATCTTGGCGTGCATATTTCAATGGAATCAAGAACGGTTTACCATCCGAAAAAGCTTTTATACCTCCACCTGGTTTAGTTTCTATGCCAAATCCTGCTGGTGGTGCTCCAATGTTATCACTTTCAGGTCAAGGTGGTGAATTAGAAGATCATATGAAAGTAAGATTCAGATCACTTGATTCACCTTGCTTTACAAATCCTCATCTGACTTTGACTTTCTTAGATTCAATTATTGGTCAGAGCTTATCAAGTTAGAGGTCATCATATGGCTTCATTAGATCCCTTGGGAATTCATGCTGCCGATCTCGAATCTCGTCCTCCACCCGAATTAGATTTAAAACATTATGGATTTGATGAACACACTGATTCGAATAAAGAGTTTCGATTAGGTCCTGGTATCTTACCTTTATTTCATACTGAAGGTCGCGAGAAGATGACATTGAAAGAGATTGTAGATGCTTGTAAACGAATCTATTGTTCGTTCTTTTTGATCTTCTTTTTCAAATCTACCATCGAGAAAATCGTTCATTGACTTGAGTTTGATCGTTCTAATTTTATAGGTAGTCATATTGGATTACAATATGTACATTTACCTGATCGAACAGAATGTGATTGGATAAGAGAACGAGTCGAATTACCAGTGCCATGGAGTTATTCATTAGAAGAAAAACGAATGATATTAGATCGATTGATCTGGTCCGATTCCTTCGAACGATTCGTCGCATCTAAACATCCTAATGAAAAACGTTTTGGTCTTGAAGGTGGTGAAAGTTTGATTCCCGGTATGAAAGCTTTAATCGATCGATCAGTGGATGCAGGCGTGAAGAGTATTGTGATTGGAATGCCACATCGTGGTAGATTAAACGTTTTGTCTAACGTGGTTCGGAAACCTATGGAAGCTATCTTCAATGAATTTGCTGGTTCGGCTGATGCTTCGGAAGATGGTGGTGGTGATGTGAAGTATCATTTAGGTGCAAATTATGTTAGACCGACTCCTTCGGGTAAAAAAGTCGCTCTTTCTCTTGTTGCGAATCCTTCTCATCTTGAAGCAGAAGATCCAGTCGTACTTGGTAAAACCAAAGCATTACAACATTTCGATGGTCAAGGTTCAACCGATCATGCTATGGGTATTCTTCTACATGGTGATGCGGCTTTCGCTGGACAAGGGGTGGTTTATGAAACCATGGGATTTCACGATCTTCCCAACTTTGGAACCGGTGGAACAGTTCATTTAGTGATCAACAATCAGATCGGTTTCACTACTGACCCTCGTCAAGGTCGTTCGACTCCATACCCTTCTGATATCGCTAAATCCATCGATGCTCCAATCTTCCATGTTAATGGTGACGATGCCGAAGCGGTCACATTTGTCTGTCAACTGGCAGCAGACTGGAGAGCTACGTTCAAGAAGGATGTCGTAGTGGATATCGTCTGTTACCGTCGTCATGGTCATAACGAAACCGATCAACCTAGCTTTACGCAACCTAAGATGTATCAAGCCATAGCCAATCAACCCTCTACGCTGAAAATCTATTCAGAAAATCTTGTTAAAGAAGGTTCCTTTACCGAACAAGAAATCGAGAAACATAAAGAATGGGTATGGGGTATGATGGAAAAAGCTTACCAAGGTAGTAAAGATTATACACCAACTTCAAGAGAATGGTTATCAAGTTCATGGGATGGATTCCCATCACCCAAAGAACTGAAAGAAAACATTTTAGAAGCCAGACCTACAGGTGTATCAACCGAAAGATTATTAAAGATTGGAGAAAAGATCTCAGGTGGATGGCCATCTAAATTTGAAGTACATAAGAATTTATCCCGAATCTTAAAGAATCGAGGTAAAACGATTTCAGAAGGAAAAGAGATTGATTGGTCAACGGCCGAAGCACTTGCATTCGGATCACTTTTGATGGAAGGAAATCATGTGAGAGTATCAGGTCAAGATGTAGAAAGAGGAACCTTTTCTCAACGTCATGCAGTTTTACATGATCAACAAACCAATGAAACTTATATTCCTTTAAGTAATTTAGAACAGGATGGTGAAAATCAAGTAGGGCCATTTACGATTTGTAATTCATCTTTATCTGAATTTGGAGCCTTAGGATTCGAACTTGGGTATTCGTTAGTTGATCCACATTTATTAACGATTTGGGAAGCCCAATTTGGTGATTTTGCAAATAATGTAAGATCAATTTCTCGAATCTGTTCTTTCTCATTCTTTGTGATGTTTTGTACTGATTGTTTTTTTCATGGTTTCTTCGGGGTAGGCTCAATGTATCATTGATCAATTCATTTGTTCAGGTGAACGAAAATGGTTTCAACGTACTGGTTTGGTCATGTCACTTCCACATGGATATGATGGACAAGGACCAGAACATTCGAGTGCAAGGATTGAAAGGTTTTTACAACTTTGTGATGATCAGTTGAGTATCCTTTTTCCTATGATCATTGATCTCCTGTTCACAAAAGCCCACAAAGAAAGATACAATTGATTAACCTAATCGGATTTTTTGATCTATCTATTTATAAATAGTCCCTATAAAGTACCCACACCAGAAAAATCACAAAGAGCACACCAAGATTGTAATATGCAATTAGTTTATTGTACAACACCATCAAATTATTTTCATGTGTTAAGACGACAGATCCATCGAGATTTTAGAAAACCATTGATCGTGTTCTTTTCAAAAGCTTTATTGAGACATCCAATGGCTAAATCGAATTTGAATGAAATGGAAATCGGAACATTCTTTCAACCTTTCTTGTTGGAAGAAGGATATGATGGAATGGTTGAAAAAGATTTGATTAAACGACATATCGTAAGTGTGATTGATGTTTTTTTTTTCCCGGGGCGGTTTGGTACTTGATGTGTTGACACTTTGTTTTTTTGGTAGTTTTGCTCTGGACAAGTTTATTATACTTTAGTTCAAGAACGTGAAAAGAGAAAGGTAAGAAGTCTGATTTGATTGAAACCAAAAACCTGTACTGATCAGAATAAGAGCCCAAGAAATTGATTGAAATGAATGATTTTTTTATAGATTAATAATATTGCGATTTCAAGAATCGAACAACTTTCACCTGTACCTTATACTGAGATCTTAAACTCCTTCTCGACTTTTCCAAATGCTGAGATTATGTATTGTCAAGAAGAACCTATCAATGGTATGTGAAACCCGATTTTGCCATTCGATCATGGAAATACTTAAGCGGTTGTTTTTTTTGTGTTTCGGAAAAATAGGTGGAGCGTTTTCATATCTTGCACCTAGATTAGAAACTGCTATGGAACAAACTGAAACTCATCGAGGTCAAAAGGTTTTGTATGCTGGTAGACCACCTTATGCATCTGTTGCGACTGGTAGTAAGAAGATTCATCAACATGAAATTAATGTAAATCTTTGATTCTCATTTTCTCTTTGTTGATGGTTGATCATTAGCTAATTGAGGGTTTTTGGGTTTGGTTTTCTTTAGCAATTCTTGGATCAAGCTTTGAAGTTGGATGAATAGATTTTCAATCAGTCAAATTAGTTGATCTTGATTTTTTTTTTCAAGAGGAAAGATATATAGATAGAAAGATGTGTTTTGTTTGAGGGGCCGAGGGAGATGAAAAGACAAAAAAAAAATTGAGAAAAGTAAAAGAAGTAAATTTGATTTGATAAATGTGCAAAGGTTGTGATTTTTTTTTTTTTCAAAAAGGTTTTGATTGTATTTGAGTTTTTCTTTTCATTTTGGTTTTTGGTTTTCCTTCTCATTTATTTCATTTTATTTCTTACTTTTACTTTGGTTTGATCATTCTTTTTTCTTTTCTTTTTCTTTTCTTTTTGTGGTTTATAATAAATAAATAAATACATCTATATATATTAAGAAGAGTAGTGGTGAATGTGATGATTCATTAAGAAAGAAAAATGAATGGAATATATATGGTTTTATTCAAAGAATTTAGAAATAGAAAAATGAGTACCAAACAAGTGTTCAGGTATATATGCATAAATTGGTTCCTTTAAGATGATTTAGTAGTATGAAAAAATGTGTACAAAGTGAAATTAAAGAAACAAAGATGCCAATTTAATTAACAGTTTAGAGAAATTATGAATGATTCATGGATGAGGGAATGTAATTAGTTGAGCTAGATAGATAAACAAAGAATCTTTCAAAATCTGTTCATGATCCTGATATAACTAACTTCCTCCCTCTTCTCCAAGACACGCTTGGCCGATAGTGACTATATGTCAAGTTAGCTCTGGATCGTGAGGGGCTCAGAGTCAAGCTTATAAATAGATCCAGATAGAAAACCTGTGTGTGCACAATCCAGAAATCGATTTCTCATCATGATAAATATCGAGACCTTTTGTTGCAAATCTGACTTCATCCTTCATCTCAATCCGTTCACCTCTCCCTTTTGTACTAATCAAATATACTTCACGTGATGTTTGTTCAAACTCAATAATATATAATTAAAACATGAGCAAAAGAAAAAAGAAAAAAAACCAATCGATTCTAAGATTTGTGCATACATTCAAATTCTAAAGAAGAAGAAAAACAACTCAAAAGATGAAATGTAAATGAAGAAAAAAGACGATAAAGACAAACACATACACGCACACAGTCACACATATACAAACATTCAAACACTAACCATCAAAGAAAAAAAAACTAACAAAAGAGACAAATGTAATCAAAAGCTTTTTCAACCAAATCACACACAAGTTTTAAGAAGTCCCATTAACAAGTTGATCAGGACGATTCTCATCATTTTCCTTTTTGTTTTCAACTTTACCCATTACTTTTCGAATCACTTCAATAGCTTCATGTACAATTGGAGAAGCTTGTTCACTTGAATATTTTAATACATTCGAAGCTCTTTGAGAAATCGGTAAATCCGCCTTAATTAATTCAGATTTAATATCATTAAAAGATTGGTGTAATTTTTCAATTAATGGTCCTACGGCTTGTTGTGCTTGTTGTGGCTAATTAAGAAAAAAATCATCATCAGAAATCAAATCGATCTCATGAAAATCTCAAAATCAAAATCAAAAAACTTACCAATTCTTTTCGTTTCTCAACCACAAAGTTAGAAACTTTTTCAATCTCAGCAATCACTTGTTCCGATAAACTCTTCAATTGATCTTGAACCGATTTCGAATCAAGTGGTAAGTTTGAAACAGCCGATTGAAGTTTCTCTTGTAATCCATTCAAGGTTTGTTGTGATTTAGTTAATTGGATTTGGAATTGTTCCGTAATCGGTCCTAATCTAGCCGAAGCTGCATCTTTATAAGTTTTTCCATATGCATAAGCTTGATCGGCTGGTTGTCTTGCTTTAGATAAGATATCTTCGGTTTTAGCTTCAACTGTTCAGAGCAAAAGGCCATCCCGATCCATCTCAGCTTGGTTTCGAATGATAAGCTGAAGTCAAAAGATTACGTACAAACATATGGAGCTTTGGCTTGGACAAAATCTAATCCTTTATTGGCCACTGCATCCACTTGACCAATCGGTCCTGCCAACTTTTCTTGTAACGGTTTGCTCTGTTCATACAAATAAATCGCAGCTCCTTCTGCTTTTTCATACACGGCTGCAGAGTACGCATTACCTTTCATGGTCGATTGAACGGCCTCTAGAGCATCAGCCACGACTAAAGATCCAAAGACGATGATCAGGATCCAAATCACAGAGAAATGTATAAAGGACTATTGCTCGTACCTGGAATGGATGTCACTCTTTTGACAAAGGTAGGAGAACAGAGTGAGTCTTCTGACTCGGTTGAGCCATGATGACCGTTCCCGTTTCCGTTCGCGTTCACAGTATGGTTTTCGGTAGCTGTACTCATGATAAGATAGGTTTGCGAAAACAGTAGATAATCTTCTATGATCTATGTCCTAAGAAGTAGATCTTGTTGAAGAACTGAATGTGTAGGAAAGAAAATAACACGGGTTTTTAGTAAGTAAAGGTTTAACGATCAGGATAGAAAAACAAAAGAAAAGAGAAAGAGTGAAAGACGAATCAAAAACGTGATGATCAGTCTCACCCAAAAACAAAACAAAACGTTGAGTCTCTCAAATAAGTAAGTGAACTAGATGGATTTATGGATAAGAGCTATGATGATAGAATATCAATAACAGTTATACAAGTCGATCAAGAAAAAGAGGTTGAGAATGAACCCAATCAAAACCAAGTGAACAAAAAAGTAATTTCGTAAACAAGGTAAAGAAGAGACCAAACCGAGAGAAGATTAGAAAGCAGAGATTTGTAAGAGATGAATCCAAACCATCAAAAGATCAAACAAGAAAGTTAACATTCAAGATTGACTAGATAAAGAGGCAAAGAGAAAGAGAGTCTGATAGATAGATGATCTACTAAAAGAATCAAGTTCAAGATAAGTTTGACTTACCAAATCAATAAGTGAATCTACTGGGATGAGAATGGATTGAAGTTTAGGTGTCGGTTATGGCTAGAGAATTGATCGGGAAATCGAAAAAAAGGTACAATCAGAATCAGAATGAATGTGTGATTAGAAAATGGTAAAGAAGTCTTTCAATCAGTAGATCACAATTGGATAGATGATGATGATGATGATGATGATGATGATAAGAAGTGTTGAATTGTGTATTGGTGAAGAAGATTAAAAAGGATGAAGATGATTTGGAATCATCCAATAGAATGGTTTATAAGATCAACTCACTTTGTAAAGCAGAATTGATGATCAAAAAAACAAAATCAATCGATCTGATGACTCCTTTTCTGGTAGATTTGATGGTAAAGCAAACAAAGAAAGAAAGAAAGAAAGGAGAAAAAGGAGAAAAAGGAGAAAGAAAAACCACTCAATCCAATCCAAGCTCTGACGGTTACAAGCAAAAACCGTTAAATCTTTCTAAGACAAGAATTTCTCAAACAAACAAAGTTTTATTAAAAACCGTTCTTTTTGATTTTTTTGGGGAGTGTAAAAAGCTTTATCAATCAAATCTTGTCACATCTTCCCCACCGATTTCGTCAATGAGTTGCACATTTGGTCAAGCTTTTGAACCAAGAAAGGAATTGAGTACATATCAAGTTTTGCTTCATACAATCTTTTTTTTTTAAGATTTCGATCATGCACTATAGTTCTCTCGTAGGTTCAAATGGTCCAATTGCAATTGCAATCGGTCAAGACAGGACCCTGGAATACACCCATGGAGGGTACTGACGGAGCATGATTTTCAGTTTTTTGCCTCTACACTACGCATCAGTGCCTCTATGAAGCTGCAGAGCACTTCAAAAGATGCGCATGGAGTAGGGCTATCAGATGAGACCAGACAGAGCCCGGCATCGTGTCTCACGGCGGCGTAAATCGCGATGGCGCAATTTTTTTTTCGACCTCCAAGGCCAAAAACCGACCCTCGATTTTTGGCCCTTTTTTGGGCGTTACATTGATATATCTTAGGTAATATTGGTGCTACCAGGCTGCGAGCTAGTGCATTTGAAAGCCTTTATTCTGGTGCATCTTTTGTGCTCCTGTAGGTATTGATAAAGTGCAGTTTAGTATCGAAAAACTACGTCAACAAAAGGTCGGTTTTTTCGTAAGTACCCTCCATGGGTGTATTCCAGGGTCCTGTCAAGACTCAATATGAATTACGTATAGAACTTTGAAACTTAGTTTATCATTTATTTCACGTGCAGATCAACATACAGTTGTCTCTGAAATAACCCATACCTTTTTATGGACCCCAAAAGGTATGGGTTTTCATAGAGTATGTGTTATCACAATGGGCTTTTGGGCTAAAAAGTGAAAATTATGGACCAAAAAAAGTATGGGTTAGGCAAGAGTATGTGTTATAAGTGGTATGGGTTATTTCAGAGTTGACTGTATTCAATTGATGGTTGTTTAAATTTGATTTTAAAGATGGTGATTGATAAAGCACGCCGACTTGAAAACAGAAATTCATCGAGCGGTACTTTAGCCCAATTGGCCACGCGTCGCTTGTGCCCGAGGTGCGTCTTGCGGATTCGTCAAGCTCGGGTTTCATCAATCTGAATTCGTCGCGCTTCGCCTTTACGCGCTATGTTCTTGTTCGCTTTGGAATCACTCGTAATCCCGTTGATGGAAGAAAGATGGTGCTAAACGGATGGAGTGTTTTTTCCTAAAGTTTGTTTTGATCATGGCCCAAGTTGCCGCTGTGAATTGGATCCGCTCCCGTTGTAGTTAGACTCCCAAGTGGAATTGTTGGACTTGTCCTTTGAAAAGATTTTGGCCCTCACGTTACCACAATTCCTCACGTGCAACTTTTTACTTGTCCTTTGAACAAAGTTGTCAGCGCTATTGCTGCAGTGCAAATTTTTGACTTGTCTTTTTGAAAGAAATTTGCTCTCCACGTCAATCCTAATTGTAGAACTTGCGATTCTTCTCTGTTTGCCACCGACCTTGTTATTTTTAAGTGATGCTTCCCAACAAACCCCGACCCACTGAACGCTCCAATCATGACACCACCGAGGAGTTTGATACCAGAGACGACAGTCATCGATCAATCGCTGTCCTTGATGGGCCCAAAAATTTTCCCAGGGCAGTCAATATTCATGATTGGCTGCCGTTCCCTCTGGTCCACATCGCCCCTGCACCAGCTGGCTTTGATCACAATCCGAATTCTAACCGTTTTGTTCAAGACACCTCACGGGATCCTCCTTGGTTTCCATTCGAGCCGGTTCGCCTCACTCTCCCCCGTGAAGAAGACATTGAGAACAATGTAATTTTTGCTATGAAGTCTTCTTCTCCATGGATTGCTCAGGGTGTTTGTCAGAATGGCCATCCTCCTACCTCGACTCCTAGTAACTTCCCCCGCCAAGGCGGCGTTGTACGTTGCCATGAATGGGCCCGACTTTTCCTTTGCAATTGCTCCGGTCATCCTCACAAGCATTCCCATTCTCAACTCAACAAGCCTATCCGGAAATCTGCTGGTTCTATTAAAGTTGGATGTCCAGCCCGTTGGTCTATTCGCAAGACACTCGATGGCAAATTGGAATTTGAATGGTTTTGGAAACATGAACACCACAACCCTTATTCAGTGGAAGATATGTGTCACATGCGACTTCTGTCTGTAGTCCGTGAATGGCTTAGCGCACACGTCATTGAAGGGTTGACCTGGCAATCAATTCAACAATTGCTCTCATGTCCTGACCTGTTTCCCGTAAGTACCTTCCAGCTTTGCACTTTTACCACCGCTGACTCCATCATCAGGATGAAGCCGATTCTGTAGGTATTGTCCCCAAAGCCCTCAACATCAACCACAAAACTGTCACAAATGCCATTAAGCAACACACCAATTGAATTAAGCATCTTGACAATAATGTTGTCACTTTGATTACTCTTTGGATGCAGCATTTAGAACAACGCAGCTGGCACGTCCTGAAGGATATTAGCAAAATTGATCAGTGGCTACAAATCGCCTTCTTTTCACCATGGCAGGCTACTCAACTGGAAAAGTACGGCAACAATGTAATATGTTTTGACTCCACTCACAATGTTTGCGCCCACATACCCAAACGGCCTTCATGCAAACTCACACTGCTTACACTTGTCATTTGCCACCCAATCACCGGGAGCGGCATTCCTGTTGTTTGGTTTTTAACATCGGATGAAAAAAAGTGTGTTGGGATCAATCTCTTACTACACAATCTCCCTATACTGACTTTGCATTACAGCGCAAGCATCACCCATCTTTTGACATGGTTGAAGGACAAGCGCAACATTTTCCCCAAAGCTTTCATGACTGATTGTGCATTATCTTATCAAAAGTCATTCAAGGAGACTTATGCAAACACTCCAGAACCACCTCACCACTTCTTCTGTTTGTTCCATGCCTCACGGGATATTTGGGCTAAGGCCAAAACTTTGGTATGTAAAAGAACTTTTTAATTGTTTGACTTCCACTTCCGCTGCCGGTCCTCTTGATAAACAAGTTCTAATGACTGTCCATTGATTGCAGGCTCCCTGCGACAACGCTGACCTCATGCACAAGGACGCGATGGGTGTTATCTACTCTAAACGCTGGGAAGTGGCCTGGCTTGCCTTCCAAGCCAAGTACCGCAATAAGTGTAAACACTTTGTCCATTACTTCCATACTCAATGGGTCAACAACGCAAAGCACTGCATGCTTTCGGAACATGACATCCCAATCCGGGGCATCCACACCAATAACTTCAACAAGAGTTATCACCAATTACTCAAGTATTGTTTCCTCAGTCGTACTTCTCTCTGGCACCCTGACAACTTGATCCACACGTTAGTTGAGAATGCCGAACCAGATTTTTGCCAAAGCGTTATCACAACAACCTTAGGTTTCCGTCCCCAAAGGTCTACTAAGTTTCAGAACATTGCAAAAGGGTTGGCTGATACTTACAATGAGGAAGCCCTCAAGACCCTCTGTGTAACAATTGAACCGGGAGCCAACGGAAAGGTGAGCAACCGTCCACCTGCATTCATGTATTGCTAAAGACTTAGTCCTTACCTAGCATTTCTTTCTTGTATCAGTGGAAAATAAGCAGCTTTACTTGACCTCATGACATTGAGTATTCCATTTGTACCACCGCACCTGCTAGAGGACGTATGGGGCTGATTAATAACTGTACCTGCGACTCCTTCAAGCGTCACAAGTCGGCCTGCAAACACATGTACATTGTGGTGATCTATTTATGATATCAAGCAAAAAAATTAATCATCATTACTTTACTAAGTTATTACAAAACTTCAGTGTAGCAGGAAATTTGAAATTCAGGTTTTCAGATCAATTGAAGCTCTTAGAGGCTTATGTATACTTATTAGCTCAACATTATGTCATCTCATTTCAAAATTATTCTTAAGATCAACATAGTTTACTTAAAAAGTTATTACAAAAAGACAGAAAAAGAAAAGATAGGAAAAATTTGAAAATATAGGTGTAGAGGATGGAAAATGGTTTTTAGGTTATTTATAATTAAGTTATGGGTTTTATAAGGTTAGAATATGAAAGAACAACACTTTATTATACAGTAACAATTTTAATCTTCAAGTTTGATATAGGGGAAAACAGAAGTTATCAGCAGAAAGGTACTTTTTCAAAGTTGGTAAACAAGGATTATGCGTGTAGTTTACATATGTAATGGTGGTACTAGTGGAAATTAAGGTTACCAAGAGGATTTTACGGGATTTTAAAGGTTATAGAAGATGATGTCATATTACATGAGCAAGAAAAAGAGAGTAGCAGCTGTGAAAAGTGAAGAAAATGGGTGAATTTTGTGGAAAATGAAGGTTTTCAGCTAATTACATATGTCAAATGACGTCATATTAAGTTGGTAGATAGCTCATTCAACGCAAAAGAGTGGATTACATAATGTACAACCTTTAAATCATTAGTAACGGAGGTTTATGTAAAAAGTTATAAGGCAAATAAGAAATTGGTGTAAATCTTGAATTTACAGTCACAAGTCAACATGTAACACCAAAAACCTTAACTTCACAACTCAATATCTTACTCATCACTCATCAGAAATAGGTCATATGGGTGTCATAAATGATCAGTATCACAAGGGCTACAAGATGCACTATAGTAGATCAAAATTGGACCACTTCTGGAAAAATTTGTAATCTCAAAAATTGGTTTGCAGCTAGTTTACAAGGAAAAAATCACCTGTATTCATCTTAAGAAGTGCTGTACATTAAATCATTGCGTCATTGATCACTTTTGGCTGTGAAAATTACATCATACATTAGTAACAAGATCATTACATTGCGTCATTACATGGTTTTTAGGGTTATTTAGGCGGATTTGACTGGTTTTTGAGGCTGTTGACTATTGTAGAGGTTGTTACAGGCGGATATAAGTACTCTTTGATGATTTTGGGATTGTTGTTCCCTTTTCTGCATCTTATACCTTTGTTGTAGTGTTATAAATCATCATTTATTTACTATATTTGTACTAAGATCACTTATATCCGCCCCTTCAAAGCAAGGAGAAATTTATTTACGTGTGTTAAAGACTATAAGTCAAATTGGGAATAATACTTAACAACAGTATTGCTAGTAATAACATAGTGTGTGGAATTTTTTGCGCTTAAAAACTGGGAATAATACTACACAACAGTATTGCTTTATTTCTCTGGTGCCTTTATCTTTTTCTCTGTTATCACAAAGTGGTCAGCAAGTGCCCTTGTGTTGGTTTCTTTGAAAAAGGCAGTCTTTAGGCAACTTCTACTATATTACACGTAGTAGATTATCCCTTCTTAGGTGTTGTAAAGCTCTTGTTGAGCTTTAAATACTACAACATGCTTGCCAGGAAAACTTGCTACAACATGTGTGAGACCAATCTTCACGAAACCAACAACACCACATCCCACTTCCAACCTTGCATGTTAGTGGAACCGGTCAATATCATTGTCGCAATGGCACATAATTCTGACAATCAACCCAGGACCCCCACGCCACCATATCATCCGTATCACTCAATCTCTGGTCTTGCAGAAAGACCTTCTCAGAATGGGTACTCAGCTTCCGATTGTTACCAACCTTTGGCAGACCACAACCGTCCTTTGCCGCACCCTCAACCTACTCTTAATCAGACACACGGTCCAGTTCAGCCAGCTCGGGTGAATCAAGTATCTCCTGTAGACTTTTGACGCCAATATCCTCAGCACACATCTGCCTCTAGCTCTCAATGGCTGCCTGATATGACCATGCAGACATTTGGTTCTGGTGGCAAGACGGCCATGGGGTACGTCATGTATGACTCATGTGTATTGCAATTGAAGCTGCCAGCACAACCCCCCAATCAATCTGATCAATCACTCTACCCCACATCACCTTTCCCCCCTGCGCCTTGTCTTGGCCAAACCGCACATTGTCAACCTTCAAATGCCGTCGTAAATCAGCCAACACCAATTCCGCGTCCACCCATGGCAGCACCAGCTGTCTTCAATCCTACTGGTGGCCAAACCCGCTCTTTCAATGGCAACAGGTTTCAAAGCTTAGGCCCTACAACTAACTTTGAGGGCTCCACTCGCAATCATCAAAACATCTTGAACATGACGTCTACCTTCTATTCAAGTGAATCGCACCATGGCTACACTCATCATCATGTGCCAGCAGCTCCGCCTCCTACCCACCACACCAATCAACTTGATTTCAATCGTCTTGTCCACCAGCTTGCACCGTATGCTCACAACAACACTCCTCCACCGGATCCCACACCACCCGTCTTACCTGCTCCCCAGACACTTCATAATAGAGGTAGTTCTTTGTATGTTTCGCCGAGCCCAATTACCAACTCCCAGGGCTACGGTCTTATCGACAAGTACTACGCTGCGGGCCCCTCATCGCATCATCAAGTTCCCAATCCACGGGCAAGCACTTACCAACGTCAACCAACGGTCCCTATGCCTACTTGCTCATCTAACAATCTGTCAGGCAGCAGCCGTATCAACCCGCACCCAGCAACTCCTGGTATGTATGATGGAATTCCCCTTACTCAGACATTGTAAGTCATTACATAGCTTTGCTTCAACCACTAGACGCTAACTGCTACCACAGTTTCGCGTGTGACCCGCCATCTCAATCTCCTGATCCCCCTCTGTACGCTGCTTCCAATGCACCACCGACTTCCTCTGGAGTGGCACTACAATCACAACAAATGGAACAACGCGCTAGTCACAAATCAGCTGATTCATTGTTCAACATTTTGCAAGCGGGACACGACAAACTAGATCACGTAGAGCAATTATTTTGGCAATGCGAAGACACAATTGATGGCATTTTCCGCAAGTTCCGTGATGTGGTACACGACTCTACTCCACAGCATCGCGCCATGATACACACTCGCCATTTGGAGGAGAACGGCGGGCGCCTTCTGGAGCAGTTTTGATCCGATATAGTGGACTTAGCTCGGCGCTTCCGTGCTCTGTACGCCATCCCCAGAATCAAAAAGCAGTGTCGTTTTTGAACCAACCGTGTGGGGTTTTTCCAATTTTCATTTTCAATCTCCACATCTTTTCTGTTAACGGCTTGGTTTCTGCACGTTCTTTTCCTACTTATGTTGATTTTTCACTTATTGGCGGTGCTACTCTCGTTTCTCTGCTTCAGCTCTAACTCCGTAACTCTCTTTTCTGAATGCTTGTTTTTTGCAGGATTCTTTTCTACTCATCATCTTTTCTCTTTTAGTTTTGCATCACACTCATTTTAAGTTTTGTCCAGGTCTTTGGCACTTTTACTTTCTCCGATGTCACCTTTGTCTTTCATTACATTCCCTCCGAAACGGTTCTAATTTGTCTTCTTTTGTAGCATTGCTTCAATCTCCTCTCGTTAAGTATTTTCTTTACTCCGTTCATTGTCACTCCTTGTATTGTAAGCAGGACATTTGTGGATCGTGCTCGTAATACTACTTGTTTGTCTTTCACTGATGCGCGGCAGTGCGGTGGGGTCTGGGCGCGGCACTGGGGTTGAGAAAGCAATTCCTCATCTCCGCGGGCTTGGAAATCCAAGCTATAATTGAGGCCTGAGTGTGACAGTCAAAGCCCTGTCTGTTCTGGTCGTGCACGACCTGTCTCTGTTGCAGTCCGTGAGGCAGGTGTTGGTCTTTTAGCTGCACACCCGGTTTTCTTACCTCGGAGTAATCTGGAATTTATACAGCTGGGAACTTCCTGTAACGGCTTCAGCACGGTTCTGAAGCTTTCTGAAGTTGGGTCTGACATTGATAGCCAGCGTCATCCTTATGAGGTTGGCCCAAACCTCCCTGACACCGACTTCACCAGAGTGTGTGATGCCAAATTGGCAACCGTATGGTTTTTGGCTCGTTTGCAAAAACACCAATGCTTGACTTACATAAATTTACCTATGTAGTGGGTACTAGTATGTATATCTAAGAAACAGACCTTAGTAGGACCCTTTCAGCAAGTGGAAGGACATGTTGTTGATCATTGTCAAAATCATGATATGGACACATATTGGACGTCATTGGATTGTTTCTTTGATGGTTTTGATTGTGACAAACACTCAAACCTGGCTATCTGATTTATCTTGATGGTTGTTGTGAGGTAGGCGTATTGAGAGATTGGGGTTTGTAGAGAATTGATCACATCAAATTTGCAATTTTTCACTCAATTCTCCCTTCATACCATACATGGTCTTGTTAGCTGAGCAGTAGCAAGGGAGTACTTCACAATCACGGTGTCACACTCACAGCTTTAAAAGAAATCAAAAGGGTTGACACCGACTTAGGATCCCAAAAACCGGCGTCAGACTCTGACAGAACTCTTTACAGATAGCCCTGAAGCTCCCGAAGAGCCTGAAACCTTTTAAGGCGCTGTACATCAATGTACAACCTGTATAAGTTCCAGAGTACTCTGAGCTAAGGAAAACTGGCGTCATTTTTGTTTTCAAGTCGGTGTGCTTTATCAATCACCTTAAAGATCTAGAATCTTCATCCTTCAACACTACGGTCCACAATAATTACACAAGTTGGTTTCACAAATGTGTGTACTGGCACTACATTTCCATGAGAGCTTGTCCAATCAAACAGAAAAGTCCAGCTCCTGATCAGTCTCATGTTTGATTCAAGCTGGCCATCAACAGGTCTGCGCACAATCACGGTGCTCAACCTCTTGAAGGCCTTCAGCTTTCATTGCTATTGTCAGCCCTGGGTACATATACATGTACCCAAAACTAACTTATAATATATAAGTTCCACTTATACACCTAATACATGTACATACAGCTCATAAAACACTTTTAACATGTAGTATATCATATACAAACATCAATTACATATACATATACATTTAAAATCATATGTAATATGTAATAGAACACCATTTACACCTCATAACTCAGTGTCAAGAGTTACAATGCTTATACTACATAAATTACATAACATGTATATGTAATTATGTAGCATTAATAATGATCATAACTAATAGTAATGCTTAAACCCTAAACCACGGTAGTGATACAAACAAATATCACTACAGTCAGGTTTGGAGAGGAGAGTATATAAACTCCTCCTCTCTCAGCCTTCAGAAATTTTCCCCCAAGCTTTTATTACACCTCACTTTTAAAGACCAAATTTAAAGCAATATTGAAGTTCATAATCAAGATTCTTATAAAAATAAGACTAGTCATTTACTTCATTACTTTAGACAGCTTCCTGACTAAAAGTAAGTAATACACCCTTCACCTATTCTCTGGATCCTCTACTTTCCCCAAGTAGATTCTTTACCAGGTTAGTGACCTTCAAAAACTCAAAGGGTAGTGGCCTACATACAAGTACTCAGGTTGGTGACCATAAGAACAACCAGTGTAGTGATCTAGACCTCACTCTCTAATCTGTCAAACAAGAAGATTAGAGGAAAACCTTGGATCCAGTTTTCATTAATTATTATTAATAATAATCATAATTAAAACCTCCTTTTAAGGAGTAATTTTAACTGTAGTCTGTCTGGATTTATCCAAACAGACCAATCCTCCACTCCCCCTTTCTCTTTCATTCCTTAATTTCTATTGTAATTACCTTATATTTGAAATATAAAAGATAATTATTAAAAATTACAAACCATCCTTAGCCCATTTAGTGAGTCTTGAGTCCTAAGCTGAGCAACCAACCCTCACAGCTATGTAGGACCCAGGTATGCTCCTATGTATAAGGGGTAGTCATGCTTGGAATGGTGACTTTTGAGCTCACGCAAAATCACACTTCATGTGATTATAGAGAGCTGTCATGTTTTCTGCCAGTTTCTGCCTTTGCTTATTGCCACTCTTTCTATTGTTTGACAGATGAATGGTCACCAGGGACTGACTTAGCAGTTTGGCAGGGTGGGGTCTCTGCAGGAGCTCAAAAGTCACAATTCCCAGTGACTACCACTTATAGGGGCATACAAGGGTCCTACAGTCGACTCCCTCGAAACCCATATCCCTGTAAACCCATACTTCCTGATAATCCATAGAAAATTGAGTCCATGAAATTTATGGGCAGGGAAAAGTGGCCTAAAACCCATACCTCACACTATTCCCATAACCCATAGGTTTTTTCAGGGAGACCAGGTTCAAAAGCCATAACCAGAAAGTGCAAAATTTGTTTTTTTTGTAAAAACCACCTCCTGGTCAATCATTTCTCAGCAGAAAGTGTCTCAAAATGCTTCCAATAGACCTCCCAAACTTCAGTGTATCAGATATTGAAACAGAGAACAACAAAAGGCTTAAGCCACTACGCCAACTGCTCAGCAAAGGGAAGGAATTATCAGAGGCAGATGAAAGGTTCATGGACTTGGCGGGCAACTTGATAGAGAAAGTTATGGTGTTGAGGAAGATAAAAGCAGAAGGCAATGTTTCTAAGGCTGCAAGTCAATTCAAGAAGAGCTCAAGAGACTTGAACTTTTGATTTTGAAATTCAATCAAACAAAGCAATCAGTGGTACCCAAAGAAGCCAGTAAGTTGTAACCTCAAGGGCCCTGTTGAACTGTTCACTTGCTGAAAACATGAGTTGTTGAATATTATAGGTTCTAAGAAATGGGCTGCTGAGAAAAGCAACGGACAACACAGGTATCACACAACAATATGGAAATTAATTTTTGAAACAACTCTTTGAAAAAAAAATCTCCCTCTTGACCCATACTTTACCTGCTAAACCTTAATCTATGGGTTATGAGGGAGATCCTCCAAAACCATACACCCATAAAACCCATAGTTTTGGGTTTCCATAAACAGGTATGGGTTTCGAGGGAGTCGACTGTATTCTGTTGCTATCCAATTGATGTACACCAAAGCTCTAAGCCGGCTTTTAACACAATTCCCTGTTCATCCAAACCATCATCATCCACTCTATAACCTTTCTTTTGTGTCTCAATGCCATATGCCAAGTATGAGATTCAATGGTATCTCAAAAATCCATCATTTTTAACCCATTTCATCTCACTTCCCATAAATCAAACACAGAACTGTGAAATACATGTATTCATAAATTATTGGTTCTTGAATCAACAAAGAGAAAATTTCAAAACGAACTTGTAGATGATTCTCAATGTAACACTATGATTTATTTATTTATTTATCAAGAATTTGATTAGGGCGCGTTCACTTAAGGAATTTCTGACCAGAAATCACATTCTGTAAAATTTTTAATGCAAAAATGAAACATACACCACCAAATAGAGACTTGAAATTTTGCAGAATGTGATTTCTCACCAGAAATTGCTTAAGTGAACGCGCCCTTAGTATCACAAAAGCAAAGGAAAAAGTAGAAATGACATGATTTACAAGTTAAACTATGATGAAAGATGAAATGAGGCATATGATAGTGTGAAAGAGGCTTTTACTTACTCTTTTCCTTCCACAGAATAACAAATAAGGAAAAGAACTTGGTATTGACAAAATTTAAATAGGAGACTATTAGGGCTTGGGATTTCAGTTAGATATCAGATTTAAGGCTTGAACTAAAGTGGCTTAAGTGACTGGCATGTATTAGCCAGATTCCAGTGCCTTTCACAACATCTGAAATACCTAGTACAAGCAACACCACAACCACTCCACTCAAAAGAGCATGAGAGGAGCGGTTTTGGCATCCGCTCAGACCTCCTCTGTCCAGAGTGGAGCCTGTGCTCGGCGCTCCGTGGGTTGGGAAGTCCTGAGCAGAGCATATTGCTCCGCTCAGAGCCGGGGCTCAGGTGGCTTATAAATAGTTTTTTTAGACTTTTTGAGTTCTTTGTAGCAATGAGCACTGCTATATAGTGTTGTGCGCCGTGTGATGGTGTTACACTACACACATCCAGTGAGAAAAAAAAATCAAAGATGAGTGATTAAGAGCACTATGAGTTATAGTGGAGCCCTCTGCTCCACACCTAAAACAGGCTGAAATCCTGTGCGGTGTGTAGCAGTTGCAGTGTTTACTACAAGAGACTAATGTATCTCTCAACAATTTCATTATATGTTTCAGGTTCAAAAAACATAAAACAAGTTCACATCTCAATTTTTGACCACATTTAATCTTGGAAAAAACTGTGTCTTTGGTTTTTGGGAGGTGAATTCTGATGTTGAATCTTCTTCAAGCCAGTTCAAAACTTCATTATTATTTTTAAGGGTCAACATACAATGTGATGTTAGTATGTAGGGCAGCTCAAGATCCATACGTAACCACAGTTTCTTGATCATTCCATAGAGTGTAAAGACCTTCTGAAAATCATGATGTTGAGCCCTTTGGAAGTGCAAGTCCTGTGCCAACTGACTCAAAAGATTGAGCCTGTGCTACATGATTTGTACATTTGGCTGTCAAACGTACTGATTTACTTATAGTTCCAATAGGCATAAGAATTTCATTACATTTGGACAGATCATATCCTTGGATGTCAATAAGGATCAAAAAATGGCAGCTGGACCTACATTCCAAGTATGTTGCATTTAGATGTATCCTTCAGTATACAGATGTGTTTTCTACAAATTCACAAGATTGATGATTGGATTAAATACCACATTTGTAACTAAAAGAGATTTGGAAATACAATACCATAGGTAAATACTATGATCATTTTGAGAACAAATTGGCTCTTAAAGTTTGGACTGTAATGTAACTCAACAAAGGCCCTTGACAGCTCAACATTTGTCATTCAATAAGTTGAATCCACCAGTCTTGGCATGAGGGACTGACCCCTAAAGGTGTGTTTTTGGCTGGCGGGGTAAGGATTTGTTGGCTGAGAGGATCTTGCTTTCCTCTTTTTTTGCAAGCACACCAAGGAACATGATACACTTCCACACCCAGACATGCACTGAGACTCCCTACATATTGTAGAAGTGAATTCATTGCCATCCACTGTCCCCTTCTCAAGCTACAGATAAAATAATTTGCAAAACTCTCACATGTGGGTCTGCTAAGTCAAGGAACCCATTTCCATGGTAGAGCTAATGGATGACTATACATTTGGGCCATAGTCAGGCTTCAGCCACTTAAATCAATCATCTTATTTTGACCTACTCCAATATCTCTAGACCAACCAAAGTTCAAATCAATTTTTTCAATGAACTTTGTAGAAAATTCCTGAGAAAAGAGCCTGGAAAGTGCCTGTTGAGGTGTGTGACATAAATTCCAACTTTTTTTATAAAAACTTCTGGTGAAAAAGGCTAATTCCAACCTTTTTTTTTCACTAACATATGAGTATTGTGAAAAATGGTGTTTGAGAGCTCAAAAAGCAAAAAATATTCTGGGGAAGGTTGAAAGTTGGTTTTTGATGGTAGAATTCATTGACACAAAAATGTCTTGAAAAATCTAGACATAAAGAGAAGAGAGTAATTTGAGAGGTCAAAGTCATTTATTTGATACAACACTGATTTTTGAACAAGTAAAGGATTGAAATAAGATAATTTAAATAATTGAGACAAATTCATATCCAATTTCATTTCATGCTCAACTTCAAGGTTTTGAAGAGTTACTATTCCATTTCAGATGTACCAAAAAACCAATTGTCCTACACAAAGTTGATTCTGGAACTTTTCCACAAATTTTCCAGAACTGCCCCAGAACACAGATTTGACTGTGTTCTGGACTCCTGGACTTGTGAAAAACAGTACATGTTTGAATGCCCTTTTGCCCAGGGTGCAGAAGCATTCTGGCTTTCTGAAAAATGTTCTGGAAATTTTGTGGAAAAGTTCCAGAATCAACTTTGTGTAGTATAAATGAAATTGATCTTTGGATTTACTTCACAAACCTATTATATACTCAACCTCTCAACTTTTTCTTTCAATTCATTCTTATATCAAACAAATGAAGAAAAAAACCCAATTCCAAAGAACCCTCATGAAACCTTATCATCCAAAGAAAAATCACAAGTCTGTAAATAGTAGTAATACTAGTAGTAGAGATAGTAGAGATAGTAGAGATAGTAGAGTAGTACTAATAATAGAGAATAATAGTAATAGTCAAAAGAAACCAAACCAAACAACAATCAACTTGAATATTTTCTTTTCTTATTATTTTTTTTCTTCCCTTTTCTTTTTCTTTCTTTTCTGTTTCTTCCCTTCTCTTCCCTTCCCTTCCCTTTTCTTATCCTTTTCTTATCCTTATCCTTTCCTTATCCTTTCCTTTTCTTTTCTTCAATCCAATCCAATTCAAGAACCAATTCAAGAACCAAATCCAAATCCAAATCCAAAGAAGAATTAATAAATAATCAAAAATTATATCACCTAAAAAAAAGAAAAAAACCAAGTTTTTTTTTTATAGTAAATCACTTTATAATTAAGAATTAAGAAAAAACAAAAAAACAAAAAAAAACGACCAATAAAAAGAAAACAAAATAAGTCTTGATGAATTGATGAATGACCAAAACACCATTTTATATACAAAATGAAAATAAAAGAGTAAAAAAGACTGAAACACTTTGGGCGTAACAAAAAAACCCATAAATCTATCAACAAAAAAGAAAAAGTCATAATTTTTTTAATTGGTTTTAATAGGGTTTTTAAATTTCTTTAGTTTATCAATCAATCGATTTGATCCAAATAAATTCATATAAAAAAACATAAAGAGAAAAAATTCTTTAAAAGTAAAAAAAGTAAATAATTGTTGTAAAAAAAAAACGAATGAAATAGCGATTGAAGTAAAACACACACACAGTCACACACACACAGAAAAAAAAAAGGGAAAAAAGAGAAAAAACCTTGAAAAAGTTGTAAAAAGTTTTCCTTCATTCTGTTCCATGATGAAAAAAAACAAAAACGCTCTCAAGAAGATTAATCCAACAAAAAAAAAAGAAAAAAGATTTTAAAAAAAAAGGCAACTGATTTGAAATGATCCTTTAAGTAAATTTTCTTTGGACGGTAGTAGAAACTCATCAAGATTTCCACACCAAAGCAAAAAAAACAAATCATCATCATCAACCTAAAAAGATTTCAAGTTCTACTTAAAAAAAAAGAAAAATGGAAAACCAGCTCTTCAAGACTCAAAACCCATGAAAATCATTATACTGAGATTCTCCATTCATAACACTCAAAGTACGTTGAGCTCGATCTTCTTTGATCCCATTCTCTTGATGATGATGAGTATTAGTATTGTTAGTAGTAGGCACAGGAGCAGGTGATTGAGCAGCACTACCCAACGAATCAGGATGAGAAAGAGCAAAGTAAGATTGTTGTAAGTTAGGTTGAGTAGGTGTACCAGATCGATCTTCTTGATGATTGTACTCTTCAACTCCTTCATAGGGGTTCTTGAGTTTTCCTGATGGTTCTCTCATCAACGTAGCTTGCTTTGGGTCTTGTTGATACATCATCGCTTCATTTGGGTAACTAATTCAAACAAACACAAAACGATTGAGTGTTTTTGAGCCAAGGAAAGAGTCAAATGGGGAAATGATGACTTACACTGGACGAGAAGGTGGTGAATTATTATAATGGGTATTATAACCCTGAGCCACAGCGTTTCCATACCCACCAGTAGCCACCGCATTCCCATACCCACCCGTTTCCACTTCATTTCCATATCCTCCAGGGCCCAGCTCAGCACCATAACCTCCTTGAGGTGGATAATTAGCAAATTGAGAAGACAGAGCAGGTGGATGAGGAGGAAAATGATTAGTAGGTGGTGAATAATTCACAATTTGTCCCGGTTGAAAACTTTGGGCAGGTAATGAAGGCGCTCCAAAGTGTCGTTCTAGAATCGATGGTGGTCTTGGTCTACTTCTATCAGTGTTGGATCGATTCAAGGTGCCTTCTCCTCCATTTAACTCATTATTATAATCACCCTCAGTACCATATTTATCATTCAAGAACTATACATCATTCAAAATCATATAAAGTTAAGTTGAGTCGTTTGCGAGAATCGAATATGAGAGTCACTTACAGGGTTATCATCATAATCTGTCATCATCCTTGCCTTCTTCTTCTTCAAAAACATTCCCACAAACCCAGCCAAGATAACCGCCCCAATCAAAGCCCCCACAACGATACCCATAATCGTTCCCACACTCGTGCCCGTACCATCATCATTCGATCCAGAAGAAGGAGTACTACCAGCCGTATGACCAGCCGAGAGTGTAGCAGCAGGTCTAGGCGCATACAAGGTTTGAGTGACAACTGCACCAGCTTGATTGGTTTGAGTGACCACCGAAGCTGGACCCGGTGTAGCCAGAGACGGATGGACCAAACTGACATTCGTAGGCGTTTGACCGACCGGATTGATCACCGTCTTATTCGTATCTGAAGCCTTAGGAGCTTGAGAGGCTAGTGCAGGTAATGCTGATTGAGTCAAGTTATCTGCAGTGGATAAGGATAGCACCGGAGTTGAATTGGTTGTATCGGGAGTAGTCGAACTGGATTTATCGGTCGGATTCTTGGTCGTGGTGGTGGTCGTTCCGAGATTGTTGTTGTTGTTGTTGTTGTTAGTGTTGGTAGTAGACTTATCGGTGCTTACATCGTTAGTGGTAGTAGTCGGATTAGTTGTAGTTCCAGAGCTTGGATTGTTAGTGTTACCCGAGTTAGTAGTTGCTGGAGTAGTAGTAGTAGTAGTAGTACCAGGAGTAGTAGTCGGAGTCGTACTAGCAGCGTTGTTCGATGGGGTATTACTGGTGGTAGGAGTGTTTGAGTTGGTGGTAGCAGAGTTAGTAGTAGGTGGGGTATTGGTGCTTGTGGTGGGAGAGATGACGGTGATTTGACGTTTGTTGAGGAATGAGTTGGTGATAAGATGATGATGTTGATGATCGTTTCGTTTGTTGAAAGTGAAGAGTTGATTATGTTCGATTTGTAACATTTCGTTCGATTGATGATGTGATTTGATTTGATTAGAGTTGATAAAGTTAGAAATGAGTGAGTGATTGATTGATTGGTTAAGAGTGTTGTAGTAAATGGATGATGTGAGTTGGTTCGAATAATAATAAAATAAAAGAAGAAACAGATTGGTAAACGATTAACGATTCGATTTACCAAAAAGTGTTTTTTATTTTTTTATTTTAATTTAATTTTTAATAGTTCAAGTGAAAGTGTGAGTGAGAATGAAAGTGAAAGTGAAAATGGAAATCGAAATGGAAGCTAAACAAAATTTTGAATTGTAGAAGTTGATTCGATTTTAAATTTTAAATTCCAAACTTCAATACACTCAATCAAAACTACTAAAACTATAAAAAATCAAAACAAGTACACTCAATACATCTTTGGAATTGGAATTTAAATAAAAAATCAAAAGACCCATTACTTAACTTATGTACCTAACTCATTTCTCTTGACGTCATATGTACCATCAAACCCATCCAATCTTTCTCTGAAATTCATCTGTTTCCAATCTTTCAAGAAAAAAGAATATCTCATTCCAACAAATCAGTTCATGATCTCATAAAACATCGGATTAATAAGTTCTTCACCACCACCCAAGCAACAAAAAGTTTTCCAATTCCAACCTATGAAAATTTACCCAACATCTCCTCTCTGCTCTTTTATCACGATACATGCACAAAAAGAAAACTCTATTCAAGGTTACATCTAGATTTCCATCTTTTCCGTCCGTTGCCTACCGCTACCCCAGCATACATAAAGCTTTTTTTCAATCCCAGGTGTTAAACCTTTAATCAAAACTTTAGATCATCAATTCATCTTACTTACAAATCATCCAATTCCGTAGCCCGATAAACCTTTTATACAACATCCAAAAACCAAAAAAAATTATAACCAAAGTCAAATGGAGAACTTTTTTTGAAAAGACAAAAAAAATCAAAGCAAAAGAAAACAACAAGATTAGGTGGTGTCAAACTAGGAAAAGTTGAAGTTTTCAAAATAAAAATTTTGAACCGTGTAATTAAATACATGTGATACAGTTTCAACTGTGTATTTACAGTTTCAACTTTGTATGTATTTGGAGGGTGGCCTCCCTCGGGCTTCACCATTTGTGAAGAAACAAAAAAGGGCTGATGCCCCCATCCTTAATAAATCAACATCTACACAGAACACTGGGGCAGGGTAAAGCGCGTTGGGACAGGTCTCTTGAGGCCGTGTTTGTAAGTACTTCCATAGATGGCCATCTCTTCCAAGTCTCAACGCTAAAGAGCTCTAATGAACTATTACGTACCATCCCCTGAGGGATGCTTTCCATCAGAACCTCTACCTCCAATTTATGGCTACAACCCCGATCCTCCCTCTAATGACCACCAAACTGGACCACCACAACATTTTCCCCAATTTGATCACGGGTTTGAACCGTTTGATCACATGTCTGGTCCAATGCCGCAAACGCCCTTTATTTTCCACGGATCTTCAGATGGAAATTTTGGAGGATTCCCTCAAAGTCATCACATCAGCACTCCCCCTGCATCAGCAATTGCCCACGGAAATTCTGCCGTCCAAGATCAGCCTCATTACCCCAATCAACCACCGCCTAACCAGCCCGGTAGCATGAATACTCAGCCAACGACTTATACGTCCCCATCACCTGTCCTAGTCAAAGGTAAAAGAGTACGCAAGCCAAAGGCCAATAAGACCAATTCAGCAGTGCAGGATACCGCCACGTTAAAATCTCCTAATTGCACGCCGACCAACTCAAAAGACAATTTTCACCGCCACTGGGCAAGACATAAGAATTTGAATGGCGAATCGGCTAGCGATATCTTAATCCAATGGGTCCTCATCCCCGGTAATTACAACAGATGGCGCGAAAAGGGTTCCAAGAAGAATGTGATAGCCAAAGATATCTCGCAATTCTTGATTCAAAATGGAATCTTTGGGCGCGATGGAAATTCAGTGGTTCAACAAGTTTGTCACTATCGTATTGGAAGTAGCGAAACGTGTATACTAATGTAGTTTCAAAATTTAGATGCACTCGTTAGAGGATAGGTATTGAGAAGCTCTAGAGAGGACCAAGCAAACTGGCGGGGGACTAATTGGAATCTCAGGAGAGAAATCATTCTCCGGTATGTATATCTTGTTGAATTTGAACCGATACTGTGGCTCACATCTTGTATATATAGACCAAATCGAGGGGATATGCCCATCATTCTACGAACTGGACCAAATCATGGGTGATCGACCATCAGCCATGCCCTTTGATGAGATAGACCTCGTGGACGACATAAACAAGAATGATATCCGCGATGCTTTCCAGCTCCGTACGGCCAATCAAGACGTCTTAGATGTGGAACAAAACATCGACAACCCAGATTTTAGTGACCTCTTTGACCCATCTGATACCAATGATGATTCATTCAACCTACCAGCCCCTCTACAACGCGATAACCTGATGGCGGCCATCCAAAATGCAGATCAACCAAAAGTCACCCAATCCCGAAAGCATCGCCGCGAGTCTACCGATAGCATCAAAGAAGATTCCTTCGATTCACACAGCGACGTTATAGTCAAAAAGCGACGGCCATCAGGCTCTTTTTTAAAATCAATTGGCTTTAGGGCTCAATCGCCAAGCAAGTCTGTACTCAAGATCAACACATCTGAAGCACGTGAAAAGGCGGATGAAAATTATGAACAACGCGAACGAGCTATTCAAGCTCATTCCAAGACGGCTATTGGAACACTTAAGATTGGCCAAGAGATGTCTAGTTCAATGAAAACTATCTCATCTGCCATCACGAATTTGGCAAACCCCAAACCCCCACCACGTGACAAAATCGCCAAGACGCGCGAGAAGATGCAGTTGCGCCGTGAGAAGTGGGAGCTTCAGTTGTTAATTCACAAGCAGAAATCTGAGAATGATTATCGTGATCTTGAGCTAACTACTAAGACTATACGTGAATTGATGGAGACGGGAATGTCCTCCACAGAAGCTACCAACTTGGCAGAGCGTCTGATTGAAAACCAAAAACAAAGTAAGTCAACCTTTGTCTTGAATCGGATTGAGATCACTGATTGATCTGTGACTTTTTTGAACATCGGTCAGAGTCTAGACCTGATTTAGATGCTTTAATGGATTATGACAGCAACAACAGTGATAGTGATTGAGCCGAGGAGCTTGTCAGCTTGTCATGTACAATCCCCAACTTCTAAGCAAAATCGAAAATTTGCTAACGAGTATTTTCCTTTCAATATAAACGTATTCGATTATCCTTAAACAATCGATTCTATGACTACTGAAATATGATGTTATGAAAAATTTTATCCTGTGTGCTTTGATGGTTGTACCTCTCCTTTTTTCTCGTGATAAGGTTGGATTTGTGGGTCTCAAATACCAGCAAAAACATGATTGTATCATCTCTCAAAAATGAAGTAATGAAATTACCAATGCTACGCTCAAATATAAAACCTTGCATTTATAATCGATCATGTTTTGATGTTGAAAACCAAATGATTTCAAAATTGATCGCTTATTTAGCAAATATGAGTAACTCTGTTCGAGTTACTTCACCAGGTAGATAGTGACATCGATCCACAACCAAGGATGAAAAAGCGAACAAAATCATTGATTTCTTTTCATTGATATGTAATTACAATTAATAACAACTAATGATACAATTGTTGGAATTGAGTGAATAGAGCTGCACGAGTGTCATCTGATTCTATGACATCATCATCAATAGCTTCGGATCCGCCATCATCACCTTCATCAAAATCAAAACCATCGTGTCCTAAATCTTGAAGGATTTGAGAATCTTGGACATCGATCAGGAAGTTGTGTAGAACTACTGTGGCACTCAAAAAATAGTTAAGTCGCTTTGCTGATCGAACACCTTTCGGTACCACTCGACACTGTCTCACAAACTGCCACCGAGCCTTCCACAGTAAGATTGTGTGCTCAATCACATATCGAAGTTTGCTGAGCGCATTGTTGAAGTGGTTTTGGGCTGCTGGAAGGGGTATATGTCGAGGCTTTTTGAAATTTGAAACTAAATTTTTCCTTGAAGGGTAACCTGAATCGCCCAGCAGATATTCACCTTCGCCGAAGAAATGTTGAGGGCTCCTTGAGAGCTGTTCAGAAAGAGATTCATCAGCCTTAATGGTGTACATGATTGAGTTGAATACACTTGCCTTTGAATTACGAAAAACTCGTGAGTCATGGGCACTTCCGCACCACCCATGAGTCGCGTAGATGATCCGTTTGCGATGATCACAAACAAGCATTGAATTCAATGCATACGTTGATTTTCAAGTTCGGTAATCCTCAATGTTTTTCTCAGGACCTGTAGCAAGAGTAACCAGTGTCCCATCTATGACACCAACACATCCTTTAAAAAAACTATGCCGCCCAAACGCCTTTTTGATTTTGCTGCGTTCTGTCTGGTCGGGCCATCGATAAAAGCGATCCTTCAACGAAAGGATTGCTATAACACATTGAGTTGTATAATTATAAATACTACCTTCTACGAGAATTGAGAAGTGAGGTTAGCAATTGCCGTTGGACAAAGGGAATGGAAAGTAAAATTTACTTACCTGATATACCAAAACCCAGGGCAAGCATCCTAGGACTAGCACCATTTCCAGTCAACCCGAGATACGCCAGAGCGACCAAGAGTTGCCACTCAGGTGGGGCCTGTGGCGAGCTGGGAGATCTGTTCTGAAAGATGTGATGCCCGCCAATCATGTGAAGTAACTTCACAAAAGTTTCCTTTTGCATCCTTGCCTAAGAAATCAACATATGACTTTGATCACATCAATCATCAAGACCCGAGTTTGAGATACCGAAGAAATACCAACCAGGTGCCTAAACACGGAGCTTCGCTCATTGAAGAGGAGGGCAAAGCGTCCATCGGGTGGTCCTCGTGCAGGTGGCCCTTGTGGTACTAGATAGCGTTGGGTTTGAGCCGCGTGTAGCTGACCAAGTAAGTCTTCAACTTCTTCTTGATGCCAGAGTTGAAAAAGAAATACGAGCTGGTTGTCTGAATCATTAAATGTGTTTTCTAGCCATTGCATTGCTAAGCTGAAAACAGTCATTATGATGCAGGAGACTGTGAGAACACGAGATGATTTGATATGTAAGCAGACAGCCAGTTGTGCAATCGAAGACCCCGCCATCGCATGAGAAAATGTTGATAGGCTGGACCGGAGGGGGAATGTAATCGTTGGATCATTATCATCAAGAGCATCCAGGGCGGTGCGAATTTCTGATACAACGGTTTGGCGACGAGTGATTCGAGGCATATCACATCGAGGAGAGGTGGTTGCTGGCGCGTTTCCCGGTGTAGGTGTTGATTTATTAAGGATGGGGGCATCAGCCCTTTTTTGTTTCTTCACAAATGGTGAAGCCCGAGGGAGGCCACCCTCCAAATACATACAAAGTTGAAACTGTAAATACACAGTTGAAACTGTATCACATGTATTTAATTACACGGTTCAAAATTTTTATTTTGAAAACTTCAACTTTTCCTAGTTTGACACCACCTATTGTGTAAGGAAAAATGAATCAAGTTTTCAAAGTTGTAGATTATAGGTTTCAATAAATCCACAAAACAAGTTAAGTTAATCAAAACAAACAAATCATTCTCTAATTTTCTTCTTTTCCTTTTCCCAAACATCTCTTCAAACCTCTTCCAAAATCGATTTCTTTCTTCACCCCATCAATTCAAAGGTAAATCAGATCGATCAAGTCAAATCATCATCATCATCATCATCATCAAAGCAGAAATCAATTCCAAATCTTTCTTCATGAAAGTTAAATAAAAATACAAGCAACCTTCATACGTGTATGAAACAATATAAATATATATCAAAAGACATGCATGCATGTGGGTTGGTTCTGAGGTTTACAAAAAAACCAACGAAAACCAAATCTAATTTATAACGACCAAACATTCTAAAAAACCTTATACAGATCCAAAGAGTTGATGATCAACTTGATCAAATTCAAACTTTTACAATCAATTCATTGAGTTGGTTTGGTGGTTATGATTTCCATCTAGAATCGTTTACTACATATTTGACAATCTTTAGCACATCCTTGGACTTCAAATTTCCAATTTCCAATACCTACCAAACCCCATACCCCCAAAAAACCAATCAAAAAAAGAACCATCAGCTTCCAAACAAACCAAAAAAAAACAAAAAAGGAATACAAACTTCTTCATGATTAGCAGTTTCTTCCTTCCAAACAGGTTCAAGTCCAAGTCCCGAATCCCCCAAATCCTTTCTCTCATTCTCCACCCATTCTTCTGCACTTCTATAAGGAGTATCGATCACCACATTCGTCACAAGTGATAAAGTCAAGACTCTTAATCCTACATGTCTTGCTGCGATCACTTCTGGTACTGTCCTATATCCAAACCAAACCACAAGAATCAAACCTATTTGTTGATTTTTTGAGGTGATAGAAAAGAGGTAAAGGGTCTTACGACATTCCTACTACATCTGCTCCTGTACTTTTTATGAATCTTCCTTCTGCTCTTGTTTCGTACGTTGGACCTGAAACCTACATACACACACAAAAAACCGTTTCATTGATAATAAGTTGTAGGTTTTTTTGTCAGGTTTATTTATGTAAGTTATTTAAATATAAAGAGTAAAGTGTTTACCCATGCATAAATTCCTTCGACCACATCACCTTTTTTTAATCCGATTTCAGGTAATGATCTAAACACCGATTTCCTAAGCTCGAAATCATAAGCTTTTTTTGGTGATAAAATAGAAAAGAAAGACGGTTTTGAGTTTATGATCGCAATGAGAATTCTCGTTGTTGGGTTTAAGAATCAAGAATCGGGTTTGAAGAGTTTTTGAATGGTTGGGAAACTTACCATCTGACATGGGAGGGAAACGAGGACCGAGTGTGTCTATGTTAGGTCCGATTAAAGGGTTCCAAGATGTCTATGGAAAAAGCCAAAAAACATGATCAATCAAAAAATCAATCAATTCACAAAATCAAACATCAAGGTTGGAGATATGTATATTAGGAAATCTAAAACTGATCAACGAATTAAAGAGAACACAAAATAGGTTGAATCAACTTACAAGTGAAGGTAATGCAAGATGATCATAAAGTGTAATAATTTGTCCTACTTTTAAATTCGGATTAACTGCTCCTGCTGCATTGGTCACTAAACCCGCCACAAAAAAAAGGCAAAAAAGGAGAAAAAAAAGCAAAAAAGACTTAAGTTGAGGTGAAAGAGATGAATGAGGATTTATTGAACTCAAACTTACGAATCACTGCTTCACAACCTAATAATTTGAAGATCCTGACGGCAAAGATGACATCTAGTAGTGGATAACCTCTATTCAAAATAAGAAAAGGTTAAGTTTTTTGATGATTCTTTTAGGCTTTTGGGTTACAGATCATGATGACTTACTCGTAACAATGGAATCTTCATTCCAACCAACCAAAAAATAAAAACATAACTCATTAGTGAAAGTTAAACGAAAACCTCAAATATGCATTAGAAAAATCAAGTTTTTATTTCATTTTGAAAGTGTGAAATTAGAAGAAAAGAATAATCAAGACTGCATAAGTACCTTCCAGTTTGACAAACCACCTGAACATCACCCAATTTCCCAAACGTTAAACCTTTAGACTCATGACCCTTAACGACCGAATTAGTAAAAACTTTAGGCCATTGATCGATTTCTTCATATTTCAAGGTGATCGGATCAGACAAGTTGGTTGATAAATTGTTTAAACCTGATCCACAAACTATTCCGATCTTAGGTAATGATTGGGTGTTGGTTAGTTTTGATTTGATGGATTGGTAGGATTTGGTTAGACGTGGATCGGTGGCTTCGTAGGCGGTTATGGGTTGGGTTGGTTTCATTTTTGGTTTGAATGGTCTCGAAGTCTTTGGTTTTTCTTGATCACAACTCGAATCTTACTGCAGAATCTTTGAAGCTGGTGAGGTCACTGGTGGCGTTCTGTGTGAATGGCCAAGTTGAGTTTTAAGTGATTTGGTTAAGTACAATCTGTCAAACTTCTGTCACTGGTTCATGAACTTGATACACATCTTCATTCTCAAAATCATGAACTCTAAAACCGATGAGTGATCTGATAGCTTGCTGCGTTATATCAGATTGTAGAGTGACTTTGTTGAGTCTTAATTCAGAAATGTAAAAGAATCACTTCGATCGTCTCAACTACCAATTAGTTTCAACTGAGTCGAGCCGCCGCCAAGAGTAACGGTGAATTTTAAGCCACCGAAATTCGAATTCGAATTGACAGACGAAATCGGTTGAGAAGTTGAAAAAAGTGATTTGGTCACCAAGGTTCCAAGATCGATCGATTCCTTTATCTTCCAATTTCAACCATAAAAGTCATAGACTTGAATAAGACTTCAAGAAAGAAGAACTAAAACTAGTGAGATTTAAAGAAATTTCTGGAAACCGATCAATCAATCAAGTATCATCATCATTACAAGAAATCATATTAAACTTTGTCAATTTGGATACATACCTAGAGTGACCGAACCGATGAGTTATCAAGATGGAATCTCATCACCAACAGTACGAAGACGAGTTTCGAATCCGAGTCTTTCACTCAAACCATCACTAATTGAAAAACGAAGTGGTCAATACAATTCAACCAAACCAAAGGCCAATCAATCAACTAGAAGATCTTTAGCAATTGGATTTTTGTTCATCTTGATCAGTTCGATCTTAACTTTAACTTATCTTAGGAACCATTTCTTAATTCGAAAACCTTATACACCATCTCAACATGATTCTGGAAATACTTTTCATCGGTATGCTTTACCTGATGGACCTTGGGAAGGTGAACCGAGAAGAGCGGTGATTGAGGCTATCAAGGTTAGCATTTTATCATTTGACTTCATAAGTTGGAGCTGGTCACTATTTCTGATCATATGATTGATGTTCAACTGTGATTTGATTCCCTTTCTTAGGAATCCTGGTCTGCGTACGCAAACAGTCAAGCATGGGGATCTGATGATTTTTATGTACTGACGGGTACAGGTGGTAACTTGACAAGATCAGGTTCAATAGGATAGTAAGTCATACCCAAGCCACTTTTAGTTTTCGTTTTCCAGAGTACTAATCAAACTTCTTTAAAATAGCTTTATAGTCGATGTACTGGATACCTTAATTCTTACCAAGGAAATGGATACCGAATATGCTAGAGCAAGAGAATATATTCAAAATGATTTACGATTCGATATCGATGGGGACTTTAATGCGTTTGAAACGACTATAAGAGTCTTGGGAGGACTTTTATCGGCTTATCATCTTACAGATCATGATCAACTTTATCTTGATAAAGCTATTGATCTAGGTACTCGACTCTTACCGATTTTCGATACCGTAAGTTGATTCATTAGAAGTGTTTAGATTTGGATGGGATCGAATTGATTTCGAGAGCTTTTTTTGGGGGGATATTTTAGCCTACTGGAATTCCTTATTCTTTTATCAATCTTAAAACTGGTCAAGCTAAAGCTGATCGAGATAATAATGGGTTTAGTAGTTTGGCAGAAGCGACGTGAGTCGATTCTTACTTTCTTTCCCTCTGAGAAATTGTAAACTCATACTTTTTACATTCATCTTTTTTTTGAACTGAATATCATTGATAGAACACTTCAATTGGAATTTAAGTATTTGGCAGAGTTGACTCAAGATCGAAGGTTTTGGGATGTGGCTGAAAAGGTCAGTCTATTCGTATCTTCAAGAGTTGAATAAAATTTGTGAATTCTGACATGTATATCTGATTGATCGAATAGGCAATGATGGCGATCAAATCAATTAAGAGTTACAATGGGCTTTTACCGATTTTAATTTCGTAAGAATTTTTCATCCTTCTAGATCAGATCAAATTGAAAATTGATTAAGAACTTTTCGTATAGACCGATGGATGGTTCTACTGTAAGTTTTATAGGTATTTCCATTTATATTCAGGGCTTCATGACTTATGATGATTCGATCGATAGTTTTTTCATATTCGAGTAGGATCAAGGGGAGATTCGTATTACGAGTATCTTATTAAACAATACCTTCAAACCAATCGTACTGAAACTGTTTATAGAGAGATGTATGATGTGGCTATGACTGGGATCAAAGAGGAATTGGTTAGAGAGACTGCTAGTGGATTGGTTTATACTGGTGAACTTCATCCATCAGGTCCGGGGTAACTGATAGGTTTTCTTTGAGATCGTTCAATGAACGAGTTGAGAAAACTAATCGATCGATTTTTTTTGGGGGTTTGGTTTGGTGGATCTAGAACTTATAAATTCGTACCTAAACAAGATCATCTGGTTTGTTTTCTTGGAGGTTCACTGATGCTTGGAGTCACTGAAGGACAACCGATCAATACCATTCCGAAAGAAATGAATGAAGATCAAAATGAAGATTGGGAGATTGGAAAAGAATTGATTAAGACTTGTGTGGATACTTATGAAAAGACTTTCACTGGACTTGCTCCGGAGATTGTAGAGTTTTCGGGTCAATCTAATGTGAATGGAATCCAAAGAGAATGGATGATTCCTCATTATCATAAGTAAGTTTGATTGATCTTATGATCATCTTGGATTTGATTTGATTTTGGTTTATGAATTGATTGTGGTTTTCTTTTGGTTTTCTTTGTCGTTAGATCTTCACCTCCACTTGATGCTAGGAATATATTAAGACCTGAAACAGTTGAATCGTTATTTTTAGCATGGAGATCAACTCATGATCCAATCTATCGGTAAATTTTTTCCCTTTCTTTCGATTTCATCCGACTTATTTTGATTGGATTGGATTCGGTTTGACAAATAGTGAATGGGGATGGCAAATCTTTAAAGCGTTTGATGAGTTTTGTCATTCTAAAGATCAGTTTGGTGGGTATCATTCTATACGTGATGTAGATTCGATTCCAATTAAAGTGGAAAACAAAATGGAAACCTTTTGGCTTGTAAGTCTCTTTTCTCTTCTTGTTTTTTTATTCTATCAATGGATTGATGGGTTGAGATTGGGTTTGAATTGATTGAATTGAATTTCTTTGATTTTCTAGGCTGAAACTTTAAAGTATCTTTTCTTATTGTTTTCAGAGGATTCGGTCTTACCTTTAGATCAATATGTTTTTAATACTGAAGCTCATTTGTTTCCTGTCTTTCAACCTACTGTGGTGGATGTAAATAGTACATGAATTCTTTTAATGAATTTGTAATGTATATATATGTTTTGGTTTTGGTTTATTAGTATTTTTAAATAGAATAGATTTGGAAACTTACTTGTTTGGGTGTGGGTGTGGGTGTATGGTTGGTATTGGGAAATTGGCTTATGGATTTTACCAGAGCAGGAGTGGAGTTTGGATTGCATGAACAAGAGTTAGTAAGGTATACTATTGAGAAGAAGATTGAGTATGGAGTAAAGAGGATTTGAGGATAGGATTCATTCTGTGAATTCATACCTTGATCATCTATTCTTGATCATGGATTCTTTCCGGCAATAAATGATATAAAGTATGAAATCAATCACTTTGAGTATGCGTAAGACGAGTTGATGATGATCACACAAGAAAAAATCAATCTATACTTATAAACCATCACATTGAGCTTGAGATGATTTTTTATATGTATTTATAGTACAGTTAACTACAAAAATGATGAGGTTTATAACTTTGGCCTACTGGTATGTGTACAGAGTAGGAAGATAACTTAATGATGAATCCAGAGGAGATGAAAATGATAAGAATGATCTGGATCTGAAACTAACCTGAAGATTTAATACGAGGTTTGGATTTGAGACAACTGATTGGAAAAGACTGATCAAGAGATTTGGAATGAGGTGTACTATTACCAATGCTCAGGAATTTTGAACAGATTGTTTAGATGGAGATTTTATTGGAATGAATTTGTGGTGGGAGGTCCTGATGGTTGGGTGGATATTATGCTTCTGAGGTTTGGTGAGCTTGGTATTGATGCTTGGAAGTTAAGGTCTTGCAGGGCAAAACAGTTTGGATAAGTCTGAAGAGACTTTGTAAGGCCAAATGTGAGGAAAGGATATGGTTATTAGATTTAGGATAAGGAAAGAAAGCATTTGACATACCTCACAAGATCATTGCTCAACAAAAAGAGAATGTGAAGTTAGAATGTTAAAGTGAAATATTGATTGAACTCATTGGTTGATAATTGTGGTGGTACTAAAGAGAAAGATATTTCAAGTTAACAAAGAATTAGATTTCAGTCAAAATTTCATTTTTGTAATTCAAAATATCATTTTGGTAATCCAACATACCATTTTTGTAACCCAAAAATGATGTGTTGGATCATTGTAATGAAACTGATGAAAAAAATTGTAGGAACAGAAAGAAGCAAGTAGAAAAATTTGATAGACCTCTTTTTATATTTTTACCATTTTTTTTGTCTTGTTGGGAAATCACTACAAGAAATCTGCCTGTATGTTCTATTCCAGAAAGAAAATATCACATTTGATGTAGTAAGGACCAGGCACAGTTTGGGCAAAAGGTTGTGTGTTGTTACTAAATTTTCTGCTTTGAAAGTGCTTTTTGACCTTGTGATTGGCAAGCATCAGCCAAATTTCCATGTAGAGCATGAGTGACATGCAACAGGATGTCACTGGCCTACCTATTCAATACCATCCTCAATGTTTACGATGCAAGTAAAACTGTGAATGCTGAGCTTGTGGCATGTTAACTTTTAAGTGGTACATGATAGTTTTGCTCAAACTCATCCCAATCCCTTTCTTGATATCTCTAAAGCCAACACACAAGATTTAACTTAGCAAACATTTTAGATTAGCCGTGTTCAAACCTAAACCGGTTGACACAAAAACCCGGTTACCCAGTTGCTTTTCTGGTGGTAACTTTGTGTATCCATTGACAGTTCTTGACAGCTTCCAGCCAAAAAGTCCACCGGGTCAACTGGGTTTTTTGAAACCTGGTCAGGTTTCAACGCAGCTATTATAGATACCTATAGGTTTATAACTGATTATCACCAAGGAGCCAAGAAAAGATGCAAGATTATTATAGGTGTCCTTATATTCCATAAGGACACCTTTCACAGAAATGCACTTTTCACCCGTAATGGATGTGCTTTCAAAACCCATACATCTTATTTTTCATTTGGGCTTGCAAAGCCTGTGGAAATCATCCTTGAGAGAAAGATGCACAAGTTAAATCACTTTCAAAAGTTCCAAAACCTAAATGTTAGTGTAGAAAACTGTCAAGCAACCCTGGGCCAGCACCGCAGGTGTTGCGTGCTGCGCTGCGGTTGCGTTGCGGTTTTTCTGACCGCACCGCACCGTAGAATCAATTTTCAGGTTGCGGCCTGACCCGCAGCGCAACAAGATCGCTCAGATTAGTGTTTTTTTTGGGCCGCAACAACATTTGTTGCGTTGCTGTCCCCAAAAACTTACAAATTGACGTTTTTTTGGCGCTGTTGCGCCTGTTGCGTTGCGCAACTGTTGAGGCGCAGCGCAGCCTAGCCTTGACTTTTGTCGTTGCGGTACTTCCCGCAACGCAGCGTCTGCTGCTTGTTGGTGTTGCGTGTTGCGGAGCAACGCATCAAAAAACGCGTGTGCTGTGGCGCGTTGTGTTGCTGGCACAGGGTTGTGTCAAGTCACAACAGATTTGTGAGGTCCTAAAATTGGACCTCACTAATTTGTTGCAATTGAGCAATGAGCAACTGGATCAAACCTGTGAGTTACATCAAAGCCCCATAGTATATATCTGCTTGATCACAAGCCTCACTGAAACTATGTGAGGCTTGAAGATAGGAACTTGTTTATCTCAACCAAACAATCTCTGGAAGTGGTTTATCAGCCGCCTTCAAGAAGATGGCATGAAAAACCAATCAAAAAAACTCCCTAACAATATGTTAGTAATAACAAAGACCATGAAACTGCGCCTGGGCCTTAGTGTCACTTGAACCATCATTTTTTGTAAGTCAGAAAGAATTCTTGTAAGTCAACATATCATTCTTTTGATTCAAAAAGCATTCCTGTAACTGGAAAGATGTTGTAGCTGACATCCCACACTGCAGCAAACACAAACATGTAGGTGCCAGAAACTAGCACCCAACTGATGTAGGCAATAGTTTTATGGCACCTAAATGTCAAAATCAACACAAAAAACAGTGCCTAGAAGTTTGGATTTAGGGTGTCATATATTATTGGCAATATCCTAAATCAATGTCAGTTTTACCCATCTGACAAGATACTCTTATAACTCCTTCAATCTGACTTGACCTGATTTTACTCATATGATGAGATATAAAGTTTACAAGTGCCTTGAAGGTTGCAGTTCTGATCTGATTAGATCAAAGCCAAGGAAGCTTGTCTAGAAATGACAGAGTACGCCTGAGGTCACAAGAGTACTTTGATCAGACAAAGCTTCTGGCTTGTCAACAACAACACAAATTTGAACTGACCTGAGGGCACAAGAGTACGTTGATCAGACAAAGCTTCTGGCTTGTTGGGTGCCTTATCAATACTCAATCCAACGGAGTTCCGCTTTCTGATTGTCTTGTTTTAGGAGGGCAGTCCATAGACATCTTCTACTAGTCTTTTCTTGGTAGATTATCCCCTTCATGCTCTGTATAACCCTTGGTGGGTTATAAGCTCTACAACGTACTCCCAAGCCAATTTTGCAATGCACATATCAGTAAGAATGCTGATGTCATAGAAATTGATAGCTTTATTGTCAGCATTCACAAGTAGGAAGGTGCACTTAAGATAATGTTTGTGGTAATGACACTTGAATGTGTGGATTATTCCAGCATCAAGGGGTTGAACATGAGCTATAAGATTTGACTGAAAGAAGTGGAGGCTGATGTTGGTGATTAGGTTGGATGGAACTGTATGACCAGCAAAATTTTTGAGTAACAAAAGAATCTTCCTTCCTTTGATTCAAAGTTCTTGATCCCAAGATGAAAGGCACATCTCAAAGGTGACAGATGTCATCCATGAGGAGGTGTTGTTTTAGTAATCAATGCCAAGTCGAGATGGGGTGTTCTTATTGAAGGCTTGAGGAGATTTCTGTCAACCAATGAAGGAAATGTTGTAAGAAATTGAAGATTACACACTTTACACTGTCAACCTGTTACAGAACCTTTATAAAGGTGTATATGAACACCTTAGCCTGGTGTTGATGAGACACAGGCAAGACAGAAATTAACGAGTTCTAGACTTGGAACTAACCTAAGAGGGTTAGAAGGGAGATTGTAAAGAAACACTAGTAGAAGAGAAAGACAAAGTAAACAAGTTATAAGAGAAAACAGAACAGAGTATAAAAGTGAAGTAAACTTTTAGCAAACTTAACATACAAGATTGAGGATTTGAGGAAAAATGTACTTGTCCCTTTAGAATCTGATTCCCCAATGGGGGAAAAAGATACTGCTGGCAGAGCTCAGGTATGGGGATTATAAGAAAAGACACACAGTGATACAAGAACACAGACACAAGAGAAATGAAACAGAACCCCAATACAAATGAACAGCCTCCCTCTGCCTAATCTGAATGCAGAAAGATTATTCTACCAACATCCTTTTAATCAACACTACCTGTGCCTTCTTCACTTTGATTGTTAGTAATTTAACCTGATTGGTCCAGAAGTATATCTTGAGACTTGAAGACTTGGAACCATCCTTCATGAATTTGTGAACTAAATTTGCCTGGATGGTTTTGAAACATGACCCAAGAACACATGTTTTCCAACAAATGTGACATTAATCAGTATCATCAGCATTTGTAATGCACACCACAGTCAAGTATGCCTTGCTTCCTTTGACCCCAGCAGTGCTGCTGGTTGCTAAGCCACTTTCAGGGGGCATCCTGCAGCAATATCAAAGAACAAAATCAGTACAAAAAATGGGGCAAGAGAATATAAAAGAAAAGACTGGACTTCTCATCTGTATTGTAGACATCAGCTGGTTCAGACTCAGCAGTAATTTCAAGGATTCCCCTTCCTTCTTGAACCGTCTCAGGTTTTGCTGAAGCAGCCTTGCTGTATCTGGGAGAGCAATGGAGCCTCCCTGAGGCAAGACATACAGGTTAGACGTAGTGTGTACAATTGGTTTCAGCATTCCAAAGCAGAAAGGCCTTTTGAAGCTATGTATTTCCAATGCGGATTATTCCAACCACACGTATCATCGAGCAAAAAATCAAGATGAGCTACTTTTTGACCAACTAGCAACCTTTCAGCACAAATTACCAGCTGCTCTCTGATTGTATTGAAGCATATTGAAATTGAAGAAAGCTAATTATGATCAGTAAGGATCACAATTTGATCTTGATAGGCTTTGTATTAGATCATGTCAACATCATTGACCTGGAATAATTGAGAAACAATGTTATTTCTGATAACATCTTGAAAGATGACAAATGATATCAATCAAAACTTTGATCTTGATAATTGTTTGATACTTTGATTGAATTGAACAATTGATTAGGGAATGATGATAGTCAGACATCAATCAATTCAGCTTCAAGGTAGATCTGTCTATCCGAACTCAGATTGATTAAGATAAAACACCAAAAGTGTAAGACAAACTAGACAGTAGTAACAAAGAGCACAAATGCTAATCTTTCTTATATAGCAATCAAAAGGACTCCAAATAAGTGTCTGAACATCAGAGTCACTGTTGGATTGTGCATCAGAGCATGCGGTATCAATGACACTCACCTTCCTTCTTTTTTTCCCCTGCACGTCTTGAACCTCTTGACCTTGCGTCAAGAATCAAGATAAGGTCTTTCAAAATCACTGATAGGCCTTGTTTCTTGTGCTTCCCTATCTCTTTTGTTGTTTACCCAACATTCTAAATTGGTATCATTTTTGTCACACAACACTCTTATTAGGATGAAACATGTTTGAAGAAGCCATCTTCCCAATTTAGACAGCGCTCTTTGAGAGCTGTCTGTACAGATGTGTATGAAATTCTGCACTTACACTTCCACACCAAGTTTTTCTGTGCTTCGCGCAGGCTCCGATTCTTTGGTGTCTTTCTTTAAACAAGTCTATCCACCCATTGGTAATACTGAGCCATTCAGAGCTGTTGATGTTCTTGAGTTGTGCAAAGGCTTTCCATTTTTGAACAATTTGATCACCATCAATAAACCAACCAATGTTTTTGCATTCTCAGATCCAAGTAACAAGCAACACTTCAATCTTAGGAAATTTAACATTGGCAATCTGTTTGGTTTGACTACTGACAGTTAAGGATCTATCTTGAATCTTTGCTTTGTCTTTGACCAATTGACTGATTTTTGGCTGGTTGGGGTACAGAACAGAGAAATGCCAAGAGGTTGCTGTTTGGCTTTTACTGTTGGTGTGGTACCATTCAATGACTTCAACCCACTGGTTGTAAGTAATACTCTGCTTGGCAGATGATTTCTTATGGTAGGTTCTTTTAGATCAGTACTGAGAGGGAAGTGTGAGGTTTCTTTCCATATTTGAGGGAATCTTTTAAGTCATTGTTTTTGCGCTTTTTTTGTCAGTCATCTTTTTCTCAGCAGCTGCGGTGAGATCAGATTGATAAGAGCAAATGAAAGATTGGAGGGAATCAAATTGATCTGATTGAAGTTCATAGGGAAGATTATTGTCAAGATTGAGAAATATGTTGATGAGAAGTTGTTCTGTGATTATGTTTCCACCGTTATTGAGCCAGTGATACTCCTCTTTAGACAGAGCTTGTCTAGATTCTTGAAGGGATCCGAGCCAGTGTCTATGTTCTTGAGACTCTTTCTTGAGAATACCCAGTCTTTTCTCAAGTAGTTGTAGTTTGTGCTCCTTGGAAGTGACATGTGGTGGTAAACAGCAGGTTTGAGGGCTGAAGCTGTGAGATACATGATCTTTCCAATCCGTGTGACATGGATTGGATTAGAGTTTTTGAATGAAAGAGCAATAACACCAAGAGAGGGTTCAGGCGTTAAAGTGGGCATGATCCTAATTGAGTTGAACTATGAGGAATCGGAAGAAGACATACACTTGTATGTACAGCTGCCCCAATCATAATTTTGCTTCCAGAGCCCCGGGGCTCTGTGCATTACAGCCTCCAATATCCGGGTTTTTTTTGTCAAAACTCTATGCATTATTCAATTATGCAATAATTTGAAATTTGGCCCCCAGTGCCATCAGGTTGGTGGAACCCTAACCCTATGCAAATTGGCTGATTATGCATCTGCACGGGTTTGACTGTATCACTCTCTTTATTCACAAAAATGCCAATCCTTCAGAATCTAGCTTCCAACTGCTTGAAGGTATGGCTTTCTTCTATGTGATTTTTTTTGGTCCACATTTGTATGGAACTCTTTCACTGAGCTCAAAAGATATAATCACTACCACATCAAGTATGTTCTGCCCCATAGTGTGGAAAGTATTTTTTCTGAGCCCAAGGACTGTTATTCATTACAAAAGATATTCAGGAAAGTGAACAACAGCAAACTAGGAAAGAGCTTAAAACAAATCTCAAGTGATGTCCCAATCAAAGGCCCAAAGTTTCAATCTGATCCTAATCTCACCACCAAAAGGTGGAGGTGCTTATCACCAAGAAAAACCAAACCACATGTATGTCCCTTGCTCCTTGGGCTCACCAACTCCAGATATAGAGCGGAAAGTTTGGACTTGGTTGAGTCAGTAAAATACACATCCATACTTGGATGTCAAGCTGTCACCCGGCAACTATCTGGCGACATCTAGCCATTCCGCGCACCAAGCCAACGGATATTTTCAAAATCCGGACTCGGCGGATAATAACTGTCCGGTTTTTTTTTGGAAAAATCTGAATTCGATAAACGAGACAGATATCCGGCGGATATCCAGCGCTCTGGTCAAAAAGTCCTCCCTAGCTGGAAATCGAACCCGAACCCGGGGCTACCCGGGTAATTCTTTGGCCGTCCCGGGGCCATTGTGGGCTTTGATTCTCTTTTGAACTTCTGAAGTTCTCTGACTCAGACCTTATTGATATTTTTAGTCTTTTTTTCATTTGAACTGTGAACGAGATGGATTCATTCCCTAAATACACGCCTGCCTTTTTGCCAGATATCCGCCGGATATCCGGCTAAAATCAATTTTTCTTGCCCCTACATCCGACTACCGGACCGACCGGTCTATCCGGCCATCGGATAGTCCCAAGGTCCCATCCGTCACCCGGGTCCGACGGTTGCTCCAACGGATATCCGTCGGATTATCGGTTCCAGGTGACGGCTTGACTTGGATGCCTCATTCAACTTCAAGGCTACAGCCATCTGAGGACATCTCAGGTTTTTCTATTGATGGTCACTTTGTATTCTCTTATGGAGCTGATTCAGAGGGGATCTGTACTGCCAGTTGGTTTACTTTGAATATACCCATTGGGTACTTGTTTGTCCGTGATTTACACAATGACAGGCCGACTAAAAAACTTTGGAATGATGTTTCTGAAGAACGAACTCTTATACCTCAATGCTTTGTGAGTTCGAGTACAAGTTTAATCATAAGTCCAGTTAGCTTGAGTTATTTAAAAAAATCTTGATTGAAATGGACATTCTTACCTGTAGATTTCAAAAGCTTGTGACTTTTGTAATATCTATCAGCACCTTCCAAAGCAGTATTCTTGGTGTTTTCAATTTGTTTTTCTGCAATCTTGATCCGAGACACATAGTGCTGCAACACTGGGTCAAGAGAGGCTTGTTCTTTGATGAAATTGCTTCGAGCTACTGTATTGACAGTTTTCTCATCAATTGGTTTTCCTTTAGCTTTTAGATTGTCTTTCAATTGATCCGCGATTACGTTGATCTCCTTATCCTTTGTAGCTGTTTCAAACTTGCTCTTCAATGCCGCAACCAAGTCTTGATCGTATAAAATATCATCTAATCGTTTTTCAGCATCGGACCATTGAGCGTATCTTCGATATGCCTTTATATCATAGAATGCAGCCTGTTCAACGTATTGCTTATCTGTAAGCTGCGCAAGGGCTTGTGGATTGAGTGATTTGGTATTGCTTAGATGATGAGCAGCCTGATAAGTATCGGTATACGCTTGTTGATAATTTGCTTTAGATTTCTGAAGTTCCTGCAGTCTTTTCTCAACCTCAGGAAACAAGACTGCCATTTTGTCGATGAATGATTCACGGATAGACATGGTCATATCGTTCTCGGATATTCCTTTGACTTCGGACTCTTTCATCTTCTGCTTTACTATATCCTCAATCATCTTTCTAGTCTCCTCGTATGATTTGGCGGAAGTCTTCTTATTCAAGATCAATGAATGGTCTAACACTTGGCTATAGCCCAGCGAAGCCTTGTAAAAAGCCCTTTGTTCATCCTTGATGTATTTCTCCGAGGCCTTGTATAAATTTCTGGCCATACCTTCCACATTGTCATTCCTATCTGCTGCGTATCTGATAAGTCTATCAGGTGAAAGTTTTGCTACTTCGACTGGTTTGATATCTTCCATCTGCCCTTTCAACACCATTCCATTTTGATTTTTGAAAGCTTCATCTACTTCGGGAATCAATGGAGCTACCTTTTTGGCTCTTGCAGTAGGAGTAAATCTGAGGAGATCTTCCCTTATTTCCTTCGCAGTAAAACCGCGAGTATCCTCGAATTTGAAACTTGCGCTGGGAGACTCGCGAAGACTGGGATCTGCACCCTGAGATTTGCTCATGAATCCTCTTATTTTGGCAAACCAAGTGCCAATTTGTGGATGGCGGACAAGTGTTGAAGTTTGAAGACCTAGAAAGGACCAGAATCATGTGATTTAAGCTATAAGATGAGAGAAAGGAGGGATTTTTTTTGAGAGCTTCATTACCATCTGGTTTTGTATACAAGAAATCGTGGGCTACTTGGAGATCTTTAGAGCCTGTTTGAAGTGTGTTGGGGATATGAGGACCTTCTACACGACCTTTTCTCATGCTGTCTGCTATATCTGCAGTGCCAGAGCCACTTTTTGAAGGGCTCAAAACCACGGAGGTTCTCAGATCTACAAAGGAACAAGGCCGCAAAATTTATGTAAGCTATAACATTGCATAATACAGGCATATTTCACAACAACATCATTACCGTCTGGTTTTGGAAGCAATGGTTCGTGAACGGCTTTGACATCTAAAGAGCCTAGTGAAACTTTGCAGTGCAAATCACATGGAAGATAAGCCAATAATCAATAACAGGTGGATTGAAAAAAGATGTTCCACACACTCTTGTTTGCATGTCCAGCAGTTCCAACACCTTTAGCGTCTTCAAAAACCTGTATGGATTTTCCCGCTGCCATTGCGGGGTGTCCTATAACAAATAGTTTCAAATTGGCAATGACCCACACAATAATTATCCATTTGATCTGTGGATATGGAGGGTTTCTCATTGTGTAGGGGTTGATGCTGATGATTTGTCCCAAAAGTCCTTTACATTCAAGAGGTACGGGTTACTAGAAATGTGATATTGAGAGCTGGCTAGTGGGTATCCTTAGAGATGAGCAGAAAAGGACAACAATAATGACTGAATCTGGAAAAGGAATGAGAGAGATTTGAAGTGTAAGAATGCAGGAGAAGAAATGATCAAAGTTCCGGGTGAATGGTATGAAAGTCTATAATACTGATAAATCAATAACAATAGTTTTTGAAAAGAAGGATTGAAAAAAGAATTAAGGAGGTGATGTAAGCCAAAGTCAGTATTCAATTCCTAATTGATTGGTAAAAACAGTGATTGCTAAACACAAGTGGTTGGCAAGATAAGTTTAAAAAATAGAGAAATCTTAGCAATCAAGGAACTTCTTCTGGAGATTAACACAAAATGCAATGAGAAAGGCTGTGTTCTTGACTCAGTTGAGGCGGAAGCAAAGTGGAAGAACTGGCTTGTCAACCTTGATGAAACTCATTTTCCCGTGATCACTGCTGTAATTTCATCCCGATGAAACTCATCCCAATGAAACTGCTGAGCATTCTCATCAATACCGCACCAACAAACAGGATATCTGTGGTCACAAGGATTGAATATAGCAGGAATTGGTGTTTTAGCAATGCATATATTTGTTTCTTGGTGTCTGAGCCAGACAGAGAATCATTTTTATGTACGTTTCCTGTGCCAATCTAACCTCGTTTGTAGTGACTTCCGTTGCTGATAAATGTGAAGGGGGGAGGTAACGTAGGGCGCTTCCCACCATATTTGGGCCTCTTTTTTTGCTGCAAACGTCGTTCAAGGCTGTTGTAGTTGCACAATATCATAACTTCAATGTGCATGATCCGTTTGAAAGACCTCAAAAAGAAAAGATGATTTGAGAGCCTCACTGACGTTGGGTCTTGAGGCAACGTACGAGTGACAAATTCCTTGACATCAGGATTGCTACTTCTTCCACTATGCAAGATACATTAGTTAGCAAAATCCAAACCAATGTGGCATAAATGGGAAGTGGATCTTACGTGGCCAGGGGAACTGCAACTGTAGCAGCTGTGGCAAAAAGAAGATGTATGATATCAGAATACTATGTATATTGCCAGTGAATTGACAGGAGCTTGATGCGAGAGGAACCCAAATACCTGCTAGTATAGCAATGGTGTTAAAGATGACCAATAAGTGTATGGGATGCTTGAATATATCGAGAATTGAGGAAGGAAATAATATCACGAGATCAGGGAAAAGTTTATCTACCATTCGCTACATATAGTGCTGTCGTAGGCCGTCGTGGAGTCGTGCTTTTTGGTACATATAGCTACACAAGCACCGGTGCACGCAAGATGGCAATTATACGAGGTCGTGTGAAGACCAACTTGACAAAGCCCCATCAAATAGTATCACAAGAGCTATCACAGTGGGAAAGTTCCAAACCAAGAGAAAGCGCAGACACCATGTTTTCATAAACTGTGGTGCATATATTATCTTCACACCTGACTTGGCAAAAACACTGCTCTCGTGGCATTATGTATTTCCTTCCTCAATTATCGTTAAGAATCCTATGCATCTATTGGTCATCTTTACCACAATATTCCCTTACATAATTGCACAAAATCACAAAATCTTTGCGCACTGTGCTGTGACTTGGAAAGATATATGAAGATGCAAATGGTCCAAAATAGGTGACCTTCTGAATACAATCCACAAGTTGATGTCACAATAAGATGACTTCAATCATGATTGGGTGATGTCAATGATTTGTTTAGCACTTCCTCCACACAAGCGTCAATGAAGCTCTTGCGCTGTCACCCAAAAGGAGTCAGTTGTGAGTTAATCAAGGTTTTACTGGGACCATAACTAGTGTCTAATCCTGCTTTTCCAACCTTCCCAAAGAGGCATGTGGTATGTAACCCATGTATCCATACCCTGGTGGCTGGGTTTTGTTTCTCGCAGGGCATGTATATTGCTAGTATCTGGCAATATCTGTCAGTTTGAAAACCCAGTGGTGGTGCTCTAAGCGTACGCATATCATCTAAACCTGAAACTACCAACATTTGGGCTTGTTCTACACAGCCTAAACTAAACAGGGAAACATTTTGATTTACTTTAAAATTATAGAATTGAACTGTTTGTTCAAAAGTGATAATTTGAACCTTAGAACCAGGAACCAAAGTATTCTTGAACCTTTCTTCATCTCCTTCATTCATATCATCAGAAGGTTCTTTCTATATTGTTTGCATGTCATCTATCCCGTTTGAAATAAGACGAGATAAGCACTGGATACCCGATCGGGTACCCGGAAGTCTTCTCCTCAAGCCGAAGCCGACGGAGGTCCTGGCCTTTGGGAGGACGTCGAGTGTCAGAGCTCTGACACTGCATCTGACACTATTGGCCGCCCTTAACCCATGACCTCATGGGTTACGACCCTCCGTTGAAATATACCTGCCAACCTGTCCCTATCGCTGCAACCCACCATGAAATGTGACCATACCTTTCACCACCTCACCCCACCATCGCGGGTATCTCCAAACCCGACAATCCCTAACTTCACTCGCCCACTTCTTCACCATCCATCCTAACTCAATTCACCGCTCCAGCCACAACACCACCATGCTCCTACACGAATTTGTGTCACTGCTGGCGCAAGACTTTCCTCTCCTTCATTCGACTCTCCACGTATGCGATTTCACACGCTTTGTCACATTGGCCGCCGAAGTCACTGCCCGAGTTCAAGGAACGCTCAGCAAAGAACACGAAACAATCATTCCCTTCCTACGCAACGCGTTAAAGTTAGCTCTGCCAAACGATTTGTGCTACCACCTATGGCACACCACCCGCCACCTCTTGAGCGCGGGCCACGTAGAACCAGGTCTTTTGATTCAACTACACGGCTATCAACCAGACCTACCCATACCCGAGCATTTCCTGGTCTGTCCAACAAAACACTGTTTGACATGTTCAACACCTCACAAGTTGCACATCCGATCTAGAATTGATGGATACCTCTACGATGTGGACGGCGTCCACACTATCGGAATTGTCACCCTCAAATGCCCAGGTCAGTAGTGTTCCCTCACCTAATAACGTTCTTTCAAAGGTGTAACCCCAGTTGACCACCAAAATGGTAGGATGCTCAACCTGTTACTGGCCAAGCTACTACTCGAAGGATAAAATTCGGACGTATTACTCCTCCAGGTTTGGGCGCAACAAACAGACGTTCCAGGTCAGTTGTCATTTCTTCATGACACACCGACTGGCGGAGTTACTTCGAGAAGGCGCAATGCTTGCTCAGTAAGTTTTAAGTCTAAGTCTGCGTCTCCTCATCAATGTCCCTTAATTAAATTGACACAACACAATTTCTTGTTTGGTCAACAGCATCTCCAACTTCAACTTGGCCAACCTGTTCAACCGCTGCTACGTCGATCGTGTGACAACTATACCCCCACTCACCAGCGCTCCGACAATACTCCCTGATCTCTCTGAAGTCACATGTCGAGATGCTTTGGACATCAATACACTCCTCATGAAATGCAATTCTGCTGGTACCTGTTTGAGAGTCAATACCTCAGCCGCTCCTCCCGATAAACGCTACCACCACGCCATGCAAGCTGTGCTGGAATGGATAGCGTTGGAAGGTAGCAAACACCGCGCTCACGCGTGCTCTGCATGCATGCGGGTTTTGCCTCTTCCGAGTACAGACGGAACTCCAAAGCTTGGCTGTAGGTAGCAGTTTCAACTTTTGTTGTCTTGTGATCAATATCAGCCCACTGATCCACCTTGTTTTGAGCTTAGCCATCCGGGCTGTGGTGACAGACGGCATCACCATAGGACACTGGCGTTGTACCGCAACCCCCGCTCAATTACGTGAACTCGCACATGCCGAAGGCTTGCCAGCACCAAATGGACCTTGTACCATACCGCTCGACCGAATGTCTGATCGGTTTTGCCCTGAACATCTAACTCGGCTTGGCAAGCGTTGTGTGGCTCAACCATGCAAAAACGATGCCGAGGAGGGATCACCAACTTGTCACCTCGAAGTGCACATCAATGCTTACGCCAAGTTCAAAGCACATATCACCTCAAACTTCGCCCTCACCTCCATGCTTAATCGACCAGGATCAAACCGCCCGTCAGATCCCACCGTGCATCAAGATTGGAACACGGCCAAACTAATTGGCCTTGAAGACGTCCAGCAAGGGGATGAAGAAGAACGCCTGCACGAGAAGGGCCGTGAGGGGGGCGACGCTGCCCCGACTCGCATCAGCCTTTCCCGAGCCAGAACACACAACGATCAGCTCTGCGTGAGTACGTGTGGTGTCATACTTGCGCGAGAAACTTTCTATCATTCAGAAGGTGTCAGCGCTGTTCGCGTCAGTAATTTTGTCAGTTCAGTACAGGCATATGATTGTACACTGACTACCTTCCCGTACTCAGGACTTTCTACTACGTATGTTCCCAAATGCGATGCCTCAGGTATGCTTCTACGACAACACATGCAACCTAGTGAATCATATTTATCACGGAGGCGAAGACTACGGCCCGTTCATGGAAACTGTCTTTCCTGTTGACCCCTTCCATTTCCGCTCGCACAAAGAAACTGACAAGTTCTGTCAATACTATACGGACCCAAAGCTTTTCCCTGAGCTTCGCGACGCTAACGGTTGGTATTTCAATGCCTCAGCGGGGGAATGCGCCAATGTGTGGTACGGGGGGTTTGCCTCTTTGGCAAGAAATATGCACCCAATTCGTTTCAACTTTATGATGGAAGATATGATTGAAAGACGCAACGATTGGCTCATCAGGAGGTTATCCAAAAGGAACAATATTACTTTCTTAGGAGACATACCTTGGTAATTCAATACTTACTTCTGTGGTACAAAAGTAATTTTTAGTCTTTTATTTAATCATCATCAAGACTTTGTATGTTATGGTTATAAAAAACCTTTTATTTCAGAATTCTTACACCGTGCTTATTAGTTAGTGTCTTTGCCAACATTTCTTACCGTATTAAAAGAAGTTCACCATTTCAATGACAAAAACAAATGAAATGGAAGGTCGAGACAAACATTTCCATCCATTCAAGAATTGTAGAGAAAAGCGGAATTGCCTTTTGGCGTAGAGAAAGGCGGAATTTACATTTGGCTACCCCACAAACGCTGGGCAGATGAACATAAGTTTGAAGTTTGTGAACAACAAGCAGATCTTATCTATCCTGAGTCTGTCCTTGTTGGATTTTCACACACACCTTGTACAACTTGAACATGAGGTTTTTCATTGGGGTGGAGAGCGACGATTTCCAATGGTCTCATTTGATCATTCGCTGTTGAGCAGATTACACAAGCAGGAGAAGGTTTTGTATTAAAAAAGTGTTCATGGACTTTATTTTGTAATGTGATTTAAAATTTCTGGAAAGATACAAAAAAAAGAAAAGAATCTTTGATATTGGTAATTCATTGAATGTTTCAATGGCTTTAGAGTAATCTATTTGAAATCGGTGAAACCTCAAATAACCTTAATCAAAGCGACCCTTCCACACTATCTTCAACAGATCCCTCTCTGTCCTCGTCTGTTGGTACCCAAACCTCCCAACCCGTGATGCTTGTGGCCCAAGATTCAGCACCCGTAGCACTTAAAGGTGGGGCAACAGGTAGGTCCGGTAATTCTGCAAGGAAGCAGAACTTACAACATACATGTTCTTGGGGAAAACGGCAAACAGCCCCGGGCCCATGATTGGAATGGATCCAATTTCCGCGGCTACCAGTGTCACCAAAATGTCAGACAGACTTGGACCAAATGGCGAGTGCAAGTGAGAATGAAAAGCAACTTACGTGACGTCGTGGACCACGGACTCAGTAATGACCGGTCCTACACCCTGCAACCCAGCAATGAAGCTTTCCCCCCCGCTGACGTGGTATGTCCAGTGTGTGAAGGCGTTGAGCAATCCTCAGATGGTGCTGGTAAGAGGATGGAAGTTCGTCGGTGATACTGGGGAGAAATATGTGTCTCCACTATAGACTTCCCGTGGGCCTTGAACAATTTCTTCCCCAGTAAAGCATTTGTACACACTGCCATAAGGTGATGGAAAGGCTTTGTGCATATGCACAACCACGTTTTCTTGAACCTGTTCGGATTGAGACCGCCATTAATAAATTATCTGAAGATGTCAAGGTACACACAGGAACTTACACGCAATAGTGATATAGCTTCCCACTCCTCGGCCGTGAAGTTTCCGGGTTCAACACGGGCATGGAGATCTTTGAGAAAGCCATCGAGGGAAACCGCAACATGGAAGTTCATTTGAGCAATGTTGAGGTAATCACGTAGGGGAGTTTGATTATGGTCAAAAATTCGCACTCCCAGTGGAGAACTGAGGTCCCCGCGCGATAAAGTGCCTTGGTAGGTTGAGCGTAAGTCCCACCTATGGACAAACTCTGGTGTGATCGCAACATGGGCCGATTGACTGACAAATCGCCAGCCAACATCGTTATCAAGATTGGTTGGGTCAGGACAAATCGCCAAGACCGACGCGTTGTTGTGGATCGAGGGGTGGTCAGGCACATAGACTGGAAGCCCTCGCCGTCCCAATTGATGTGTATCCAAAGATTGTGTGAGTGTAAATAAGCGTGATTGGTCTGGGCAAGGCGTCAGTGTCCAAATGAGAGGCAGTAGAAAATTGGTTGTTTGCTTACCAAAACCGCACAAAGCATGCAATGTGTTTGGCGGGGGAACACCACTATCAGCAACGGGGTTCACGTGTTCCATAGTGTAGGTCGCGAGAATCTAAACCACATTTGAACGGAACAAAAAGAGGATCAATTGTATCGTACAAAGGTACAGCGGGAGAGACGCGATAGCGAAGAACATAGCTTACGTTTAGGAAAAACAAACTCAAGGTAAGCACGGTCGATGAAGAGGAGAGGAAAAGAGGATAGAGACGTATTGAAGAGATGTGATGAAGTGAAGTTAAGGAGGATTGATGAGCAAGATTAAAGAATAATCAAAGCAAGTGCCCCTGGTTAGGATAGCCGCGTACTCAATTTGCTTCACTAGCTGGCAAGGTTATATGGCTAATTTAGCTACTTACTATATCTGTGGTGTAATGAGGCTATAAGATAGCACGCCAGGGGGAGAAAAATGGGGTTGGTCACTCTTCATCTGGTTATTATACCTCGTTTGCCAACTTTTTTTAACAAGCTAAGCTCACAAGAGGGGCCCATCCTGTAGTGCAAAGAGAGTGATTTCGAGCAGGCGATTTCATTCTTCACGCTGGCGAGGTGGTGGCTGTACGTATGGTGTGGCGGAATAAGGGCACAGATGACGGATGTAGTCGATACACAAAGAGGAGTGACAAAGCCTACTTAGTAAAGGCCCAGATGCATTGGGCACAGATAGAAGGGGGACGTTAGTTCCAAAACATATAGGAAAAACGGAGGCCGTGTCGAGAATCCATGTCATTCACCCAACTTTCGCTTCTGACCACCCTGCACACTGGGATTTTCTGGTTTTGGAACAGGTGGTGGGCACCCGGCTTGTACATATTCTGTAAGGAATTGCTGGCGAAGAGCTGCCACGGTCACCGGATTTGACATCTCAATCTGCTGTTTCTCCCAGGCTTGTAGCCTGACCTCCCCAATGATGTGGAGCCATTGGGCGTACCGATAAGCAGTACGGTCACCACGATTGAATCGAGACTTGAATACCTCGTCCCACGCCCGTAGTCGAGGCATGGTGGCCATCAATGTAAACCAGTCCATGAGTTCGCTCATGGGACCATCGTCGTCTGGCCACTTCATCTTCGCAACGCTCACGACTTCCACCTGTGAAGGAAGAATTGTACGGTCTCTGTTATGACAATTGAAACACGAGTAATACTTGAAATCTGATGGCACTGACACTCGCATCAGATTCATGCCCTGTGCCCGTTGGCTCCTGGTTTGGCGCGGTGAGCTTGGGTTGGGAAGTGGTTGGAATAGGTCGAACCTCGCGGATGACAATGATTTCATCATTGTCATCGTCTTCAGCCGTGGATGAATTAGGCTGCCCTATCTTAAGACCAGAGCTTGTTTCGGGTGCCAGAGGTGCTTCAATGGCCGTGTCGTAGGTAGAACCAAGGTAATACTTGAAGCGGGGACAATTTTCTTCCGTGATTTGTGAGCCTTTGACAAGGACCTGACGGGGAGTGAGGGGAAAGCGGCAGGGTATGTCTATTGAAAGGGTACACTGGAAATGAAAACACAATCAGTCAAAAAAGGTAAAAGGAGTTGTGTAGAAGATAATGATGCTCTTACCCATCCATCCAACGAGGGATCCCAAAGTGAGAGGGCTTGAGACCAACCATCGGCGTCCGAAAGACCTTCAATGACAGCGGCGTCATTCACAAGGTGCTGGCATTGATCAAGGGTAAACTTTGGCCACTTGGAAGCGATAAAAGAGAACATTTTGGGTGGTTCCCCGCTCTGAAAGAAAAGAAATGTGAGTCTGAGTCAATGGCCAAACCCAAAAAAAGGCGCAGTCTGGCTCTGGCTCACTTTTAGCCATGCGATGATCTTTACAACTTTAGACTCGTCAACGTCTAGCCTTTGATCGCGTTTCATTGCTTCGGTGCGCTCCTTACGTAGGTCAAAAAGCCGGGCTAGCTGAGCATGGTCCATTTCTTTGGCAATGCGCGCGCCACTCTGTGCGCTCATCCTCGGAAGGCGTTTGTGTGTGGGTAGCGGGGCGGAAGAAGCTGGCGGTGCTAGTGGTGTATCTTCTCCTGACGATTCCTGTTCTAAACACGCGAGGACCGGATGGATGTTTCGAGTAGCACTAGTGCTGCTCTGCGGCGCGGGCTGATTGTGCTTGATGACATGTCCTTTGGCTGGACATGACACTGCTTTGTCTCCGAAAGTTTGACAGCACTACAAACACATGATTTAAAACAAAATGATGATTTAATGCCAAGGCGCGGGAAGACTGTGTCGGGAGGGTGGAAGCTTACCGAAGCGCAAGAACGATAGAGGCACCGTTTATTGCCTTTCCGTACATCAGTCGGTTGGTGTGTGCTAGTCTGCCCCCCGACTCCACGACAAACAATTCCATTCGTGCGCTTGGGAGATCCGGGTTGCGATGATGGACCAGTTGACTGGAATAGGCGATCAACCAATTGCTGGCTTGAAAACATCGCCAGCCCTGGTTGGTTGAGGATTACGTCTTGGGCGTTCGATGATGTGGCAGGGTCACGATTGTTCCGTCTGTTGTGCAACGCTTGTACAACTTGCTGGGGTTGGTACGGAATGGGTGGCCAGTTGCCAGCGTTGATAGATGCTATCTCGTGATTCAATTGCAAAAAGGACCAGGTTCGGTACCAGTGGCCTTGTTCACCGCGTGGTGGCTTAATGGCACACTGGAGGGAGGTTTAGGAATACAAAGCATAAGTAAGTGACTGTAGCTGACAGAAAGACACGATGGAAGGCTCACGGCGATGCGCCACGCGCTGGCCAGTTGATTGATGTATTTTAGCTGGGTGTTCTTGCCAAGCGCGTGACATGCTGGACATTTTAACCCCACGAAACCGGTGTTTAAAGGAAGGGGTAGAGGTTGCGACGGTTGGACACGGTGAAAACTGGCGTCGATGTAGCGCGGAGACTTCATGATTGGCGACGATTTCGAGCGAGGTGGAAAGGAAGAGAAAGAAGAGAATGGTGGAGGGTGAAGACAGAGGGCGAGTAAAGGAGGGTGGTGGTGGGTCGTTGGTGGGATGGCAGGGGCGGGGTAGAGGCCCGCGCACTGCAGACATTATTCGGGTTCCCCAAGTGGGCAGGGAAAAATGATTGGGAGTATGATTTGTCATAAAATGGTCTATCACTCCACACCTGAGCCATAACACCCACACTACATATGTGTAGCAGGCTCAGTGAATATGTGGTTATCATGTACATACAGTTCTGCTCAGTTATCTGCTCATCAGGACAAGTTATTCATATGTAATACATGCTGTAACTTCTTTCAGATTGAAAAAAGCTTCCAAAAGATTGACTACATACACTGACTCAATGTTTTGGTGTGATCTCATCAACTCAACTGCATGTAACACACTTTCTGTTACTAAGACATAGCTTCAACAATATTGCCTGAGCAGCTACAGAATTATATGTAGTGAATTTTTGGGAAAAAAATTCAAAGTCGAAAAAGTTACATGTGGTATAACATGTGATTTATTTATTCTGATGGGCAAAAAACTGAGCAGACCTGTATGTACATGATAGACAACTATTGACTTAGCTTGCTGCACATATGTAGTGTGGGTGAAATGGCCCAGGTGTGCAGTATTAGATTCTTTTATGAAAAACTGTACTATTAATCATTTTCCTCTGCCAAATTGGGGAAGTTGAATGATGTTTACAGTGGCGAAATAGGAATGAGGACCGCGCGGTTTCTGGAGGTGTTACGGCAAGTGTCTAGCAGGTGTGGAATGTGGGAAATGTGGGAGGGGGCATGTCGCGGGGGGTGTAAGGCTGTGAAAGGGCCGGAGTGCTTTTTCACGGGGGGGTGACAGGGGGGAGTGTCAGATGTCTGACAGTAGTGTCAGAGTCCTCCCGAAAGCCTGGTGTTCCCGATGCCGACCGTAGCCGGCTGCGGCCCAGGGTAGCCCCGTGTCCGTGTCAGAGCCTTAGCCTCGGGGCTCGTCCCACGCGATTTGTAAAGGGACTGTATTTCGCTATTTGCAAGGTTTAAAGGACTTGCTGAAGTTTCGTCACTGGTTGTTGAGCTGGTTGGGTTGTGCGATCTCAACCTTTCTCATCCGCGCACGGGCCAAATAAGCCTGAGAAAGCCGAATGCGCTAACCAAAATGAATTGACACATTTCAATTCTTACACATCATCGCCCTTCATCGCCACAACCAAATGAGAAACGGACGCTCTACCAGTTTACCAAACATGACATCATAGGACATCATATATGAAGCATATGTGGAGCCTATAAAGAATATATAAAGGACATTGGTAAGTCGGAGGTAGCCCTCACTCCACAAATATTTCTCAAATAAAGCTTGAAGTTGAGCTACATATTCCTACCTGAACCACAAAGACTTTATCTGCTTTCTCGTTATCGCTTTTCAAGATGCGCTTTCATTTTGTGTTTGTTATCCTCGCTTCAATGGCAGGTAAGTACTTGGGTTCTCTTTTATTCAAGCTGGCTTGTCGTTGCTTCTTTGGTATGTAAAATGTCTGATTCTCATGATCTTATCTTCACATCAGCTACAATAAACGCCCTCCCCCATGCAACGTAAGTTTGTACTCTTGTCACGTCTTGGGCATTCAGTTCGCTTACTCTGGTTTTCGAGCGCAGCGTTGATACCAATGACAATGTATTGTCACCGCGTAACTTGCCTCCAGAGGCCAAGTGAGTTGCTCCTCTGTCTCTCAGTGAAAACCTAAACAGATTGTATACTGACATTACGCGTCACAGCTTACGGAGCTTCAATTGACGTACCTTCGAACCGCAGGGTGACCCAGACACCATCAGCCACCTGTGCGTTATAATCCTTTATCTTCGATTCGAAATTTACTAACGTGGCCGCAAATTGGATAACAGTGTAACCAGGACCTGGCCTGATGACAGCGGCACTGGTTTTGAAACGTCAACCACACAGTCACCGGGGCATTGAGCAAATATCGTGGAACCTCTTGCGCTCTGTCCCAAGGCCTAGCAGTTTAAATTTGGACTTTTTATTTTATGTACTTCACGAGCTGTGTGGTTGGTTTAGATCGCCAGCCAGTAAATGTAATTTTTGAAGGGATCTTATGAAGGATAATGATTCGGAGGAAGAATATCTACTATTACAAATGACCCTCGTCATAGTTGGACCGTATGGGTGGAAGTGACTCGATTTCTACCCTCTAAAAGCTTTCAAAGAGAAAAATTGTTTGTGTCCCTCGAGATTTTTCATTTTTGATGCGCGCCAGGAGGTCCCGATGTGCGAATTGACTCATACTACGTATAGGATATATTTTGGCGGAAAACTTAACCGTCAGATGTGATCATGTTGTATTGAGCAGCTTCAGCAGTTACCATTTTGTTTGTTTTTCCGTGTCTAAAATTGCACAAGTGTTGCATGCACAATAGCCCATTGAAGGATACTTTTGTTTCAAAGACCCCTAAAGTCCTGTGTCTGATACGAGAATATTATGCAGCACATCCAGTGAGCTGAGATCACCAAAATATTAAAATATGAGCATTTCCAAGTGAAAACTTTACAACACACTAGTGAGACAAATTACAATCAGTCAAAGGAGATACAACAACTTTTTCTCTGATTGTATGAGGTGGTTTTGAAATGGCATTGATCCATTAGCACCCCAGGTTTTCGCCATCTGTTTAGTAACTTGATTGTGTTCAATGACACCAAAAATTACGCTAATTTCAAATTCAAGTCAAACATTTTGTCCTTCCTCCTCTTATCAAGTCGAGTTTCCTCTTCCTTGTCTCTCCTACCAACCCTCCTACATTTAGATTGCACCTCAACGCGAAGTGGGTCTTTGTGTCTATAGAAGTTCTCTAGAAAAATATAAGTGTGACTCTTAATTCCATAATCATCAATATAGTCTGTAGCTTGAACCAGAAAAATCTTGCGCTTGCACATAGTTTGAAGATGAACAGATTCAAAATGACGCAGAGGGGACATCATTTGTTAGTAAGGGCCCGTTCGGTTGCCATCAACCTCGCAGGTGTACGCTTGCCAAGCGTATGCTCGCGCATGCGCAGGTTGACCAGGTCTGCCTCGCGAGTTGTTCGAGAGCCTGTGCTGTTCGGTAACCCAAACTTGACCTTCTGAAACCCAAAGATCATGGGTTTCATGAAGGGGTATAATTCTTGTATACACCATATATTATACATACTAGAAATATTTTGAAAAACATCCAAAACATCGATTGAAGATTGATCGATGTTTTATCTCATCCATTCACATCGATTGACGATCGACTATTCATCTCATCAATTTCAAAGTTGTCAACTTCAATTCATAGGGAAAATTGAAATGAATGAGATTAAACAAACAATAGAAATATGCTTGCTCAAAAGGGATCACCGATTTCCTCCCTTGTGCATTTGACCCAAAGGAAAACTGAATGAATGCGGTTGTAATTCAATATTGAGGTCTAGTGAACAACTTGATACCTTTTATCTTAGCTCTGGTAACTGTATCAGTTATATCACCTTGAGGGAAGAGACTACGAGACTCGAGTACGCAATCGGTCATTGAAGGAAGCCAAGTCTATGGCAGTAGGCAGGTCAACCTGCGAGAATGTAGCAAAACGGCCAACCTGACAGGTTGACCGATTTGGCTGGTACTACCTTTGCTAAAAAGGTTGACCGGGTCGACCGCACAACAGAAGACAAGAAAGGCCAAATTTCGCCGCAGCCTGCTGCAAAGCCGCTGCGCAGCTCGCAGAATCCAAAATCCACCCGATCACAAATCTTCATATTTCTGGCTTTGTAATGTCTTGAGACTCATGCAAACTATATCTACGACAAATGTAGAGCTTGGCATGACCAGATTGACCGTACAGCCGAGCCCAGCTTTAGTTCAGTGAGATCGATTATGCACATTCCCATGTTTCCCCATAGTCTTCCTAGTGTAGTGGTTGACATGGCACACGTGATCTATTGACATTCAAGTGGTGATGAGCACTGGTAGTGTGTTCGAGCCTGTGTGTCCTTTTGTGCTTTTACATTTTGGCCAAATCATAGAAAAAAGGATAAGTCTTTTTTTGAAAAAAAAAACTTTCATTTTTCTTGCTCAGTCAAGAGCTCAAATGAGGTTATCATAGGACAATGATTGCACTGACACATCCAAGATCAAAAACTTGATCTCATTTCAAAATTTCAGCAAAAGAGAGGGTACAAGTCAGCCTCGAACCCATGCAGGCCAACCTTTTCAATCCACAATGCAGCTGTTTCATGCCGTTCGACCGAACATTCTTGTTGTGCTGGGGTTAAAACAAGTATCTATTCCGTTTACAGCTCAGGTGAAGTTAGAAAAACTGACTGTACGCTTGATTTCAACATAATGAGCTAGATATATGTGCTTTATGATCAATCCCAAGACATTACAAAGCCAGAAAGCGGCAGTTCATGTCGATCGTATGAAGATTTGTGATCGGGTGGGTTTTGGATTCTGCAAGCTGCGCAGCGGCTTCGCAGCAGGCTGCGGCGAAATTTGGCCTTTCTTGTCTTCTGTTGTGCGGTCGACCCGGTCAACCTTTTTAGCAAAGGTAGTAGACCTGAGAGGCGTACGCTTCACCCTTTTTGAAAAAGGGCGTACCGAACGGCTCAACACCCAGGCGTACGCTTCAAACTGCCTTGAAGCGTACGCCTGAACTTTTGGCTGGGTCAACCTGCGAGGTTGACGGCAACCGAACGGGCCCTAACTCTTCTCATCTTCTTTCTTTCCATAGTATCCTAACTGAGTCATCTAGAATCCGTCAAATGTCCTGTGATCAATCCGATGAAACGCTATATGCCAAGATCCCACTTTCGGAGGCTGACCGACATGTCGTCTATGTAGTGTTTCAAAATAGAAGCCTCTTTTCGATTTGAAATGAAAGCTTTCTTGACGAGAACTATGCAATGTCGAACAGATAGTCCAAGCAATTCACAACATACAAATCCAAATCTCGAGCGGAAATTTTGATAGAACTAAACTTTCCTGAGATGATGAGATGATTACACCATTCTCGGCCGTGTTCTGATCAGAATCCATACACAGGAAAGACGGAGCTGCTTAAATATGCGGTGGCACAGTCGAGCTTCAAACATCTACGGCGTACACACATATATGTTGATCTTTTCCTTTCACTTGATGGATGAGTCAATTGATGGCGGGTAAATCAGATGCAGGGGTCAAAAGAGGGGACCATCACCGAAAAGAGTCAGATAAGCGGATGGTTGTAAGGTTCATTTTGTATACAAGTAATTATGTGAGCTAACCCCCCGAAGTGATCAATCTAATCATAATTCCGCGCTGATGTTCTTGTGTTTTGCGGGACAACAGGGAAAAACCTGGAAAAACTTGGATATGGTTTTTGCCTGAGATGGGAAATGCAATGCAAGCTGCGATGCACAAAACTCAACAATTTCAGAATCACACGAGGTGCATATAAGATACAACATATAAAATCGGAGCTGTTTCATCGCGAGCAAATTCCTCAACACTCCCTTTTTTCCAATCTCCCTTTGCAAAAACGCTTGACTAGAGCTGTTCCAACTTGTAAAGCTAAGGCTCGTTTACTCCTTGATCATCAGTATCTACCTTTCGATATGCGCTTCAATTTGATACCTGCTGTCCTCGCTCTAATCGCTGGTAAATCAAGTTTCTCTCCCCTTTCGGTGCTGTCTGCTGCCTGGCATTATATTTGTCTGATATCAACATTCCTCTCATTTTCACCTCAGCTACCACGATCGCGATGCCCAATGCGATGTAAGATTCTCTAGCAGTGTACCACGAGTTAAGCTTAATTAAACAATAAGTCGATTCTTCCGTAGGAGAAGGATCGAGCCTCAAGCCGAAGCATTGAAGCCTCGTCACTTGCATGGAGATCCCAAGTAAGTAAAGTCTCCAGAAATTTTGTGCGATCTCCAGTGGACCTACCGATCATCGCATCTCATCCTTACCATTGGTTTCCTTGCCGCCTCTTCAGCCTACAACCACGATACAACTCATATTTACCTTACGGCCCGGGTACCGAATATGGGTCTTCCGGCCACCACAGCCACCGTTAGGTGGATCGTACTGCATCAGGTTACATTTTACTACATATTGTCAAGCGTTTCAGAATCCTCAATCACCTGATGATGTTGGAGGAGGCTGACAAGAAGTCCAGGGTTTCACTCGTTTTTGAAGTTCTTATCTTTCACATCCCTACTTCTGGTTCATCGTCATTCACATTCGTCTCATACTTTCCTTCGTCTCTTGAACTCTATTTTCACTTCTTCGGATCGGTCTGTTATCTATCTATAAAATCGGTGCTCGCGTTTTTATCACTGGTTCCGGATATTGAAAAGCTTGATTGCAACTGAGCGAGTCTCTTAATTGTTGGCTTATCAGATCATTCAGTTCTCAACCCCAATTCTATGCGCACTAAGACGTGGTATGTTTTGCTTTTATATGCTTATCCCGGCTGAGAATCTTTTTACTATTGTGAATGAGATTGATCTTCAAGGATTGTAAATTTATGGTATCATCCTAGACTCTCTGCTCATTCTCTTCTGTTTCTATCTTACTCTATCCTTTTCATATTTATGTAGATTGGTTATTTACCTATCTCTGAGTCTTTAAGTCTTGTGTGCCTTTGTTTTCTTGAATGTTCTTTGGTGGATTGTCAACACCTAACTGCAGTCTCATTGTAAAGAAATCCTGTCTCGAAGCAATTTTGGTCATTGATGAAGTTTCATGGCAGGCGTATCCCTCTGATATGCACTTCTGAATACTCAAGAATCTGTAAGAGAATTCCTCACGCATATATCAACTCGTAAATTTACCACCCTCACATGGAAATTGAGTATGTAAAAAGCTGACCCAAAAACAGCTATGTATGAGCCCATCTTTTTTGACTTAGTAATAGCAGTCAACTTATTTTATCATGATAAACTACCTATGTAGAGACTCTTGAGGGGAATTTGTCTGAATCTTGAAAGGCAATCTCAACATTGGTGCTTGTATGTATGTACATACTAGTTTTCTAACTAAAAGAAGGAAGATTTGATACATAAACTTCCATGAGATCTGTTTTCTTGAGGATGAACTTTTCCTGGAGTCAGTTATCATTATCATTTCTGCTGATCAAAATTTATCACAATTCTCATGAGCCTTCAATGAACTCTGAAACTGTTAAGGAACTTTTGCCTCCAATTTGGTGCATTCCATACCAACTGCTTTTTACAAGCTGACACCAACTCACAAACAAGACGCGTGAAGAACTTTGGCTATGAACTTCTGAACTCGATTGATTTGTTGATGTACTCGGTGCGTTTGTCTTTATGTAGCTCGAAAAAGCCCCGGCTCGGTCGATTTCGATTACATACACGAGTTTATGGCCAAAGTGAGTTTGTGGTTTACAAGAAAGTTAAAGTGAGTCTTCTAGAATTCCATTCCACGTTTCAGCATTCCACGTTTCATCATCAGACCAACAAACCGAAACAATCTGAAAGTCAACATTACAAATAACCTCATCTCAATCAGAACTCTAAAACACAAACATAATGAAATCAATCTTAGTTACATTAATCACCATCTTACTATTTATCACCACCACCAACGCTGGTATCTTTAATTCAAAAGGAGATGTCAAAGCAATAGACATAGATCGATTGAAAAAACATTTAAAAACTTCAAGTAAAGGTACATTTGTTGCTTTCTATGCTCCTTGGTGTGGTGTAAGTTTTTTTCGCTATTCTTTTTTTTGGGAGGGAGGAGGGCGAAGCTGTTTCTGATTGGTGGCTGACATTTGTTTGAGTCATATTTTGGATTGATTTGATTTTAATTGAATCTTTAGCATTGTAAAAGTCTTCAACCTGAATTCGAAAAAGCTGCAACAAATGTCAAGAATTTAGTCGTCTTTGGTAAAGTTTTTGATCATCTGATCCAATCAAAGATTTATTTAGACTCTGATATATTTGGGATTGTTATTATAGCTGCTGTAGATTGTGATGCAGATCAAAATAAGGCATCATGTGGTCGAGATTATGGAGTCAAAGGTATCTCTTCTCAAATCTCTGAATCGAAAACACACCATCACCGAAACCAAACTTGAGATTTTTTTGATTGACTTGATTTTTTGAAACCCCAAAACTTTACAAAGGTTTTCCTACAATTAAATATTTTCCAGGTACACCAGTAGCCATGGATTATGATCAAGAAAGAAAAGCTAAATCAATGGTAGATTATTCATTAAGATTCATGCCAACGTTTGCCAAGAAAATTAAATCTAAAAAAGATTTACAAGAGAAAATCTCAAAATCATCTAATGTTAGTCTTTTCCTAATCCTATGATGATTTGAGCATCTCAGTTCAAAGTTAATTTGTTGTTGATCCCTTTTTTCCATAGGACCGACCATTAGTGGTACTTTTCACCACTGCTACTGCTACTACTCCTACTTTCAAATCTTTATCTAGTGTGTTCCACAAAAAGATGGAAGTTTATACAGCTACACCAAAAGCGTAAGTAATCTACATCTTTTTCAACCCAAAACCCAAAACCCAATCTCAAAACCCAATCTGATAAAACCCTTTTTCTACAAAAAACGAATCGTAGGATTGGAGAAGAAACAGCCAAAGAACTTTTTTCAATGGAAAGTATACCAGGTTTAATTGTTTTCAAAGGAAACACAGATTATGAAAAGTTTAAAGGAAAGATGAATTATAACACATTATATGAATTTATTAAAAAAGAACTTCAACTTGCTGAAAAATCAAAATCTGAAAATCAAAAAGCTAAAGATGAATTATGATTTGATTTGATTTGTTATATTTTTTTTCTTGCAATTCTGGGGTTTTGGAATTTTGTAAATCTTGCAAAAGAAATGCAAAGGAAATTTATGGTTTTTAAAAAACTCAATTTTTATAAGTTATTGAAGTGGATTTACAAAGAGTAGGAGCACTAGACTAGACAATAATGGCCGGAAATTTTCGAATCGTTTTTCCATGAAGTAATAATACGCATACAAGTTGTACAAGGGTAAACAAGGTTTACATGGATAAAGTTCAAGTAACAAAGAAACAAGCGAGAGATCAAATAGGATGTGCTTGTCAATGTCAATGAGGAACTGATGAGACCGAGTTTATCAAACTGGTTTGTTTTTCAATTTGTTTTTCAAGTTTATTTAATTCATCAATCAAAACCTTTTTCTCTAATCTGATTTGATTCATTTCTTCTATGCCTTCAACTTCTTCTTCTTCCTGTTCAACTGTTTCTTCTTCATCTACATAAGCTAAATCTCTTTTCTCAATCTAAACCGAAAGAAGAAGAAAAAAAAATTAAGCCCCACCCCGCCACCACAAAAAAAAGTTAATTCGATTGGATTTATTTGAAAGGAAAACAAACAAGAGTTCATGATTAGTGATTGCTTACAGTTGTTCTTAAAAGTTGTTCACGAGTTTGTAATCTTTTTAATCCTTCTGATGATTTGATTAATAAACTGTTGATTTCGGGATCCATTTCATTTCTTGCTAAAAATCGAGCTTGTTTGATTTCTGAAACTGAAACTAATTCAAAAAACTTTTATTTTGGTTTTCAAATTTTGAAAAAAAACCAACTGATTAACATTGATATTATGGATGATTTGATTTGATGTGTGAGAATGAAAGTGGATGTTACTTACTTGAGTGTTTTTGGTGATCGTCATTGTTCTGGGTAATTGTGAAGTAACTTGACTTAAAGTTTCAACACATGATTTCAACTAAAAAAATAGAATGGTTTAAAGAAACATCAGTTTTTTCGAATCCTATTGTTCTGGTATAAGTTTAAATCGATCTTCATTCAATAATAGATACTTTACATTTTGATTAGTTCGATTTAAAGATTGAGCTGCATTTCTGAGTGAGATTAATGGGTTTGTTGATTGAGAAAGTTGATGGGATGTCATGCTTGGTTTGGAAAAGAAGTGGATCTTGAGAAGTTTTGGTGACCGTATTTCTTATTCGATGATATTCACAAGCCTCGTGTTAAACCGAAATTTGTTGATCGAGGATATTTGGAATAGGTTTCATTTGTTGTCCTTTCGAAATAAACAAGAGCTGTGTGTTTTACTTCAAGCTTTCTAGAGATAATCGGAATCGATTCAGCCTTTAACTTGCCTTCAAAGTTCATGGCATTGGAACTTCAAATCTCAAAGGCCTTCACTCAACTTTCACAGGTCGTGGGCACGACGCGTCCGACGTACACGAGGGCAGGCGCTGGCGGGCGTGCCCGAGCGGTGCAAAAAGGTGGTTGTATGCCCCTGGGTTTGTACATACATGGTGGCTATCAACAGAAAATCCAGTGCTCAGATCATCCACAACGGTCCACCTACTTTGCGAGCCCTGGAACAGACCCCCGATCCTGATTTTGTGGATGTAGGGGGTCAAAAAAACCAGGTGTCCACAGCGGTGCACTTGAAGTCAGGGGCCAGAACTCGATTGAGTGATATGGTATGCTTGTACCATATCATCTTGTTTCGAGTGCGGTTTGAGACGTGACTATATCGGTCACGTGGAAGCAGTGGCACGTGATATTGGGAGCCCCTATAGACCTCGCAGATGTGGGGGGTCCGGATGGAAATCTGGAGGCCCCCGACGTCTCACCCCCAATTGTGCGAGCTCCGTTGGAGCGTTTTTTTGCGTTTTGACCCCCTACATCGCTGGGGGCCCGCAAAGTAGGTGGACCGTTGTGGATGCTCTCAGTGGAATCCGTGAGCCTCACTGAACGGTGAGGCGTGAGTTTGCACAGTTACCCGCAGGTATATGTAATTTGACTGACTGTCTGACGGGTCGAACAGTCTCACCCCCGGATCGAGAACCCGTGTCACATACAGTTCCTTTCCATCTCCTTTAATCTCTCATCACCATACCACAATTAGAACTCATACTAAGAGCATCTCCAACGCTCGCGAATCTGAATGACTAAACGTTATGTTTATGTCAAAAACGTAACCTGTATTGCTGTTTTTCAGAAAATCGTCCTCCAGCGCCGAGGGCAAGGTCTCACACCTGGCCCACGGTGCGAACTTGGTTTTTGGGAAATGACACACTCCCATGCTCAGGTCCGCAAATTTGCGGACCTGGCTGAATCGCTGAAAAACCAGTATCTCAACGGTTTTTGCCCGAACATTGACTAAAATAATTGTCCATATGTCAAACTCGTTATGTATTGTGATAATAAGATAGGTAGGTGACTGCTCATGTCTGGACAAAAAGGGACCTTGAGTCTCTTTGAGTGACGTGGGTTGAACCTCAAGAGGAATTGAGAATGAAGTTCAGATTGTGCGCTGGAGGGACCTGTCCTGACATGTCGCTGAAAAAGAAATACAGCTGTCCAGCCAAAGAAATAAATTACCTGTATGAGTCATTCAGATTCAGGCGCGTTGGAGATGCTCTAAGAGCATCTCCAACGCAGTCGGTATCTGTACAACTCATACACATCCGAATTGGGCCTGCTGAAGAAGTACAGCAGGCTGTATTCGTTTTTGAGAATTGACTACCTCCAACGCGCACCTGAGGTGCCCCCACCCAAGGTTATGCGGCTGCCGTAAATGCCAGATACTTATCTTCCAAGTTGATAATAAGATGCCATCAATCACAATCGATGATGTGATCATCGATTGTGATCGACTGAATGCGGGAATAAGATTACCACGTTCGTCCAATACGCGGCAACTCTGTCATTCCTCTGTCATTCTCCAAACGTCAAATTTTTCCTAGCGATTTCGAGAACTTGACACGAGAGAACCGCGAAGCTGAAAACGAGGGATCACACACATGGCAACTTGTGACAAATCATGTGCGCGCTGGAGGTTGGTTTTTGTGGCCAAACCGCTAAACGTAAATTACAGCTTACGTTTATGTCTAAATGGCTACGTTAAACTTACGTTTACAGAGTCGCGTTGGAGATGCTCTAAGTATCGTCCATCACCCCATTTTCATCATAGGCCCATCCCATCGTCCATGCATAAGGCAAAGAAAAGCCAACAACACAGCGGATGTAACAAAGCAAAGCAAACCATACCCGTTTACCACGGATGTAATACCAATACCTACAAACATGTATGGAAGCCCTCTCGCCGGCGAGTGTGATTATGATTGAAAGAACATTACCCGAGATAGGGCAAGTACCACAGAGTATGATACCCTTCGCACGGTCAGCAACCATCCCAAAAAGACGTGCACGGATGAACAATAAGCACAAAGAGTTATCATTAGGGTTATCAAGCTCAGAAAATTCGAACAAAGTCCAGGTGTAAATCAAACATAGTATCTGAGCGAGGAGGCAAGTGTTTTATGTTTGTTTTGCTTCCTCAGAATTTCACCGGCATGGATGCAAACAAACTTCAAATGGGACAAATCAAGCACATATGCACGGAAGGACAAAAGATATTCCTGACATACCTATCTGACAATTCACCACGATGATACCAAAGCATAATTAATAAATCAAAAGCTTTGCTCATCAAACAACAATTTTGGAAACATGCACAAAAAACAGTCAAAGCCGCATAGAGGGGTTTGTAGTGACTACATATACAAACATATTCCTGACCTGCTTGTTATGACCTGTCACGCGTGTTACATGTAGAGTTCATACTAGTCTTGTCTCCCGTTGTGCATATTGCTTTTCCTCACTTAGCAATCTACTATATTCACGAGACCACCCTTAAAGCTTCTCTTGCATCTCCCTCTCGAAGCTACAACACTGCTTTGCTGCGCTTCTATCCCTTCCCTTACCGCCACAATAATATCAACGTTCATCCATCTGCTTTCCTACAAGTCACATTCACTGTCCTACCATATTTTCTATCATCTCCAACACATTGCTTTAAGTTGTTTTATTCCTTACTATTGGCCCTTGACCTACGACCTGCCACACTCAATCCAAATCTCAATCTCATTTAATCTTACAAGCCCCATTTTTGATTTCTATTTGAGTCTATCTTTGCTCTCGACGTACTTCATTGTGTGTTTTATTTTTGACTTCATCTTGCCTCATCTAATTGCTCTTTTTCACATTTTGATCACACCACAATGCTTGTCAAAGAACTTATGAAGCAATTATCTGAGTTGACCCCAACAATTCACGACACCCTGACGTTGAGCCAACTTTGCAACTTTGCGGCCCTTGCAGCAGATTTTTTGAAGAGGACAGGCGACACCTACGGACCCTCCTGCGAAGAGGGCCCACTCGAATTCTTGTCTCACTGTCTCGACACGGCCCAGCCCCCAAGTACATGGGCTCAATTGTGGTACTTGACGCATGATGACGCCAATGATTTGATGGCATGTGATTACGACCCCTCTCACTTCTACCATCATGGAATCCCTACCTCACAACGTCCTCCGAATGCCATCAAGATTCCACAGCACACATTCAACCCCCCTACCTCCATTTGTTTGACATGCGTATCTGTCACTGAGACCGGTTACCACGAAAACGTCCCACTAGAGATGCGGCCCCAAATTTACGGATACTTGTACGATATTGGAGGGGTTGAGACATTGCAATACTTCACGGGTTATTGTCGCCGTAAGTTAGCCAGACACCTCATACAATTTCATGCCTATAACTTACAATGAATACCACACTAACGACGAATGTCATCATTACAGAATGTAATACTACCTATACACCCTGCTATCTGTGTCGTGAAGAGTATTGAGAATACTATACTAAGACTGAAGGACAGCCTGAGTATTATTTTCAAGTCTCCCAGCATTACTTCATGACCCACAAACTCGCGGATTACTTCAACCATCTTCAGATGCTTGGCAAGTAAGTTTTGCTTTCTGTCAACCCTTCCCTTCTTGAAAACCCCAATCCGCAGTTGTTAATCTGGCTATATTGTCTGCAGGGTGTCTATATACAACTTGACCAACTTGTACAATCAAACGCATGCCCCATTTGACTTCACTCACCCGAACGATTTTGCCGAACCTCGTTACACTCGCCCAATCAGTCAAGAAGCGTGCTCTCTTGCACTTGATATACACCGCCTCATGCTGAGTTACAACAAGCGTAACATGCGTTTAAAAAACGACACTGGGGGCGAAGACTCTCGTCGTTTTTTTACCGCAATGGAAAATCACACGACCTGGCTTCAACATGAAGGTTCTGAATTTGCTACTCACATCTGCTCTGTTTGCACTGAGGTTGAAGTAGCTCCCGATGGCAAAGAAGGAACTAGTACGTACAATCTTTGTTTTGACAGTGTTGTTTCAAAAAAACTGCTGATCTTTGTCCGATTTATCTCCACAGTTATCTGTGCTTTGGTGACCAATGGAATCACTATAGGCCACTGGGCCTGCAGCGTCTCAGAAGTTCAACTCAAGGCTCTAGACCCCGAGTGGCCTCTGATTTATTGCGACATCTCCCTCGACAAGGTCACCCACCGCTACTGTCCTAGACACCATGAGCTTCTTAAGGACCACTGCCAAGCCCAACCTTGCGTCGACCCCGTTGTTCCCGGATTCAAAACTTGCAAGAACCTCGAACATCAAGCTGCGTACAAGAGCTTCAAAGACCGCAACTCATCCCTCTTTGGCTTGCCTCGCAAGTTCAATCGTCCAAACACCCGAATCCAGATTGATCCCACCGACATGCTTTCGGCTGAAACTGGCGAAATGGTCTTTGGTGAAGAGGAATTAATGTACGCTGAGGTTGAAGAGAGGGAGCACGAGGCGGCACGTGACGGTGGCGAGAGTAGTGTTGGTTCCAAGAAGGTATTGTTATCTCGGCAACGATCTCACAACGAGCAATTTATGGTGTCTTGTTGCGGTGTGATTGTTGCAAGAAAGACCTTCTTTAAATCAGAATCTGTGCCAAAGGTCAAGGTAAGCACCACCTCTATTTTGGTGATGATGTGCGTTTTCCTAAGCTAACTTTTGCTAACGTGCCTTTTCCTCCTTCTTCAAAAATCGTATCTTATAGGATTTTATCACAGAGACTTTTCCAAAAGAGATGCCACAAGTTATCTTTTATGATAACGCGTGTGGTCTCTACGCCCACATTCGCAACAACCCTCACGATCTCGAAACATTCAAACATACGTTCCTTCCTGTTGACACCTTCCACATAAAGTCTCACAAGGAAACCCACACTACTTGTCGGGATAATAATGATCCCCACATATTCCCTGAGCTGAAGACATCTGACGGAAAATGGAGATTCAACGCATCTGCCGCCGAAATAGTAAATGCCTGTTTTGGTAGGTTTGACTCTATCTGCCGTAACATGCACCCAGTGCAATATAATTTCTTTCTTGACGAAATGATTCGACTTCACAATGTCCGTCTTTGTGAACAAATTAGACAGCGACGAAACGTCACTTTCTTAGGCAATGTTGAATACACTGCCACTCCATTGTAGCTATGTTGTTGATTTTATGCCACTCATTTGATAATTGTCACTCATCTTGTTTTCAAATCATTCATTTAGTGAGTGTTTTTGTCCCAATTTTTCCTTTGCATTTTCATTGCATGACTTCAAGTCATTCATTTAGTTTCTTTAAGTCGTTCCTATTTAGTTATTAGTGTTGTTTTCATTCTACATTATCACTCACTCTTCAAGTCTTTCATTAATTAACTTTTCTTTCATTAATTAACTTTGTTCAAGTCCTTTGAATTTCTATTGATTGCAAGGGTCATCATTGCTTGTTTTGATGCTTGAAGTGACTTTTTGATTAAGAAGTCACAGATACATGATGCATCTTGTCACAAATTTTTAAGACAGATAGGCAAAGTAGCATTGCATCGACCAAAGCAAAATAAAATATTGACATATTCACGATTACTCACGAGGTTACAAGAAATGAGACATACTGACAAGAAGAAAAGTGGCCATAAGGGCTATTCACACCTGTTTCATGACAAAGACAGTTGTAGATTGAGATCACAAAATAGAAATAAACTGACCGGCAGCTGAAAACAAACATTTGGAGTTGAAATATATATACAAAGAATGTGTATTTTAATATTCACAATAAGCACTACACTGAATAACAAAAACAAATATTAAGCACGGTTGAGTTTGACACGTTTGGGAGGTGGTTGGTCATCAAAACGTGAATCGGTCTTCCGCCACTCAGCATTGAAGTGATGCTTGCGGGCGTCGGCCACCTTCATATCCCCATGTCGGTCAACAAAAGGTTTCAATCTTTTGTCGAGCGCTTCGCACCAGCGGCAGTAATGTGATATGGTGGAAATCACATAACGAAACCTTGTGCCAAAAACTGCCACAAAGGCTTCTTGGTTGTCGTGTTTATTTGGGCCATCAAGTGTAAGTTTGTATAAACGTAACATTTCGTCCATGGTGGCTGACTTGGACCACTGTGGTTGACGCCTTCGTGTGGCTTGTTGACTACTAGATTTGTCTGGAGTGGCAGGATAGTCGACCTTGGAAATTTCAAGTGACGGAGACCGGGCACGCTTCTCGGGTGGTTGGCGTGATTTGGAAGGCCCAGGGGTACCGCCAACATTGTCAAATTGAAGTCCTTGGGCGGGTAAGTTACTTTTGACGTGTGGAGGTGACTGGCGATGTTCGGGCTCCGAGGACGACCGCAAGGTGATAACCCTACCCTTGCCTTTTCCTTTTGCTTTTCCTTGAGGTGTAGCTGAGCTTTTCCGTTGAATGAAAGCACACATAGTCATGGCTCCTGTCTTGCCTCCGGTGGAAACAGAAGCTAAGTGCCGGTCAACATCGTGGCAATCTTCAGGTTTAATTTGGGGGAAAACAACCAGGATTTTGCGCGTGTTGACAGGGTACGTCACTAATATGTCCATCGACGTGTGAAGCTGATGTAGAATAGGTGTGTTAAAAACATATAAAACCCACTATCAGTCAGAAGTAGGGTCACAAACATACCCATAATTGATTTTCCTCGTTCCAAACTTGCAAATTGCCTTTCCACTCCGGACCGAGTTGTTCAACAACTAATGCCTTCATATCAAGGGATTCTTTGAGTGCAAAATCAGGCCAGCTTGCGGCGTGAACCTGACCGCCCCATGATCCAAAAGGGTCATCCTGATAGGTTCCCAAATTCAGCAATTGCCTCTGATGTCATTGAAGAGGATAGCAGGAGGAGATCTCACCTTCGGGCCCGCCCATACCACCAGCGCGATGGTCCTACTGGCAGTCTTGTGCTGGACGGTGCGTCGTCTCGCTGCGCTTTCTTGCTGTAAGGTCATTGTTCGGTATTCGTCGAGGAAATCCGTTTGTACACGTCCTTTATACTTTTTGACACCCTTGCTCCGGCTGGCCTGAGTAATTGCTAGGCTACCACTACTTTCATGGTCAGGGTCTGCGACAGAAGATGATGCTGCGAAGTCGCTGAGGTTTCTGGTTGGTAGCGAAGAAATAATTGAGACTCTGCCGTGATCTTTGATTTCCTTCTGTTGGCGTTTGGCCATGGAGTTGTGCTTGTTGCAAGGGTGACGGCCGGAGGTGTTAAGCTTTAGACAACACTGTAAAATATGCATTATCATCAGACAATTGTCAAAATTGTACACTAATCCTTGGTTTACTCACAGATTTACAAGCATTAGCGGCGCATTTGTCATTCTTGCGTGGTTGATGCCCTGAAGCAATTTTCCCTCCTATTCCCTTGCATTCGCGGTCTATTCCAGCGGTTGCGGAAGCGCCTGCAGGACGGCCTTCGGCACGGTTGCTGGTTCCAGTGGCTGGCTGCGTTGCCGGTGGGGTCGGTGGCGCATGCATGAGTCGGTCAAGGTCCATTGTGCCGGCAGAAGGATCAATGACTCGTCGATTTACTGCCCGGAGTTGGTCTTGGAAATGCTTTGAGTTGTATGTGCGAATGAAAGCGTCGTCGATGGGACACTATGATTGAACATTGACAATCAGTTGGCCTGACCCCTTTATAGAAGAAAGAAAAGAGTGTGTAAAGGTAATGTTGAAATACCTTTACACCAATTAGGTGTTTGTGTTGAGATTTAAAGTAAACTGTCAAATGTGTAGGTCTTTGCTTGCAAGACTTTGATTTGCAAATCAAGCCAGTCTCTGTGTCAGTGGGAAGAGGCGGTAACGGTACACGTCGATAGGGATTAATGGCTTTGAGTTGGTAATTTGGGACTTCAATCGCAGGCATTGTAACAATATTGAAAAGGTTGGAGAATATATTTGCCAACAGTTTATATATCGGTTGAACCCAACCAATGCACTTGAATTCTTCAGATTCATCCTCTACGTGGTCTGCATTCAATGACCAACCATCTCCAACTTCTACTTCTTCACCTATCCGTCCTCCGCCTCCCGTGCTCACTTTGTGGTCATCACGGCCAGTGCTTGCCTTTGCTGGACAAAAAGGTCAAGTATCTTCATATTGCTCAGTAAGATATGGATAGATAAGGATAGGGATCGATGGATGGAAGAGTGAATGAATGGACCGACAAGGACATACATAGCTGCGAAATACATGACAGAAGTAGATATTTGGTTTCAGATGGGCGGCCTGTATGTATTGCATATGCCAAAAGAGATATACCAATATAAATGGAGTTATGACAGTATCTCACTGCGTTACATGCGGTGAGGCTCACCGCTCACCGCTGTGGTGAGGCTCACGGATTCCATGAATCTCATTTTGCTCTCGCTATCAAGAGTTATTGATCAGGAGAATCACCAAAGTTTCAAGGTATTTTGATGCTAGAAAAAGCTAAGTAGACATTCACAAGTAAACAAGATGGTTAGGATTGGAGAATATCATAAGTTGATTTAAAGTGGTTCTTGGTACTTGTTGAAGGATGTGATCTAAGACTCTGGAGTCAAATGAAGATAATGACCAAGCTGAAATTGATTATACCAAATGAACCAGTCTTAATGACTCAGTCACAATAATGGATTGGTTTTTTTCATGTGGAGTATTTACCATCATCCTTGGGGTTTCCAATGTTCTGTTCAGATGTCACATTTTTGAACCTTTCTCAATGTCAAAGGTCAAAGGGGGGATGTGATTTAAAGAGATATATAGTGCTTTGAGAGAGGATTGTAGTTATCATTTGGTTTTCCATTTCTTCTTTTTGACTGCTGTGTGCCATTGATCGGCATCATGGTTTTGTGGTGAAATTTCTGTGAGCATATATTTGTTGTTTACCATCTTGAATTTGTAACATCTTACCCTGGCGTGCTTCAACCTGCACAAGGATGTAAGATGTTTTCTTTTTAATTGGCTTCTTGACGAGATAACCAATGTTCATCTACATGTTCCAAGCTGCTTGGGGTCTTCATTCGTGTACGCGCCACACAGTAACAGAACCTGCGTATAATCTCTGCCTTTTAGTCAAAAGGGACCGATGACAAAATATTTATCACCTTTCGAGAGACCTTTTCTTTTCTCAGAATATTGTGAGTGAAAAGATACAGGTAGAAATTGAATTGTCTACTTGTTTGATCAAATGAATACTCTGCATAAGTTTGTAGATTCATAGATTTCCCTGAAGAACAAGTCACAAGGCAATATTCTCCTTTGCAGAAAGTTGAGACAAGAGTGACGGATAAACAGAACAACATGAAATACATGACAACTAATAGCATTTGGAGCAGACCGCCAGTACTTGGATCGATAAGGATACAGAAAAAAATCTGAAGAAAAGTGAAGCAACGTCTGATTAAAATTTTTTCTCGTGCGATAATTTCAGATGAAAGAGGACGAACATCAGAGAAAGTGAGGTCAGAAATGTAGGCGCATATTGTACAATTTCAGTCCACTCAGATTTCACGGCGACCTTTCAAAGCATATTGTATTCCTTCCCATTTGAGTTCTCTAATGTTCAGATAAAAAACTTTACCCGTTAATAGACTCTTCCAAATCAAAGAAAAAACAAATGTGTCAACATACATTTTATCATTTTTCTGCGTACCCTGCACAACTGAGCTTCGCGCTTTTAAAGAATTGAGACTACAAGAGTTCAGAAGTGAGGTATTTGGATTGTTCGTCAGGTCTTTGATTAAAGATCAAGTAAAGAGATCACTCACTTCGTATGTTCGGGTAAGTTACGAGGCTTCAAATCACTGGCACCACTGGCACCACTGGCACCACGAGTCTGGAACCTTCTCTCATAAACGAACCCATCAAAAGTTCATTCAAAAACAACCTCATATAGTATGAGAGATATGAATCTTACGTCTTAATGGGCAGTGCAATCGCAATAGCTGAGGAAAACATCAAGCAAGTAAACAGGATCAGAAACACTTCGTATCAAGGAAGCAACTGTATATTCTTGTGAGGAAGATGAAATAAATTCACCTGCGATTGAAATTAGAACGCATAAAATGAGATTGAAGCGCATATTGAAAAATGATATAGTTGATTGATAATATCAAACATTCAAATTGTTCTTCTAAGAAATGTACAATTAAATTGTTTGCTTGAGAAGTAAGAATCACTGCCACTCCATGAAGGACAAAGAGTGACTATATATACTCATATCCTGTTCGGCACAGTGAGTTCCTTTAGTTGTGTGCAAGTTTTGTCATAACCAACTAATTTGAATGATAACTATTTGCGATTCGATCCCGCTATGCATGTAAATTTATTGGACCTCTTTTACTGCATACATATAACCTTACTTTGTAATATCAAAAACTTTAGTGTAGATTTTCTTTGAAGGGGTTCACTTATGACGCTTTCAACTTTAGAGTTCACTTTTATTCTTGGTGCAATTTTAGATAGAAAAAATATGATCTCCATGATGATAATCAATTTTCGAAAACCCTGATCAAAAAACCCCGCTAATCTGGTTTAAGACTTGAAGTTGAGGGCAAAGTTACGTAAACCAAACTTTTAGAAATGAAAGGGGATCGTACCTCGTTCCATTACTTTTGCAATTATGAAAAACCCTGGCATAATTTTAGACTGAGTCAACTTTGAATTGATACAAAGAGAATTTTCTTTCAGAGTTTCATTCAAGCTAATTTATGCGTCATTTGAGAAATATGATTTGAAAGGTAAAAATCTCCTTACTGTACTACTTTACATTTCTGGTTCGTTCATTGTAATTAGGATACAATTAAATATTGATATCGAGCCTCATTAATTGCACTTTATATACAAGCTACCAACACTTGTTGAGCTTCACCTTTCAAGATCGAAAGATATGAAGCCAAGCAATTGTATATCAAAAGATCCAGGTTATAGAGAACAGGGTCCATAGACAACCGTATCACAATTGCGTATGAGGTTGCCTTTTTGTAATGAACTTTGTTCTATCATTCATGTAAACAATCTTCACGTCTTTCAACCTGCTTAAGCTCTTCGTTTACCTATGTAACGTCACACATTGCAACAGAAGCTTCATACCCTTCAATTTCAAGCTTCCAGTCAAGTATGAGTGATGATAGAATAGTACATTGCATAAAAGCAAACTTTTCTGCTCCCAAAATATGATGAGTGGCACTGGCAAGATGCGGGTAGATATTTTTTCTAGTTTGACCATTGGATTATTTACAATAAACAGAAGATAACTCTCACAACGCAATTGGTATCGCAATCATGGTAGCTTAGGTGAAAATCGAAAGAGGTCATCAGTTGTAAAGACATTTTATATCAGTATGTAAAGCAACTATATATCTGATCAAAAAAATCAAATCATTCCATCTTCGAAATACTTTAACTACAGACATCTGCTGATATGCTTAAGATGTGAGTGTCAACATAATATAAACCAATCTTTCATAAATAGATTGATTTCGTATTTCTTTGCAATGTAAAGTTTTTAAAGTGTGATTTCATTTAGGAAAATTATACGTTCTCCAGTATATCATGATTGACTATTTTGGACTTCTTTTGCTTTATATTGCAAGATCAGATACAATTAGGATAAAATCTACACCGAGTCCTATTCTCTCGTTGATTACACTCTATATCAATTTACCGAGACTTGGTGCACGTCAAGTTGTCTTTGGGCACTGGGGGTAGAAAGATAGAAATATACAGTAGGATAGAATGATCAAGTAAAGTTTTTTGATACGTCCAATCATTTGTTTGGAACCATTAGAGTTGACTGGATCTTCTGCTTCTTAACAATCCCTCTGATTCCTCACTTTTCTGGTGATGTGATTCAAAACCAGAGTATGATCGCACTGGAAATTGGACTTGATGTGGGGTTTTTATTCTCATTGATCTAAAGTTTATCACAGAATGATCACCAAATGGTTTTTGCGATTGATCAAAGGGAAGTGCGTTCAAGGCAGTGCCTTTACGGTCTAATCTGGATGGCCCCAATGCACGGAGCGAAGACGCGTGATGACTCGTTTCTCTTTTGTTGTTCCAAATTGTGTTGAGGTGATTCTTCAAATGCCGTTTTAAGTTGAACTGTTGTGGTAAACTTATGAGACCTGTTTAAAGCCATGAGTGGTGTTTGTTTACCATATATTTTGAATTGATCATCACTTGGATTTGTTACACGTCAGACTTTCTTTGCTTGACTCGATCGAAACCAATTTCCACTTCAATTCTTCAAAATTCACCAAAAAGAAACTCAGAGGTAAACAGGAAAGTCAAAGTAAAAGGCAAAGGCCCCCAATTACCTCTGGTCTCATGTCTCTCAAGACTGTTTACCCACTCATCTCTCTTAGTCCTCAAACCAATCGAAACGTCTTAGCTTTCTTAAGGCTTGTGGTGGTTTTATTCATTGCTGGTGCTGCTGTTGCTTCTCGTCTGTTTGCTGTCATTCGCCATGAGTCTATCATTCATGAGTTTGATCCTTGGTTTAACTAGTAAGTCATCTCTTCAATCATATTCAAACTCATCTTCACATTCATATCTTGCTAACTTTTATTGTTCAAAATCCTTCGAATTGGGTAAACAGCCGTGCAACTAAGATATTAACCGAACAAGGTTTTTATGCTTTTTGGAATTGGTTCGATCACACAGCATGGTACCCACTTGGTCGTGTGGTGGGTGGTACCATCTATCCGGGTCTGATGGTCACTAGTGGTTTAATCTGGAATGCTTTCCGACTTTTCAATGTATGTTAGTTGCTATTATCCCCCTTCCCAATGAAACATCAAACTTCGTAGTTCTTAAATGACTGATTCTGCCTCTTTGATCTATCCAGATCCCTGTTGACATTCGTAATGTTTGTGTACTCCTCGCTCCTGGATTTTCAGGTTTGACTGCCTATGCTGCCTACCTCTTCGCAAGAGAACTGGGCCAAAAAACTACCTCCAAAGGTAAACCTCAAACCAAATTGATTGGTGAAACAGGCGAGGGTACAGGTTTATGGGCAGCACTCTTTATTGGAATTGCACCTGGTTATATCTCTCGATCGGTTGCTGGTTCATACGATAACGAAGCGATTGCCATCTTCATCTTGATGTTTACCTTTTATTTATGGATCAAAGCTCTTAAGCAAGGATCAGCTCTTTACGGTTCGATGACAGCTTTGTTTTACTTTTACATGGTGGCTGCATGGGGTGGTTACGCCTTTATTACCAACATGCTCCCACTTCATGCTTTAGTCTTGGTCCTCATGGGTAGATTCACCAATAAGCTTTACATTGCGTATTCTAGCTTTTATGCCATCGGGACCCTGGCCAGTATGCAGGTGCCGTTTGTTGGATTTCAACCTATTCGTACATCAGAACACATGGCTGCACTCGGTGTCTTTGGTCTTTTACAACTCGTGGCCTTTGTACAATTAATCAGAACTCATGTCTCAAGTAAACAATTCCAACTTTTGCTTCAAATCGGGTTGGGGACGATTGGAGTCTTAGGAGTAGCGGTCATTGTCATCTTAACCAAGCAAGGTTGGATCGCACCTTGGACCGGTCGATTCTACTCTCTCTTCGATACTGGTTACGCCAAGATTCATATCCCGATCATCGCCTCTGTATCAGAACATCAACCGACAGCCTGGACGAGCTTTTTCTTTGATTTACAAATGCTTATTTACCTCTTTCCAGCTGGTGTATACTTATGCTTCAGAGAGCTACGTGATGAGCATGTTTTTGTGATCATTTATTCAGTTCTAGCTAGTTATTTTGCTGGTGTCATGGTTCGATTGATGTTAACTCTCACCCCGGTTGTCTGTATCAGTGCTGCTATGATTGTTTCATCAGTCTTTGACCTTTATCTCGATCCTGCTCAACCTGAAAGTGTCGAATTTGGTGCTGCATCCTATACGACTTCGATGGATACACTTTCAAGTACCGGATCTGAAGTCAGCGGTCCTTCATCCACTCCTAGCAAGAAGAAAAAAGCACACGTAGCTTCTCAATCGATTTCATCAGTCTCATCAGTCACTTCAACTGCATCCACTCGGACCCAAAAATCGACTCGATCAGCTAGTTCATCCACTTACACAGTCGTACCTACACTAAAGGCTATTTGGGGACTTGACACTCGTTTTGCGATTCTCTCTGCTTTTACCCTCTTTAGTTTGATCTTTGTACTGCATTGTACTTGGGTCACTTCTACTGCTTACTCATCACCTTCAGTCGTCTTAGCCTCAAGAAATCGTGATGGAAGTACGAACATCATTGATGATTTCAGAGAAGCCTATTATTGGTTAAGGATGAATACCGAAAAGGAAGCTAAAGTGATGAGTTGGTGGGATTATGGATACCAAATCGCTGGTATGGCTGATCGTACTACATTAGTTGATAACAATACCTGGAATAATACTCAGTAAGTCCTTCTTTGATTACTCGAAAAAGTTGAAAGGTAAATTCATTGTATTATCGTTCGACATGAAAACAGTATTGCAACCGTCGGTAAAGCGATGTCCTCAAGAGAAGAAGTTTCATATCCGATCTTGAGAAAACATGACGTAGATTACGTCTTGGTCATCTTTGGGGGTCTTTTAGGATTCTCAGGAGATGATATCAACAAGTTCTTATGGATGGTAAGAATTGCAGAAGGAGTTTGGCCAGACGAAGTCAAAGAAGGGAACTTTTTCTCTCAAAGAGGTGAATATAAAGTAGATGATGAAGCTTCACCTACGATGAGAGAAAGTTTGATGTACAAGATGGTACGTTTTGTTCATTTATTTGGTTTGGTTTTGGGGTTGTTTTTCATATTACTAATTCTTCTCCTTTTCTGATTTTCTAGAGTTATTATCGATTCCATGAATTATTTGGAGGTCAAAGAGCACAAGATAGAGTAAGAGGACAAACTTTACCCGAAGCAGGACCGACATTGGATACATTAGAAGAAGCCTTTACATCTGAGAATTGGATTGTAAGGATTTACAAAGTTAAAGATGAAGATCTTTTGAATCGAAATCATAAAGATGCTAATGCGTTTACGTCCGGAAAACGAAAGAAAGCTGGAACTAGTAGAAAAAGAAAGAATAGACGTAAAGCTGCTGCATAAGGATTTATTAAAAAAAAGGTCTTGAGATATTGATCTATAAGGGAGTTGATTCTTAGTTTTGTTGTCTCTCTCCTTGTTTGGTTTATCTCATTCTTTCTCTCTCCGTATTCTCTATACTGGAGCTTGGAGTCTTTTGTGTCTGCGTGTCTCTGAAGTTTTTTTTTGCAAGAAAAGGCAAGTTGAATGTGTATATATACATATAAAAAAGACACTCTTTTACTTTGGAGCATTGATGAAAGTTTGAGCGTCGAGTTGGAGAAGGAGGGAAGAATATGTATTCAAGAAATACATATGTAGGTTTCATCAGAATATTTCATGTTTTACGTTTTGAAAGGACTCTTGATCAACTTCCTGATAATGGTTCCAGTAGGGGGTGTTATTATCTCTGTGCCCTGCATGGTTTGAGCTGGGTGATGTGATGATCATTCCTTTCAAAACGGTTCAAAACACCTGCAATTAAATTTAGACCGCGTAGTAGACTTGACTTTTCAACAAAATTCTCGAAAAGGACTTGGCCATACAAAGGTCATCCAAGACTCGAGTCTCCTGAGGGATACATCAATCTGATATTTCTGTAAATTTTGATCATGTCCTTGGACACACTTGGAGGAGTTCTTTGAAGCAGTGCACATTACGATGGGGGAAGGTTGTGAGTATGAAAGATGTTCAATTCAATATATGTACATGTTTACAGAAAAAAACACCAGAGTACCAAAGTCTAGTTAGGTCTTGTTCATGGAAGAGTGAGTGACCTGAAATAAAATTCGACCTGGTATCTAAATTTATCTCCTTGCTCTAACAATAAACGATAGAAGATATTCAAGAGTGGACTTAGAGCCATATCGAGCGATTCAAACATGGGGAACTATATATGTTTGCAATCATTTGTCAGCCTTTGCGAACGGCGAACACATGTTCTCAAGCTTGGAATGGAAAGAACAGACATGTATAAACTAACGTCTCCTGTGCCAATCTAACCTCTTTTGTAGTGACCTCCCATGCCGAAATATGAGTTGACCCAAGGGTTATCCATAGGGTGGGTCATTACAGGGCTCGGGATCTCCAATTTGGGCTTCTTCCCTTCCCTCGTACGTCGTTCAAGGCTTCGCAAATTATCATAACTTCAATGTTCATGTCCCATTTGAAAGACCTCAAAAAGAAAAAGATGATTAGAGAGCTTCACTGACGTTGGGTCTTGAGGCAACGTACGAGTGACCAATTCCTTGACATCGGGATTGCTACTTCTTCGACTATGCAAGATACATTAGTTAGCAGGATCCAAACCAATGCGGCATAAATGGCAAGCAAATCTTACGTGGCCAGGGGAACGGCAAGCGTAGAAGCTGAGGCAAAAAGAAGATGCATGATATCAGAATACTATAATGCCAGTGAATTGGCAGGAGCTTGATGCGAGAGGACCCAAATACCTGCTAGTATAGCAATGGTGGTAAAGATGGCCGATAAGTGCATAGGATTCTGGGTTATATCGAGAATTGAGGAAGGAGATAATGTCACGCGAGCAGGGTTTTTGTCAAGTCGGGTTTGAAGACCACAGTTTATGGAAGCATGGTGTCATGCTTTCTCTTGGTTTGAAACTTTCCCACTGCGAAATTTCCATAGCTCTCGTGATATGATTTGACAGATTACATGCTATTACAGGGGCTTTGTTGAGTTGGTCTTCACACGACCTCGGATTAATGGCCATCTTGCGTGCACCGGTGCTTGTGTAGCTTGTGTGGCAGGTTAGGACCCTGGAAAGCGCCTGTTGAGGTGTGTGACGTAAATTCCGACGTTTCTCTGGAAAATTTTCAAAAAAAAGTCGGATTCCGACCTTTTTCGTCGCTGACATCTCAACTGCAGGGAAAATGGAGGACCCCGGAAAGCTCCTGGAGAACAAACCGTCCTCGATCCATTCCGGCCCCGGCCCTCACACTTTCACTATTTGCCCCGAGGAGAGGTGGGTTAACATGGATTTCTCGGTGGTAGGAGAAGCGCCTTGATCAGGGCTCTCGATTACATATACTTTCAGTTTTGTACCACGTGTAATCACCGAGATATCCGTATGTAAGTACCCGACCCGAGCCGGTATGGATTTTCGTCGGTCTGGGGGGGCAAAAGTTACAAATCACACATTTCCCAAGCCACCAGTCATGTTCAGGGTCAGACATGTGTACCATCTGATAGCCCTCGTTGAGGCGCATCTTTTGCACCTGTCACATCTCTGGTACCATGTGACATGACTTCACAAAACACCGGTATCCGAAAACCCCCTCAGGACGGTTTGTTCTCCAGGAGCTTTCCAGGGTCCTGAAAATGGTGTTTCCAAATATAACATGACTCAACAAGCTAGCCAAGTATGTAGATGAAAACAACAGAAAGGAACAACAAAGAAATTTGAGAGAACAAGTAATTGAAAAAACGATTTTTAAACACGTTAAGGATTGGCATACGATGATCTAAAGAATCTAGACAGCTAGATGGAGACAGTATGATCAATAGATCACATATATCAATCTGTGTCTACCTTGGCTCCAGTAGCTGTTGAAGCTTTGAGCTGATTTTTGAAAGCCGTGATAATTACTGCGATCGAGTAGATAGTTGAGCCTTGAGATTCAGCCCGAGCCCCGATCGCTACCCGTCGAGTAGTGGCTCGCCCGGCCCCCGAACCGACGGGTAGAGAGACCTCCCAAGCCCGTTCGGGGGTCCCCGAACGAGTTTTTTTTGAAAAATTGTCTGCCCGAACCCCGACCGGGTTCCCCGCCGGGGACTCGCTGGCTGGACCAAAAAGGGTCCCTCACCCAGGTTTGAACACCGGACCGGGTCATTTATCGATATTGATGCCAAATACATCGAAAAAAAGTGTCCACTTGATGTTTAAATTGCACTCAGGGCCTCACATCACAGCCATGGCAGTGCTGGCAAGGTTCCCATGTGCTTGGTAGGGCCTCCCCTGACAATGGACTAGGTAGTTTTTACCTGTGATGGAGTGTTTTAAATACATTTTTTACTCGTCGGGTACCCGGCGGATAGTATTTTTTTCGATTTCTACGCCCGACACCCGACTCGCGGGGATCCCTGATCATCGGGGGTTGTAGAACCTCCGCCCGAATCCCGGACCTATCGGGGACCCCGTCGGGTCCCCGATCGGGGGGCTGGTCCGGGGCTCAGGCTGACTTGAGATGGAGGAAACACATATAGCAAAGGTCCACTCGTCTGCAGCCATACTGTTGTTTGGCATCTTTCAACATCTTACAGATCTCTCACTCTTTCTTTGATCTTTTCCTAAACTTAACAAAGTCCCACGCTCGCCTCGAGCAAGGCTGAGGCGAGCGAGGGACTTACGCCAAACTTGTACGGTCCATAACCTCGCGGTAGAGGATTTTGCAGGGAGCCTCCTCAATTCGCTTTTATCTCATTCCACACCGAGGTTTTGGCCGTGATCCAAAGATAAAAAATATGCGCCTTAATCTGGCGCATATTGTACATTTTTTTCACCGAGGAAAGCACTCCTATTACGCAGATAATAGATGAACAAAATTGACTATTTTCACCCACACCTCCCAATTGCAGCGGTTACATGTGTGGTTTACATGTACACAAAAGCTATCAAAGCCAAAACTTTGAAGCCATTTTGTTCATGGAGGGGAGCCGTTTCCTCGGTGAAAAATCTGTACGATATGCGCCGGAGTACGGCACATATTTTTTCTCTTTGGACCATACCAGAATCCTCGGTGTGGAAAAAGTTAAAAGGGATTGCAGGAGGCTCCCTGCAAAAGCCTCTACCGCGAGGTTATGGACCGCGCAAGTTTGGCGTAAGTCCCTTGCTTGCCTCAGCCTCGCTCGAGGCGAGCGTGGGACTTTGTTAAGTTTAATCTTTTCCTGTGTTTCATCAAGTTTTCTCGGACCGTTTACGTCACAAACACGAGAACATTTGGCCACCCACTGGCCACACCTACACCACGGGTCAACTTTTTGACAGGCTTGATATTGATCCGATATACAAATTTTTTACATCGGATTGATCTCGAGATGAGATCGGTTTGATATCGGAGACCAGAAGATTAGCCTCCACTGACAGCCAGCCAACAGAGCTCTGGCGGTTGTGCAATCCTGCCTCACGCCTGCTGTATAACAAATAGTACGGTAAGCACATCAGTGCTCTCTCCAAGGAATCGGCCTCCACAATGGTAAGTGATGTGGAAGGCTTCCGCCGAGGAGGAGAGACTTGACTACAAGAGAAGCTGTACAACATATCATGCATGTGACACTCTGTGGTGCAGTTGTGTAACCCCATAGCTCTACAACATGCTGGAGCTGGTCATCCAAGCCCCGCCACAACCAGGGCCAATAACAAACCTTGGCAAGACAACCTGAACAAAACCACACGCCCGACCTTTTCTCATCAAGGATGACAGCTGAAAATTGAAATACAAAGTCAATTAAAAGGCTCAAAAGAAAGGAGAATACCTACATTGTAAAGACATCAGTACTCCTTTGTCCTAACTAGATGGCTGTTTCTACAATTTGATTCTATTGGTCAAGGTCTCAGGGCCTGTCAATCAGCCACTGAACCAAACGGGTCCAATATCATTATGATATCGGACCAAGATGAAATTGATATCAAAAATTTGTATATTGATTTGAGATCAAATCAATATCAAATTGACATCAGGCCAGATGACATCGGTTGGTATCAGCACTGACCCGTGGTGTACAATTCCGACCTATCATGTCACTAACATGTCACTCGCAACACCCAATTCCAACCTTTCCCGTCACTAGCATAGGCCTAAAATCGGACCAAAAATCAGCCTTTTTTGTCACACACCTCAACCAGCGCTTTGCAGGGTCCTGGCAGGTTATTGACAGATGGTAACACCTGGATCTACCTGGATGGTGGGTATGAACCCAAAAGCACGATGGCCTACGAGTCCGACGGCACTATATGTAGGGAATGGTAGATAAACTTTGTAACAAAGTCCCTGCTCTCATGACATTATTTCCTTCCTCAATTCTCGATATATTCAAGCATCCGATGCACTTATTGGCCATCTTTACCACCATGGCTATACTATCAGGTATGTATTTGGGTTCCTCTCGCATCAAGCTCCTGCCAATTCACTGGCATTATAGTATTCTGATATCATACCTCTTCCTTTTGCCTCAGCTGCTACACTTTCAGTTCCCCTGGCCATGTAAGATTACCTTCCCATTTATGCCACATTGGTTTGGATTTTGCTAATGTATCTTGCATAGTGAGAAAAGTAGCCATCTTGATGTCAAGGAATCGATGACTCACACGTTACCTCAATATCCAACGTCAGTGAATCTCTCAAACTATCTTTTTCTTTCTGAGGTCTTTCAAATGGATCAGCCACATTGAAGTTATGATATTTGGCAACTACAACATCCTCAAACAACGTTTGGGGCAAAAAAAGAGCCCCAAATTTTGTGGCAAGCTCCCTACGCCAACCGGCCCTATGGGTGTACCTCCCACCGCCACATTTATCGGCGGCGGAATTCACTACAAACAAAGTTATATTGGCACAGAAGTCATACATACATGTTTGTTATTTGAATTCCAAGCTTGAAAACATTCTTTTGTCAATGGCAAGGGCTGATGAATGATTGAAAATATGACTCCAAGTCTACACTCTTGAATTTCTTTTATTGTTTATTGTCAGGCCAAGGAGATGATTTTAGATACCAGGTCAAGTTTTTGTATTTCAAGTCACTCTTTTTCATAAACAAGCATGAACAAGAGGACAGCATGGGACTTTAAATTTGAATAATAGAGAAATAAACAATGCAAGCACAAAAACTTGAAAAGTATATATCTTTGATATCACAATGATGTGGAACCTCAGATCTTGGCTGAACTCAGTTTTGTTGACTGCAGCACTCAATGTCTGTGCCACATTTGTGCTCAGGATCACGTGATCACAACCCTCCCAGGACAAGACACAGACATCCATACAAAAATAAGAAACATATAGAAAACAATGAAATATATCATGCAAGGACCTCTGTATCAGCCGGAGTCAAGTCAAAAATAAAGCTTTTCTACCGAGATAGACCAAGATAGAGAATCATTTGAACAAATGAGCTGGAATCTTTTACCACTAGACGGACTCGGTTCCACCAGAAACAGCGCCTGCATAACTTAAAAAATGAAATTAAATCACAAAAACGTAATGAAAAAAATGATTTTTTTTCAAAAATCTAAAAGCTTATTGTCAAGAAGACTATCAAATGAGTTTTGGAATTTTGCATACTTAACTGTAACAGCAGGTTATCTCCAGAATCAGCTACCTAACTCTATAACTGAAGGCAAGACACTATACAAAATACTTTTCACAAAAAACATAAGCTTAACATCTTACAATACTTTGATGCAACAGCCTTTGTTCATATTCATCAAGGCCAAAGATCCTCAGGAAAACTAGAGGATAGAGCAAGAAAATGTAGTATGGTTGGTTATGTTGAAGGAGGAAAGGGGTGTATGTCTTATGATAGAAAATCAAAGACCATCTCTGCATCAGCAATTACACAATTTCCAATCAAACAAGATACTGATCTACCTCAATCACAACCACTGGAAAACACTCTTCTGATTCCTTGAATAAATTACTTGATCCTACTCAAAATCCCAAAGGCAGGATAGAACATATCATAAACACCCTAAAACTTGGAGATTTTACCAAAGATCAAAACTTGATAAGCAGGACAGAGCAGCTAGTCACACACTCAGCAGCTTACATTATTTGAAACTTCTCAATCCACCAAGATCTTACACTGAAGCAATGAGCTCCAATGAATCATCAAATGGCAGGACACATGCGATATGTAAAAAGGCATGATGGACAACATGAGATTATAGAAGGTAGAGGACTTACCAACCGGTCTTGTACCCATAGATCCAAAATCCACTTATAAAAGTTTTGGCAAAAATGGGACCCCAATTAAATTTAAAGCTAGACTCATCGCAAGATGATTTAAACAACAAGAAGGCATCAATTACACTGAAAATTTCAAATCAACAGCCACATTTGCCGGTTTGAGAATTATTCTGACAATTGCTGCCTGTAATAATTGGTCCATGCACTCATTTGACATATCATCTACCTATCTTCACAGTGATATTAACACACTTCTTTATTTTTTCAGTTCCTACAGGATTTATCTGTGAAGCAATCCAATCGAATTTGTGGTGTGAGCTCAATGATATATTATCAATCATAGATTACCAGTCCCGGTTTAAACCTGTTCTAACTTGTATACCATGCTTAAACTGTACAGGGGGGCCATCGGTGGCTTCCTGGTTTGCGTGACTGAGAAAAAGGTCTCTAGTCTTGCTGACCATGTGCCTCGACTTTGCCGGGTGGGTGAGTGGTAAATTTTGAAATGATATGTAATCAAGCTGTTTATCTGGAATTGTGTGGTAACAATGAAGTGACTCGGAAGATTTTCACTTCTTCCAAACATGCTTTGTGTCACTTCCCTCACTAGAAGCATCTTCTACATCTGTACACATTTCTCAACCGTGGACTTACACACCAAGTTGTCCCTTGGTTGGTGCTCACAAAGGAACAGAATAAGTCTTTGAAGGAACCAAAGCTTTATATGGAACTAAACAAGGTGTGTGATGCCGGTAGAAGCATATAGACAATATCATCACATCAATAGGATTTAAATCTAGTCAATACAATAAATACCTTTACATCTACCATTGTGAAAACAATACATACATCATCTGGTTACAGAGCAACAATGGTGGAGTTACAGGAAGCTCAGAAAAACTATTAGATGAAATTCACAATAGTGGTGCTCAAAGTTGACCCGGTTTCAAGAAAACCCAGTTGGACCAGTTGCTTTTTGACAGTAACTTTGTGTATCAAGTTGACATGTTTTGCCAGCTCCCAGCCAAAAAATTAACTGGGTTGACCAGGTTTTTGGAAACCAAGTCTACTTTGAGCACTGCTCATAAACTCAAAGAAAAGTCATTGATCAGGTGGGCAAGAAATTTGGATCAAATTATCAGAGTCAATATTACTTGTCTTCAAGTTGGTAATTTTGATTTATCTCAAACAGGCCTTACCAAGAAAAGAAATCAATCATTTTTACCAGATGGACGTTCAGCAAAGACACTGATGTGCATTCAAAAAAATTCAACATCACCAACAGAAGAAGAAGACAGAATATATTCAGCAAAATACCTCTCAGCAATTGGAAATGTTAATTATTTATCTGTTGCAACACATCCTGATATCTCTTTCATTGTTACATATCTTGCAAAATTCTTGTCTGCCTCAAGGAAGCAGCACTGGAATTCTACAGAACATCTGATCAGATGCCTTGACACAAATGGTATACAACAATTACTAATTTAACCCATCAAGTCAAAAGGTGATACCCCAATCCATACTTAAATTGATGCAAACTGGGGTTGTGAAGGTGCCAGATCCCCACATGGGTTTATTAAAAAAATTTCAATTGTCCAATCTCTTGGACCTAAAAAAGGCAAACCTATGTCACATCATATACCTGTCACTCCAAATATATGCCAATGGGCACTGCATTTAGAGATGCAGTATGGTTGAGAAATTTAATAGAGGATGTCACAGGTAAACACAACATTGTAAACATGTATTGCAACAACACATCAGCAATACATGTAGATCAAGATAACTCTTTATACAAATGCACATGTCATACTGAAAGAGAATATTATAATATAAATGAGAAAACTCACAAAGGAAGAATTACCCAGAATATTCAAAGGCTTGTGCAACCAAAGTAGCTGCTACTGGGTAGCAGCTACAATCTACTACATACCCCTTTCTGACACGCAGGCATTGGAAGTGTCCAACTGTGAGACCTACATCAATGTACAGCATGCACAGACTCTTTAGCAACCATCCATGAACAAATCTGTATTGAGCCTTCCCAAGCTTTTTATTTGGCGCTCACCACTGCTCCACCTGTTCAAACTGAAAATGAGAACATCACATTTCCCATTACAAGCGGAAGCCTTGGAATGATAACACTTGCTTCACTGCCATGTTTTACACCCCACACCCATTCACCCAAATTCTTTTCACATTGCCAGCTGAGTTCACAAAGATTGTATGTATTCTTTGAATAGCTTTTATGGTAACAAAAGTCTCATTGACAAGATTGAATCAATTACCTTAAACTTATATTTTTTGAGGCACATTTGATTAAACTAGTTTCCATGTCATCAGCAATCTCAGTATATAAGAGCTTTGAAGTGTCAACGTTTCAAAGAAAATATATTTTGTAGTTCAGCTCAATAATTAGATACAATTCAGTCGATTACAACTTCAACTTGTTTTATATGATCTGTTTAAGCTGTCTAATCCGTTTACTGAGTAAAATCAATGCATTAGGATCCATTCCCCCTCACCTCTTAACAACTCCCAGAGTCTCTGGTCTAGCACTAGCAAGCCTATGTCATGCTTTGATGCTAAGGTATTCAAGTGTATGAATTGATAACCTAACTCGGGGATATAAGACATAATTCATTGGCTTCCAATTGACACACATTGTGCTCATTACAATTTTTAATTGGACAATAAAGAGCTGTTTAGAGATTAACATAGGGGTAAGAACACTAGCTTTTAACAAACAATCAGATCATGAAAAATCTGACTAACCTTTCACTTGTATTCTACGCCAGATATCCAGATCCACGTTCTTGGGCTGTGGTACAGTGTTGAGGGTTGTTAAATCTTCACACCCTGTACTTGTAACACATCAAATGCACTATCAAGAAATCAATACATCCAGTCAGTCAAGCACCTTGAAGAAAGGACATGATATTCTTCTCAAATAACTGAATGGTTTACAGATGCTCACCTTTTCAGACTGGCAGCTGCTCTAAATTTGATTCCTGCTTGACCCCAAGCCCTCTGTGACAAACAAACAGCCTGAAGATACTTGAGTTTTTGTATGTTCAACAAGCCACTCACTTGTCAAATCCTTTGGGTCCACATGATTATACTCCACCTCATAGCTTGGCTGATTCATTTCCACAGCTTCTAGACCACAAATTGACCTTAGCATCTGTATGTGAGCATTGGATCAGGTGTAATCGTGGTAGATCATCCATGGGGATAGAACAAATCTGACTTGTATGTAGCCTTGGTTCAAGCCAAACCATGTGAGAATCTTGATCTGAAAACTTGATGACTTCTGACTCTAATGAAGGCCTTTATCTTGGTCCTAGTCTGACACCTAATCCCATACTACATCAGTGATGGACTGGTAAAGAGAGAGATGTATCTCTGAGAAAGAGAATAGACTGGCCTTGGACTTCTTCATGAATATGAACTGCCTTGTCTAAGTCATTTCTAACAATATCACGAGTTTGAGTTTCAGCATGAGCTTTCCAACAAAATAATTGATTTGTAGTATTTTGACTGTTTGGTTCATGAAGCTGTTTATATCTCTTAATGGGTGCTGTGTGGGGTTTGAGGTGATGGATAGATGTTGTCTGTCCATAATAGCGGCCCTCCATGAGGGAATCTAACCAGATGTGGAGTATTGGCACAGTGATTGTGATACAAATGTGCATCAGAAGGACGGTGAGGAGTCGGATAGGATGAGTGTTATCAACAACAAAGATGGATGGGGATACAGTGCGTAAAGGCTAATCTTAACTACAGGTCCTGGACTGGCTAGATTCTGATACTATGGTCCATAGGACCCAGGGACCCCCCCAAAATTTTTTTTTTCACCATCCTAACAATTGGGACCCATACCTAAGCCACCTAATTAAGCCCTTAGGTACCTAGCCTATGTGTGTAAGTACCTAGCTTATGTGTGTAAGTACCTAGCTTATGTCCTTAAGTACCTGGCTTACGTCTCAAGAGCCTATATTATGTCCTGTGGGTCCTAGCTTGAGTCTTTACAGTCTTAGCTTAAGTTCTTACAATCCTACCTTTCAGCTCCTCTAAGCAATTAGGGAGCAGAGCAGCTCTTTAAGAAATCTCACAAGATCAGTTAGCAAAAAACACTCACAGTCTGTAGACAAGAAGTATGAAAAGCAGTCACCGAGTGCAAGAATTTCAAAAGCATTTGTGTAGGGTGTCTGGGATGATTGATGGGTTATCTGATGATGAGCAGATTGATAATTGTGATGATTGAGTCTATGTAAAGATAAGTCTTTGTAAAGAGCATGACACTGTAAAGACTGTGTCATTGCAAAGATCAATCTGAGTTAAAGAGTGAGTTAAGGCAAAAATTGCTTTGAGGTAAAGATCAAGTTAAGGCAAAGATCAAGATGATGTCAAGATCAAGATGTAAAGATTGAGTTGTTTGTTTCAATGTGTAACCATATTGAAAGGATGACAAGACCATGCACATGATATGATCAAAAGGCAAAAGTTGAGAAGTCAAATTGAGCAAGAAAATACCAAATTCCACGTGGATCAACAGATCAGGATGATAAGGAGAAAGGATTGAGTGAAAAAATGATGTTTTGAGAGTGTGTATTGCCTCTGTAGCACGTTCCTCACGGCTGAAAAGTCTGGATTTGTCTCTGACCAGAAATTGGGACCGGGGCCGGACCCAGCCGGCCCCAAGTAAAGCTGTAGTTGAGATTAGCCTTTATGCACTGGAGAGTTTGGTTAGCTTAACACAAGCCCTCTCTGTGCGACCACGTCCGCGCGCCTCACAGAGGGGCTTGCAACTAATTGTCAAATTATGGCATGGAGACTCCAGCCCTTAAGTCCTCTTAAGTTGTTTTTTGATGTTTCCCGCTTTCCTTGCTGATAAACACCACTTTACCTTGCAGGGAAAGTTGTTTGGAATGAGTCTCTACACATACTGGTGGCCGCCTTTGGTTGGCACTCTGAGTGGTGTAACCAACCAAGTAGGTTGAAATCTTTACAATCTCTGCCTGTACTGTCTCGTTTTTGATTTTACGGTGCAAATACAGCCCGTAACCCCTTTACAAGTGAGACGTAAAGCCTGGATACATGTCTTGCAAAAAGAATGACAAAGCATTCTGTCCTGGTTGATCAATGGTCAAAGACATGTAGGAGCCATTCCTGAACAGAATTACCTGCAAGGAAAAGTGATATTTATCAGTGAGGAAAGCGGGAAATATCAAAAAACAACTTAAGAGGACTTAAGGGCTGGAGTCTCCGTGCCAGCATTTGACGATTAGTCGCAAGCCCCTCTGGGAGGCGCGCAGACGTGAGGAGTTTTAAAACCTTGGATTGAATGACAAGGTTTAACGTTCGAGAACATTTTAAACATTCTTCTGAAAGTTATATTTAATGATACACAACCTGTTCCAATAGCTGATGGACCTTTAAGGGTGATTGTAGTTTGAATAGGTGAATCCATGGCGTTTGGAGGAATTGTCAATCGACCATTGAAGATGAAGGAGCGACTGATTTCTCTTCATGCGCGTTTGGAAAAGAAGCAAGAGGGGAAAAACAGACACTTACTGAAATTGAAGGATAGATTACATTGATCAAATGTTCCAAAGCATGATGAGGTTGAATTGGACTGTCTGTTTTCAAACATGGAGACTGAGTGGACAAAGGACTTTCTTCCTTTGCAGGTGTCTCATATGGAGGCTAGGGATGAACACATCACATTTGACCTAACAGATCTCTGGAGTTGCGGACTTTGCAATTTGAGTGATGTTTGTGGTTGGCGTCTGGTGACGGTCTCTCGGCCTTTTTGAGTCAGATTTCTGCCGCGTGAAGAATGGTCGGTGGCAGGCCGCCTATTGCTGGCCTTCAGGCCGCTCCTCAATCTCAATTTTCGACAGAATTGCTTGCCGGAAATATGCCTGACTGCAGCCCGCAAATAGATGGCCTGTAGTCAGTCTCCAGGCCAATTTTCGACCTGACCATTCTCAGATGGCGTCAGGCCAATTTCTGACAAAATACCCTCCTGTGGTGTAAAGAGTTTGGGCACTGTTTCCGAAAGGAGGGTGCTGCGGATTTTCTTGTGTTAGAGTAGCACAATTTTAGTGGGTACCGTAGCCGCTACAAAGTTGCACAACCCTTTGGTTACTCCCGAATTGCCCTATACAATTTAGTCTATTTTGATCGCGTTCATATGAATGTGCTTTCATTGGCAATTTGTTTGAAAGCTTGAATAAGGAGACACTTCACTTTGAAGACTTTTGGCTGGATGATCTTACCTGGCTTACACGAAGACAGGAGATCAATGACTGCCATTCGCCCATGTCATACATACTGCCACAAATCAAATATATTTGAAAGGGTTGTGGACAGGATACAACTATAGGCCAGGTCATGCGAGGGCCACGAAGTCAACAAAGCCAATGAAATCACAAGTTCAAGCTACTGCGTTCTGAGATGGAAACGGCTACTGATAAAATGTACGGCTACTGATAATATCCTCAGGCTTGACTGGTCTTTGTTGGGTCCGAATAGGTATTACCGCCTCCATTGTCATATTGGTTGTAGTACCTGGTTTCACTGTTGTCAAGTTGTCAATGACATGAGTGACTGTTTAAGCTCCAACCAAAGAGAGAGCAATGAAGAAACGCACAGTTTGCTGCCCGAGAGCACGCCACCCTGACTTTCGAAAGTCGCACGTGGGTTCAAACTGTGGAGGCGACGACAAATCGCAATTATGAATACCCAATCGAGACAGATTTTCAGTGAGAAAAGGCCTGGTATATCAACTCACTTGGCCTCTTGAGGCAAGTTGCGGGGCATCAAACTGTGATTGGCATCAGAACTACGGTCGTAAAACATAGATATCAGTAAAACTAATCCCAAGACCTCAGAGTCATATGTATACTGAAATAAGTCAAAGCAAACTCACTTCGCATGAGGCATCGCGGTTATGGTAACTGATGTGAAAATAAAACATACGTCGCAATCAGACTTTTGTCAAGATGAAGCAACGACACGCGAGTGTGACGGAAAAGTCAATAATTTACCTGTGATGGAAGCGATTACAGCAAAGACAAAATTGAAACGCATTTTGAGAAGCTTAGATGAAAAGAAACGGGATCAGATGTTCGTTATTCGAGAAGGAAAAGCTCAAGTTCAAGTTTGAGAAAGGATTGAAATAGTGGGGATATGGGCACTGCTGCTGACATACTAGTAAGTATATATAAGAAAGTCAGGTTCCGCACCGTTGCTTCATGGAATTATGACGAGTTGTGTGCTGTCCAATGATATCCAATTCACATATCACGCCTTCGTGAATGCGGTGCAGGATGCGAGAGTACCTGCGATGGCTCTCCAAATTATGTAATCCCTAACGGTGGACGGGAGTTCGAAAGCTGACAATTAACTGTCGAACTTCGAACTGCGATTCAGCGCAATTTGCTAAGTACATACTCAAGTTTTCCCGCAAAAGTCGAGCAATTTGGCTACATGGGACATTGTTTCTCGAGCTCCAGTGAAATCGATCGCACGAGACACTCAACGTCGTCAAAGGAGCACTCCATCAAGCTCGCTCTCGCTCAGCCTCAGTACCACGGCGTTAATACATCACGTGGACATGAGCGAAATCCCATACATCCGCGCATTGGCCGATGTTGGAAAGTAATCAGCAACTCGACAAATGCAAGCATCTCACGTACTATGAATTTGCAGGAAGATGAGCCTTGGAATTATGAGCATCACCACCATTGGTGTGGAAAAAAGATGCATTTGGTTGTCTGTACATTGACCATTTGATGGGTCATAGCCTGAATCACAAATTTGCCCAGAGCTCGACAAAACCACGGCCGTGCAATAAAGACTTGAAAACGACTAATTGTCCAATTTGTTGAGGTGAAAGCATTTGAGGGAGATATCTTGTTTGATTGCTCCAAAACAAGAGTAAGGTAAGGCAATACCTGCTTTTGGTGCTATTTGGGCAGTGGAAGCAAGATTGGATGGGGTCTGGAACCCTCACAATAAGTGATAAAGCAAAAAAGGCCGAAACTCTTGCTGTTGTGAGTTGAAAAGGAGGACTTTAGCTGGAAATCCATCCCTCGACTACTTGGGCAGGGGAGACTTTGATAAGTTTATAAAAACATGAAGCTCGAAGGGAGAGATTCTTTTTGTTACACAGGTACGGTGAGGGCTTTTCCCTCAACAGGAATCCTTGTACGAGTTCCAACTGCCAATTTCCCACTTGTATTCACGATTCCTGTGATGGATGTTGTAGTGAATAGCACAGAAGTGCCGCCGGCTCATAGCAAAGGAGAGTCACTCCAATTCACATCCTGCCCACTGAAATTCTTTACACACCTGGTCAATAGACTGCGTGGGAGGCAAATCACAATAGCAATATACAAATCTCATTATATCAATTCTAACAACATATGCGTACCATCAACACACATAATCACAATGATTATCGGATTCAATTCAAGAAAGAGATACAGATCAGTCATTCATTCACATTTGGAATAGATCTGAAAATGGCAAAAGATGGCAAAATGGTCAGATCACTTCGTCAGCACAACAGTTGAGGATGTCTATGGAAATATACAACATACACATCATTTCAGTAACTGAGAGTTTGTTCATCTTCTTCGCTGCCTCCGTACCAAGCGCTTGATTAGCAATCGATTGTTTATCCTCTTGCAATTTGAGAATACGATCCTCGATTGTCTAAAAGAGAGAGATTATCAGCATGAAATCCAACTACAATCCATGTGTTGAGATTTGCTTACATCGGCGATCGTTATTTTGTAACATTTGCTATAGAGCAAACAAGGCAACAGATCATCAGCCAAAAGCTCAATAAGTAGCCTTTGAGAATGTAGACAATTCAACGCACACATCATCGCGTTGTCCAAATCGATGAGCCTAGGATCAAATCTCTTAGCAAGGATTTGTGGCCAGGTAGGTTCAATGGAATAGGAAAACTCACCCGATCAAAGGCCTAGTTAAAAAATCCCAAAACAAGTATTAGAATCTTAATTTGAGTAATCATAGACAAAGAGAAATAGTCTAACCTGTGATTCGATTGAAGGATTCCACCAGGGATCCATCAATACGACTCTTGAACAGCAAATCAAGTTGAGCCCAACACTTCCACCTATGTGGGTCAACAGTGAAACATCTGAAGATCAGCCATGATTTGGCCTACAGATCGTGCAGACTGGATTGAGGAAAGACAAGAGACATACACCGAAGCGAAATCAATAGAACTGTGCATTTTGGATCGTGTTTGATCTTGTTTAAGGCTTCCGCCTTTTCATCCGCAGTTTTCGCACCATCGTCTAACAGATCAGAAATCTATGTTAGCTGTGACCAAAGCAAAATAGAGTCAAGGGCGTCTTCACATCGTGCATATCCATGCTTGGCTTTTTTGATGAAAGGTTCGATCAAATCCAAAAACGATGTAAACTGTGTTATAGGAGTCAAGTCAGTTTATCGTCGCGGCGTACGTCACTCTGATCAATATCTTCACTAACCTGCGAAAAGACGATAGTCTTTTTGGGCTTCTCTGAGCTTTCGCTCGCGATTTCGTCTAAAAGCTCGAGTAGTCTTGAAATCTTTGTAGATGCGTTCATTCCCTCGAATGTCTTGGCCATTTTCACCCGCCGCTCACAGTCCGCGCAATGCGGTCCCGGTAGCATCTCATCGACCAAGACTTCCAAGCAGATGGCACATGTAGGAGCCGCTTGTTTAACGCCGAGGCCTCCCATCATATCAGCTAGGTCATCCACCTTTTCATCGATTTCTTCTTGGGTGGCTGGGTTCGGAACGGCAGCCTCCAAACTCGCCAATTCAGCTTTTTCTGAGCCCAATGATGGATGTAAGGTAGCTGTTGTGTGCCATTGAGGGAAAATCGATGCTTAGATGCTATTGACGAGTTGGACGACGCGATGTATGGTGACTTACCCTGCCTCATCCTAAGAATCAAAGTCAAGATCGCGATATAACTCTATGAGAGCTATTAGTTAGCCAGCATTGCGAGATATAAGGAAAATGATTCATTGCCGCACATACGTACCCTTTGCATATCACCGCTTTCCGCCATCTTGGCCATCCTCTCAGACATACGCTCCTCCACAGAGGTATAAAATTTCTCCTCCGCACTGGTATGTAAGAAAAGATTAATATACGATACTCTGTCGGCATCATATGTTATTTGACTTACGAATCACGAAAGGTGGTTCGAAGAAGTATAACTTCCTTGCCAGGTAACTTGAGAATTGGGTTACCATCCTTATCCTTTGAATCCTTCGAGCGTCTTAATAATATGATCTTGAGTAATGCCTGAATCTTGGCAATCGCAGCTTTACCTTTATTGCTTCTCATAGGCTTCAATATCTTGTCATTAAAATGACTATATTCGTAGAAAGGTTTAACGGAAGGTCCAATGAAGCGGAGAAGCGGATAGATGTCCTCAACACCGTTCTATTTTAAATTCAATAATTCATCAATATTGCTGATCAAATGAGACTTTATGTTAGCTGACCTGGATTGGTGTACCAGTCAAACACCAGCGGTATACAGTGTTCAATTTACAGCATGCTCGAGCCTTTTGACTATTTCGGTTCTTGATCGTATGGGCTTCATCCAGGATCACCCGCCAGAACTTCATCGGCTCTCCGTCCTCATAAACAAAAAGCGGGCTAAGTTTGGGTTTCTTGGCGCGAGGTTTCTTGGCCTTGGATTTGCTGAGGATCTTTGTTCTGGAACTATCATCTGAATCTTCATCCTGCACAGGTCCAAGATCTCTTTCGGCAATCTTCTTAGGATCTGGCCAATCAGATACGACAACTGTGGACGAGTCAATACAGAATTACAAGAGCGTTAAGGATAAGACAATTAAGCATAGTAATGAAAGGTCATCCGGATAACGAGGTGAACTGACCATCATACGTGGTCACCACTACTCGGTATTTATGTAATTTATGAGCGATATTGGCTCGTTTAGGGCCATGATACTGAATCACGGACAGATCCGATTTTTGTTGAATTTCTTCGACCCATTGATCTTTGAGCGCCAATGGACATACGACCTGTATATACATATCAGAGTAGAATTACAATTCCTTCGAACACAAGTTGTGGAGTGAGTCAAATGAATCTTACCAAAGTAGTCTTCGGTTCTCCTTTTATGGGCTGCGGGTGAGCCTTGATGAGAGCGATGGATTGAACGGTTTTTCCAAACCCCATCTATAGTGAAGCAATACAGCGAAATCAGTGGAGGTCTTACTCAGAGTATCGCGCATAAATATGGTCAATAATACGAACATCATCGGCTAAGATTCCACCTCTTTTTTTTCCTTCTTCTCGGCTCCGCATCCAATTTACACCCAAGACTTGATGAGGTAATAATTTGCAGCTCAATCCCTCGGGCATAGTAGCATCTACATCAACACCATCCATATCGCCTTCGTACATGCCTTCCACTAAATCTCGAAGGGCTTGTTCAGTATTTTGCGCTGACATATACTCATCCTGTTCATTATCGTTCAAGTCGAGTCCTAACGGGTTAGCTTCCTCGTCAATTTCGCGAGTCCTGTGGACCTTCTCCTCGTGGCTCTTGCGATCCGGGTGGGCGTTATCCTCCTCTGTGAGACCGGCTGCAGGATCATAGAGCATTCAGAACAGTAATGAAACAATAAAGGAAAAACATACAAGCAACACTCTCACCTAACGTTTGAGAAACGGACCGACCACTGTACACTGGTAACGGAGGTAAACCAACCCGTGCCCGGTCTGAATTCATTTGTGCATACGCTTTTTCTTTCGTCGAGATCTCATAAAATCCTGGATCGGTATCTGAAGGAAGAGACGATGCACCGGAGTCCCTATGTGACATCTCGCCGTCGGTCACGCAGATCTGTGTGATGAATAGAGTGTAATCGGGCACAGAGGCGCGAGGAAGAATTTAAGATGTTGAACACTGGGCAGTCTTTGTTCCCTTTGAAGAGTGCAATCCAGAACGTGCGGTTTAAATAATGCCCACTGTTAAATTTTGTTCGTTTCGCTATTGTCCTTGGCGCGTTGTTTTTCAAAGAAATAAGTTGTATATGTAATCTTACCTAAGCACCTCGACTCGGATCATAAGTCCAAATCTCCTGCAGGGACCAGGGTTAACCCCAAACCCCTAAAACCCCATAAGCAGGTTCAAAAAAACTGTAAAAAGCTAGGAGATTTTTCAGGATTTTTCCTTTCATTTGACCTCGAAACCCATACATACACCGCTCACGGCGCAAGGCCATACCATTGTGACGACAGACTTTACACTTGAAAGTCCCTTTGAATAGGTAAGCATCAGCTATGTATCAGCTCTCACTACACGTAGCGACAATTCCTGACAATTCCCACCCACTCACTCCCAGATCACACCAATTTGTGATCCAATCTCAATTTGTGAAACAACTTCAATTGGGATTTTTAATTCCTCATGCACGCTATGAAATGGTGATAAGTTTATAAAATGTGAAGTTAACTCATTTTGTACGTGACTGCGTGAAGGGTGCATACACATAGTGGAGGAAATGATTTGAAAGCTTTCATCCACAGCCAAACAAAGCCTCATTTGCCTTTCAATAGTGTCCAAGATTCAATTTGGTGAATCTCTGAACGTAAATCCACTTGTGAGCTGTCTTGCCACATTGTAACCCTCCAGACGGTTTACGTAGTCACTCAATTTCGGGGATTTAGTACCAGTCAAGCTCACTTGGGTCAACTGAGTGGGTTTGCGAATCCTAAGCGTAGGGAGGTGTACATAGTGGTATGCCAATGATTGACAGTCAGTTCCAAAAAGCTTGCTTTGCCCGCAAAACCCGAACAACGGCAGTAGATTTGTGTCACGCGTTTATCAAACATTCATCTTGGAAAAGAAGACGTCAAAGTGAAAAAGTTCTCAAGCCTTTCATCCAAATCATAATGTGGTATATAAGAAAAAAAACCATGAGTAATGACTGTATTACGCAATAATTTAGGTAGCAAAAAAGGGTCCTTCCCATTCTAAAATCCAATCTCCAACAAAGAAAAACAGTAATCAAAAGAGAAAGCAAAATACCAAAGATTTCAAAAAAGGTAAATCTTATTAAATAAAAACTAAATATATGTAATCAAAGTTTGAAAAAAAAGAATGTAACCCTTAAGGAAACCAAAGCAAACGAAAAACCATCTTTACAATTTTAATCTTTTCAAGATTTATATTCTATATTGTTAATCTTCAATAAATCCAAAAGAAATCAAATCCCACTTTCTCTTTGTGTGCGATCATCATCGAAAAAAAATCAAAAAATCAGCCACCATTCGTACAATTAAAGTTATCTCGTATCTATCAATCATTCCATCATGTATTTCAATATTAAATTCTTGCCTTCCTAAATCGTAAAAAAATCGTTTCCATATACTTCACATTAAACCAAGCATTCAAGTTTGTTTTCTCGTCTTCTTCTACTTCTTCATCCACCTGCTCTTCCTCTGATACTGTCACTTAATGTTGTACTAATACTTTTTCGACTTAGTCGACTGCTAGCTCGAGGTGGGGATGTATCTAATCTCTCAACTGTGGGTTTATCTAAAAAGGTCCAACAAAAATTGTTAACAACATTTCAAAAATTCGAATAGCAACAACTACTCACCTTGCATAAGGATACCTAAATCTTGCATGAGTTGAGACTTACGCTGAGTTTTACCAAACTGACTACTAATAGTACCAGATGGTGATGAGTTGCCCACCGAATTATATCTTGTACCATCTAATATTGTCGAACTTTTACCCTTGATACTGCCAGAATATGATGCGGGTGAGATCGCACCACCTAACCTGTTTCGAAGGCTATTGATATTAGAAGCTCGAACACTTGGACTATCATGTTGTCGCATGTTCATTGATGAGTTACTGTCCACATCATGATATATGCTACTCAGAGATGAAGCAAGGGCTCCTCTTGATGGTGGTCGGCTACCACCCATTGGCCCTCGAGATGGTGGTCGGCTGCCGTGGTCATGATGCCGTGAAAGTCTACACATAAAGGAAGAAACGGAAGCATGATTAGCCAAGTTCCTCTCTGCTCAGTGAAACTACGATAAACTCATGTTGAAACAAGTCACTTCAGTCTACTTACGTTCCGACATCGTGCTTTCCATTACAACATGCCCGAACATTCTCGAGTCCTTCGAATGCGTCATCCATTGTATCATCTGCTCGACTATCGTAACTCATGCTAACATCTGTTTCATCAACAATCTCAATGCTATCGTTTCCTGATTGATCGTCACGTTGATGTCGATGATGTTGATGTCGAAATGAATCATTATAACTTGTAAAGGTTGTCTTCATACTACGACCTGATCGCGATGCTTCATGTCTGAGAAACTCGGCTGCTGGCGTACCCATTCGTTTCATTGGACTCAGGCCAGTGTAACTAGGTCCCTTACTAGCCTTGGGTGTAAGACGTTCCGATGAACCGGTTGACTTCATTCCTGGGCTCCCTTGCTTGTAAGAGTTTTGGGCATAAATCGCCTGCCGGATGATAGGTGGGGTATTCAATGCTGGTGGTTCTTGAGATCTAAACCTTGCCAGCATAGGATGTCGGGAAGTCAAACTTAGATGTGGCGGCCGTGGTGAATGATTATTCACACTGTTGGGCGTGGTAGTCACTCCGGCTTCAGGTGGTCCCCCAACCTTCTCGGGCCGCGTGAGTAGATAATTGATGGCCTGGTGTTTATAAGAAGAGTGATAAGTAAACAGACGATAATGAAACAAAGTGAGGAGATCATACATTCAACCATAGGTCATGACGTTCCCTAGTAGGTGCTGTAATCTTCATCTCTCGATTTGGAGTTCGGATCACCAAACTATACGAGGCAAGGCCTGGAGGCATCGAATTGGCATCATCGATTGATCGTACTCCCTCAATAAACACTACAACAGTAAGGAAAATAATCAGTAAATATAACCGATAGATCAAATTGAATCAGTAAGGACACTCACCACTTTTGGCTGTTGACTGATTAGTCCCATACGCCCCTGGATCTGAAGTACTCCAATACAATGTTTTGGTGTACGGATGAACCCAAAAGAATCGACGATGACGTTTTTCAGTGAAGCCTCGGTTCAAAGCTTTCGTAGTGTACTTGTAGAGAAACTCTCCGATCATAGTCTGTGTGATGGCGTGAATGGCATTGGGATCGGATGAAACTGAAGTGGATCGATTGAAGGAATTAGCAATTGGATCCACAATATCACCAGGCTCACTCGTTCGGTCTGTTCGATCTGAGGTTATGGAATGACCACGAGATCTTTGACTTAGTCGATCAGATGAGCCTTGAGCTAGAGCAGCGTGGTTAAGTGTATTGGCTCGAGCTCTGTGCTTTTCGCTGGCGTATTTCTTAGGTACATGCAAGTTGGCTACCCCGAATTGTCCCATTTCATCAACTTCAGATACGTCCGATTTGTTGAACGAATTCTTAGATCGCGCGAGATTGATACCATTCTTGATCTGACTGTTTGAAGCATTAGGTATAGTTCCACCGCGTACTATTGAAGGCGGCGGCATACTGGAATAAGATGTGCGGTGACTTATAGAGCGAGGAGCGGATAAATTGGAAGGGCGTGATATTTGTACTTTTTGTAGAAGCTCCGGGGGTGGTGGTGATTTTGGTCTTGATGGTCGAGAAGGTGACCTTGAAGGTAGCGGTAATCTTGACCTTTTCCCTCTTTCGATAGTGGGGACGGTAGATAGAGCTTCAGCTAAGCGGGAGTTGGCTTCTACATTTGCTTGCGTGAGAGTCACAGTAGGATCGAGAGTGGCCAATGGCAAAGGACTCTTGTTCTGTAGCGGAGCTCCGAGAGTCGTTTCATCACTGGCGTCGTCGAGTATCTCAGAATAAATTGAACAAGGAGCAGATATGAGATTTTCAGAAAATTCGGACATATGAGGTGATCTCAGTCGGACATCAGTCTGTACAGTGGAGGTAGATAACGTGCGCGACACGGTTTTGCCCCGGCCGTCAGCTAATGCAGTAAGAAGGCGCCGTGAAGACGTTAGCGGACCGCCGCCAAAAGTCATGACTGAATCTCGAACGCGGGGTGAAGACTCGATTCGCTTCCGAGGGAGTTCCATCACGGCCGCTTCCGTTTGAACGCCGACTTCAGTAGTGGTCACTGGCGGATTTGACGCTTGTGGGGCTTTCAAGTTCTGAGATGTCTTCTCTTCTCTGGGAGTGAGGGAACCTTCAAGTGATGTAATGGACTGTTCAGAAACATTCAAATTTAACGCTTGCTTGGCATTTGCCACACTTTCAGCCGCATCCTCAAAGTCTTCGGCGTCCGTATCCAGGATCTCCTCGTCAGCAGAAAACATCTGTTCATTTTCACTCTCAAACTCGCTTGTCTTTCTCAAGTGTTTCATTCCTGAGAATCGCTTAGATTGCCGTGCTGAGAACCGTTTGGTGTTGCTTCGTACAAAAGTCGAGAGCCCAGCGTTAGGAGTAGTCACTTCGTTAATCTTGATAGTTTCATCTTTGGGGACCGAGTTTGCTACCTGGGATGTAGTGGGTTCCTTTTCAACGATTCGATCAACTTGAACTTCGACAATTCGATCCACAGGCACCTCAACAATCTTCTCTACTTCAACTACCTTCTCTACTTCAACGATCTTTTCCACTTCAACTACCTTTTCCACTTCTACAATCTTTTCCACCTCTACAATCTTTTCCACTTCCACAATCTTTTCCACTTCCACAATTTTCTCCACTTCCACAATCTTTTCCTTTTCCACCTCTACCAATTTCTCAACCTCTACAATCTTTTCCACTTCAACCTTCACGATCTTCTCAACCTCTACCAATTTCTCTACTTCAACAATCTTTTCAACCTCTACCAATTTTTCCACTTCCACAATCTTTTCGACCTCTATTAATTTCTCCACCTCTACAATCTTCTCTACCTCCACGATTTGTTCCTTCTTCGGGTCAGGATCATAGGGTAACCTAATTGTATCATCCTCGTCCGAAAGGTCTCGATTAGTCACCTTCGTTTCTACAACCTTCTCTACCGGTACCTCGACTATCTTCTCAACAATCTTCTCTACCGGTACCTCGACTATCTTCTCAACAATCCGATCCACTGGGACCTCGACAACTTTTTCAACTATTCGATCGACGGGCACCTCGACAACCTTTTCAACAATTCGATCGACAGGCACCTCGACAATCTTCTCAACTATCCGATCCACTGGCAACTCGACGATCTTCTCAACTACGCGATCCACGGGTACCTCCACAATCTTCTCAACTATCCGATCCACCGGTACCTCCACGATCTTCTCCACGATCTTCTCAACAGGTACTTCTACAATTTTCTCTACAATCTTCTCGACAGGTACTTCCACAATCCTATCTTTCATGACTTCCACAATCTTTTCTACTGGTCTTTCCACCACTTTCTCCACTTCAACTTCTACTCTAACTTCCTTTTCTACTGGTACTTCCACTCTGACTTCTACCAGTTTGTCCACGTAAACAATCTTTTCTGAATCAGTTATAGGATCAGTCATAGTTTGCATATCACTATAAGTTTTCGTCGATTGTTCATGAATTCCTATCTGACTCCGTTGGGAAACTTCTTCTGTTAAATCATGGTTGGATGTCGAGCTACGAGGAACGCCAAAGGGACTGCCAGTGTTGGAAGAGAGCCAACTATGATCAGGTGTAGATCCATCAATCTTACGAAGAGCTTCCTTCAATGGTCGATAATCACGCGTCTCATCTCCCCCATGTACGTTTCCGTCGTCGTCATCATGAGAGGTCGGAGGAGGTAAGATGAGTTGAGATCCTCCATCGCCTCCCAATTCCTGACCAAGATGTGCAAACGCTGGATCCATCGTCCCACCAAATGAATCGCGGTCAGCTAATGCGAGATCGCGGCTGAGATCAGAAGAATGAGTTGCTAGCTCGAATTTTTCACGTCCAGATTGTAATGATCGAAGTAGGTCATCTTGAGTTTGCTGGTTGTTCGCTTCGCCATCCTCATCTGAAGCCGAACTCATGGCATCGGCTCTCTTGGATAGCTTACTGGGCGTACCTCGGAAGCGACCTCGTCGATTTGCCAACCCGCCTCGTGCACGACCTCGAAGTAGACTTCTAGGTGTACCTTTCACAGGTGAACCTCTGTTTCTACGTTCCTCTTCTGCATCATCATCTTCGTCATTATCCATCGTGTTACCAACTTCAGAAGCATGTTGTGATGCCGCAGTAGAAACAGTTGAAGATTTCTTTGACCGCAATCCACTCTCTTTTTCACGTTGAAGAGCGTTCCTGAGTGTACTGATTGTACGTTGAGCGTGGGCCAGCGAGGTCCGAAGTTGATCATTTTCAGTGGCAAAGCCAAGATTGGATCCAAGGCCTTTTTGTTTCATTGGAGAGTCATTGAATAAATCACCCTCGTAGAAGTCGCCGAAATCATTAGGTGACGCCGGATGATGGAGGTGATCTCCGGTCCTACGTTTACCGGGTGTCATACGGTTTTGAACAGATTCATCTTCATCATGAGGGGTAGTTGAAGGATCAGCTGGATCATCAGATCCTGAGGGCGAGCTCGCAACAACGGCCTTGATGGCTGATTTCTTCTTGACCGTATCCAACTCGATTTTGATCGTATCAATTGTACCTTGAAGATCACTTCTTTCACGTTGAAGTCCTGCGTTGTTTTTGCGCATCATGGCAACGGTGGTTTGATTTGCGGCACGTTCATCAGTCAGGACCGTATTGAGCCTTTCCACTTCTGTTCGTTGTTGATCAGAGGTTTGTTGAAGGTGATTCAGTTGTTTGAAAAGTTTACTACGTTCTGTATCCACCTTGGTCTTCTCATCCAGTGCTTCTGTCAATTTAGTGTTCAGGTCTTGTTTGCTGAGTTCAAGATTCCAATTTTCTTCTTTAAATTGTTCTGGGAAAAGGAAAGAGGTAAAAAAGGATGATACATGTGAGTAAAAGATGAAAAATATCAGATCGGAGATTCAAGCGAAATCGAGACGTACCAACACTGGCTTCGAACGTCCTGATACGGTCAATTAAACCTTCGTTGCGTTCCCAAAGCCCTTCTCTCTCCTCTTTGGACTCCATAAGCTCATCCTCCTTTTCTGCCAAAAGAGCTTGTAAACGTCTTACTTCGCCCAACAAGCTTTGACCGATTTCTGTAGCAAATTCAATATCGTTCGCTCGATGCTGAGCATTCCGCGCACGACGAATGGATGATTGATTCGTTGCTGGAGGTTCGTGTGACGAAGGGATTTTG